TTGGAACTTCAGCACGGCCATTCTTTGCAGGTCTGTAAATTGTTTGTAGGTTTTCAATTCAAAATCCTATGTATTGCAATGCATGTTCAGTCGTCTTTACGAGCATTGCATTAAAATTTTATTTTTCAGGACCTCTTACTGAAAGCTTGCGCAAACCTAGCATTTTATATTTGGACCCACGAGTTACTCCCTTTGGATATTTTGCTTCTGGCACTTATTGATCGTGATGATGACCCCCATGCTTTGCGTATTGTGGTACGAGCTTTCAAAATTTATTTATTTTTCGAATTTATAATGAATAATCATGATTGCATGTACATATACTATTTCAATCTTTGATAATTCAAATCTTTTTTTAGAGCATGATTAGCTCATTTTCTGTAATGGTTATTGTTGTATCTTTGAAACCATTCTGCCTTAAAGTGATGACGTGAATTCTTTATTCCAGCATCATTTCTTCTTGTGCTCTGTGTAGCATGTTACTTCATCTTGATTTTGTGCTATTGCATGTCCTATGTTCAACTAATGATTGCAACCCATTATAAGAATTTCTTATAAGTAAAAGTTCGCCTTGTATCATGTCTGTTGTTGTGAGAAAGGAATACATTGCATTTTTAATGGCAGTGATCTGCTGTTGATTAAGCTTTGGTGGTGTTGTGTTTGACTGGATGTCTACTGTTTGCAGTATTGTGTTTCTTATTCTCTTGACAGCCTTGATTAATTTTTCTTGTCATGAGTTTATATACTGGACTTGGTTATTATATTTCTCTTGTTGGTTTTCTTATTCCTGGGTACTTTGAATTGTAGCTTCCTATTGGTGTTATGGAATTTGTGTTCATGGGTTACGTACCCATTAAACACCTCTTATATATCAATTAATTAAATTTAACTAGGATTGATGTGAGAATTAAATTTTATGTATTAAAAAAACTAATCTTGAAATGTACAACGCTGCAATATATGTTCTTCTTGATGTGATAATGGACTAAGATGTGCTGCAGATGAGTCTACTTGATAGGCAAGAACTTCAACAAAGAGTGAAACTATATTGTATGAATCGAGGTCCCCCTGAACACTGGATTTACTCTGGAGTCTTCAAACGAGTTGAATTGCAAAAGGCCCTTGGGAATCATCTCTCTTGGAAGGACAGGTTGATATGTTAAATAATAACTTTTTCGGGATGGATTATATACGGTTTTTATGCTGAGAGAAGAATTATAACATTTGGCTAAAAGTTAAACTTTGCAAATTGTTTTTGCATATTCACTGACATGGTCTGTTATGTTATATAGGTATCCCACATTCTTTGATGATATTGCAGCACGTTTGCTTCCAGTGATTCCATTGATAGTTTATAGACTAATTGAAAATGATGCCAAGGATTCGGCTGAAAGAGTTCTGGCCATGTATTCCCAATTTCTTGCTTACCACCCTTTAAGATTTACATTTGTTCGTGATATACTTGCATATTTCTATGGTCATCTTCCTGTAAAGCTTATTGTTCGAATATTGAATGGACTCGATATCAACAAGGTAATGACTTTGCTCTCCGTTCTATTCTTTTGGTAACCAGTACTACTTTTTTCTCCAATTAGTTATTTAACTCCAAATTCGTTTCAGATCCCATTTTCTGAGTCATTCCCATCGCACGTTAATTCATCAAATTCTGCCATGTGCCCGCCTCCGGATTACTTTGCAACACTCTTACTGGGATTAGTGAATAATGTCATACCTCCATTGCATAACAACTCAAAATCTGGTTCAGTGAGTGATGCTCTAAATAATTCAATGCGTGCCCCACCTAACAAGACTCCAGCAACGTCTCAGTCTGGGCAAACAAATGTTTCTGATGGCCAAAAAGCATTTTATCAAATTCAGGATCCAGGCACATACACTCAACTGGTTCTTGAAACAGCAGTAATTGAATTACTCTCTCTTCCCGTATCCGCATCCCAGATTGTATCATCATTGGTTCAAATCGTTGTCAATATACAACCAACATTAATTCAATCCAGCAATGGCTTGCATGGAGCTCCAAATGGTGTTGGCCAAGGCTCAGTTTTACCGACATCCCCTTCAGGTGGAAGCACAGATTCCTTAGGCACAAGCAGATCAACACCTTCAGTATCAGGAATAAATGCATCTAACTTTGTTTCTCGAAGTGGTTACACATGCCAACAATTGTCTTGCTTATTGATCCAAGCCTGTGGTCTTCTGCTGGCTCAGCTGCCTTCTGATTTTCATGTACAACTCTATATAGAAGCGTCACGTATAATAAAAGAAACATGGTGGCTCACTGACGGCAAAAGGTCACTGGGGGAACTAGACTCTGCTGTTGGTTATGCTTTGTTGGATCCAACATGGGCTGCTCAAGACAATACCTCAACAGCCATTGGTATGCTACAATATCCAGTGGTTATTTACTGATATTTAAGCTTCCCTATCTGAGAATCTATAGTTAACTCTATGCTGATTAACACATTCTTTAATGATGTCTGTACACATTTCTGATTCCTGACGATAAACTCCTTTTCTTGTTGTGATTCTAGGTAATATTGTTGCCCTGCTTCATTCTTTTTTCAGTAACCTCCCACAGGAATGGCTAGAAGGGACCCATCTTATCATCAAACATCTCAGGCCAGTGACATCCGTTGCAATGTTGAGAATAGCATTCCGTATAATGAGTCCATTGCTCCCTAAACTTGCCAATGCGCATACCCTCTTCAGTAAGGTACAGAAATTCACTCATTGGGAACTTTTAATAGAATCTCATCTCACCTAAGGTTTCACTCATTTCCAATGTTGATTTGAATTTCATCCAAGGTAACATGTACCAAACACCCCAATGTTGATTTGCTTTTTCTTTAATCAAATATAACTGAAAGGGGAAAAGCAAAAATCCCAGTATTTTTCTTTTTTCGTTTGAATGTTATATATCATGGGCATGATGGTGCAAGGGTGCTTCACCTGTGGAGTGCTGTGATTGACTTGATTACTGTATCGTGCAATGCTGGTAATCATGCTTTTTGGGTACACTTCATGCATAATCTTGGTTGGGTGTCTTGGATGACCACTTTTCACAACTATTACAACTAACTAGTCTGCCATGTGGGGTTCAGATGATGATTAAAATTTCAATCTTCCGTGTTTAATCATTTTCGTAATTTTTTTGCAGACCCTCACATTGATTTTAAGTATGATGGTGGATGTCTTTGGGAAGAATACGCAGCCACCGACTCCTGTTGAACCATTAGAAATAGCAGATCTTATTGACTTCTTGTAAGTTCTGTTCTGTGCTGTCCTTGAAACAAACAAATTCTGTGTACGTGGTTTGATCTATGATTTGTCTGGTGCCTCACTATAGCTAACTATGCATAACCCGTTGTGTTTCTCAGCCATCACATAATCCATTACGAAGGGCAGGGAGGCCCTGTGCAGGCAAACAGCAAGCCCAGACCAGAGGTTTTAGCTCTCTGTGGAAGAGCTGCAGAAAGCCTACGTCCAGACATACAGCACCTCCTTTTTCACTTAAAACCTGACACGAATTCTTCCATTTATGCTGCTACTCATCCCAAGTTGGTCCAGAATGCATCATAATTTTAGGGTTTTAGTATTTCTCTTAAGCAGGTGGACTTTCTTCCATTAACACTTTGAGTTAATACAGAACAATATAGATTACTTTCTTCATCAAGAATGTAAAATCGTGTATAGGGTAAGATTATATATGTAACCAGCGACAGAAGTAGGAAGGCTTAGGTGGAGTTATTTTTATTAGATTTTCTTTTCAATAGAACTTGAAATCGAATGTCAAATTATTGTTTATTTACCGGAAAATTAAAGATTCAGGATGGAAGGTTGGATATTCAAATATTTGTTCTACACATAAAAATGGAGTGGTGAGCAAATTTGTTATCGTTTCACATGGGATGAGATGTGATGGGTCACGGATGATGCTGTTTAGCATAATTGGCAAAAATGTTGATGTCCTATCCTAAAGATTACACATCCACAAAAACTTCTCGCATTAAAACAAGAACAAATACAAAAGGAAGAATCATTAGACCTAGAAACTATTAACAAAACCCAAAAACAAAAAAGAACTTTCAAATTATTATATGATATATTTTTATTTTAATAAAGTACTATTTTACCTATTTGTCTCTTTAAAATGTTCTTAAACAAAGGGATATTTTGTATTATTTAAAAATTTAATCTATAGACATTCCTCCGTGTGCTAAATTGCCAATAATAATATAAAGTGACAGCGTAGGTGGCGACAACTAGACCTACACGTCACGCTAATGCAAAATTTAAAGGCACTGATTGGTAAATGCTTTGACGAAATTGCACGTTATGTTCACAATCGCGGACCCACCACCGGTCCCACTCAACCTCAACCGAAAATTGTCGTTGTAAAACGTGACTGATGCTGAAACCAAACTGCCATCTTAACTTGGAGATGGATTTTTCTTACGTTTTCTTCTTATTTCCCAATTTCTTCTATTTTTTGGTGCCCACTAAAATTAACCAACTCAACCCAGGCTCAGAGATAGGATGTTTTTCCAGACTAAAAAGAAAGAAAAGGTTGAAAAAAAAAGGAACAAAACAAGCCAAGAAACAGGTTTAATGATCACATCCAACAACCACACAAATCCTGGAAAGAACAGCCACTCATCATATCTCGTGTGCTCCTCTACCATGGTGACAATGATTTTACATCATCTTCCGTGTCTCCCACAATAATGCAACACAGGCTTACAATTTTATAAGTTTCCGGCAGGTATTATTTATTTTCACCACAACTGAATAGCGTAAAACTTATATATTACACAAAGGTGCTCAATGTAATAATTGGGGGGAAAATCCCTACCCTACAACACTTGGGAAGAATCTTAGTTTAAGACTTCGAATTCAAGGTAGCAGTTATTTTGAAGAACAATATGCTTTACATATACTACATTAATTTTGCAATAATCCCACCTCCAATTCAGCATTCTACATCATTGTTGTTCTCCCTGCTGGGTGAAATTCACTCCATTGGAGTCTGGACATTTCTTGCTTAAGTTGTACGGGGCGGAAATCATTACCCTGCACATAGCCACAGACGAAGAAGGAACTCCAAGATATTATTAGCGGTCCAATTACCATCATCACATATATTAATATCTGCCTGCTTGTCAATTTTGAAGTCATATGTTGGGGCAGCTGTTTAGCTGTTCCAAGGAAATAAGCAATGTTTGCACAAATGCAACCCACTGTCCTAATCAACAAAGCCAACTTTTAATGTAGAACATACCATACCCACCGACAACCTTCTTTCTAAAAGTTTAATATAAGAAAAAGAAAGAAATGGTCTAAGTGCTCCGAAACAGTGTTATGTTTTGTAACCTCCTAAACCCGACCACCTATGTTAGTTGTTAGGTGTAGAATTGCGTAAGATAGGAAGATGAAGTCCTAAAGTTTCTCTGGCTTGGGCCTCCAGTCATTTTGTAAACCATATGTCATTCACCAAATAACCACAGAAAAGGCAGCAGACTCTGACAACCATCAGTTCTAACTTATGTTATTTCTTACTACAATGGACAGTAAACAATTCATAATAGTTTTAAAATTTGTAGTTGAGGGGATCAATGAAAAAATCACCTTTCCTTGCGCTTCTCCAAAAATCGAGCCAAGGATGCTTTCCGAGCCTGTGGAACAGCTGCATAAAAAAGCATACGAAAGTTTAAAGCGAAACAATTGTCCAATCAAAAGATAAAAAGGAAAAAAGCCTAACGTTGTGATCACAACTCTATTTAAAAGTCATACTACCGAGGGTCAGACAAACATATTGAAAATTTTGATGCATGCTGAAAATAGAAACCTGTGATAATGTTATTTTTGGAATAACTCAAAACTTGTTCATCATATTACAATGTTCAGAAATATTGAATGCCACCAAAAATCAGAGATTTTGTTGAGAAAACACTATTAGAAAGTTAAGAACCAACATTCAATTACAAAGTATCATACCAGAAGGAATCAAAGAAGTTGCAGCAACAGATCCAACTGCATTTACTATTTTCGGAGGCTCCATTTTGCTAACAGGACTGGTTGGATGTCCAGTTGTTCTTGGTGCCATTAGCTCATCAGTGTTTGTGGACCCACTTACTGACTGGACACCAGTATGTGAAGAAACAGATAAGGGGCTAGAAAGACCAGATGGTGGTGTATTTGTTGGCTGATTCACAGGAACACCATCTTCCACTGGAAACTTTGCACTAGGTGCTTGAGTTTTTGGTTGTGCAGCATTAGAGGAGATGGAAGAACCATTTCCAGCCAAAAGCATCATAGCCTGAACCTGGAAAGATGTCACAAAACAACTTTTGAGCTCACCAATGACCCAAATTGAAGGTTGACAACAAACAAAACCCATGTTTTTATGTGTGCGCGCATGTGTCTATGGATGTGCGAGCAGGAGCAGAAGGAAGGGTACCTTCTCAGGGGAGATATCATCATAGACATTCACAGTGCCGGCATAAAAGATTGTCAATTGTGAAGGAGACCCAGAGTTCTTGGAATTGTTCCTAAAAAGAATGATTTAACAAAACACTCAACAATTTATTAAATTTTGTGAAATGGTCAATCAATAATTCAAGCATAAAATCAAAATTACCGTGGTTCGGTGCTCCCTGCAACTGGAAGAATTGAGTAAGGAGCTGTAACAGGAATTCCCTGCAATTGTTGCTTGATGGTAGTGGCAGCAAAATTCTGACCAGTAGTAGCAAAGTGATTCTTGAAGAAAGGGTTGCTCACAGGAACAGAAAATCCTTGATTGGTAACTGAAATCATCTTCGCATCATGGGGACGATGAACAGAATGCACATCATGTTGCATAGGATAAGCTGTCAGGGAAAAATGAGTGCCATCTTGCCTATCGTGATTGAAGTAATTCTAGATGATAAAAACCAGAAACCAATGAGGGAATGGGCAATAATAATAATACTATCAGAAGACACTGAACCGATCTTATATCTTGATGATGCATCAATTATTGTTTGAAAAGCCATAGAAACTAGCTGATCCAAATTTTCAGGCATGGCAACTGAAGCCAAAATAATGAATAAAAATCGATCTAGAAGTCAAATATGCAAAACAGAAGTACTATCTATTTCCAACAGGCCCCAGTTGCCAACAAATGAATTAACACGTAGGCGGCAAAGCATACCTGAATTTCACATGGAGCCTGTTTTTGACAATGGTCAAATGCATCTGCAGTTGAGATAGGCATGAATCCAGAAGACAAGAAGGACTCAGATACCATCTTTTTAGTCTTATCATCTTGAGCAGCTTTGAAAGACATCAAATGAGGAAGTGCAGAGACCTTGTTCAAGAAGGGCCAATGTGCACCTCCTGCACCACTAGCATACCCTAAAAAGTGAAACAGGGTGAAGAAACAAAACTTAGTTAAAAGCCAAAAATTACTATAAACTGTGTATGCTTTTTGTTTCCCCCACCTCCCAAATTTGTTCAAAATTCTAAGTTACAGGAAATTCTTAAGCCAACAGAAGATGGCAAAATAACATTGAAGAATTAGATTGGGACACTCAAGTAAAAACTTGAATAAATTTTTATGTCGCTCTTCCTAGTTGCTAGCTGTGCAAACAGCCAAACAATTACTCAGATAGAACAATAGGATGTCATAAAATTAAGTCAATCTTCATATCTTAATCTACCAGCCATGCAAAGAAAAATTGCTTAACTAGAACAGAATTTGAAGATAGCACATGATTCAGAGACCAAAAAAAAGCTCAAAGATTCCATACTTGAGAAATGAAAGCCTCAAGAATTGCTGTGGCTAAAATGAAGTGAATGAGAAAATCACTCACCTGAGTCTTTGCATCCATCATTACTAATCTCCTCCTTCACCACTAACACCGACTCTTTTGAGTTCAAACCCAAGAAATCCCTCTCCATCTCAGCCCACAATCACTCAGAAAAAGAAATACAACAAACATACAACCAAATTCACCTGAAATCCAAGCCAACAAACCCTTCAACCAGACCCTGAGCTAGCTGAGAGAAACTAATAAAAAGCTTCCAACTACAGCAAAAAAAAAAGCATAAATAAAGCACCGGACGAGAGAGAGAGAGAGAGTTCTTTTTGACAGGGAAGGGAGAATTATAAGAGATCTTGACCGTTAATTTTTTTTAAAAAAAACTGATTAAGATGAAATAGGAAGCATATGTGTGTGTGTGTGAGTTACCGATATTATCCGGTGAAGGTGACAGGCTGGTCCGGTTATGACACCACGTGCGCGAAGCATTTTAAGTGACATGGTTGGTTGGTACCAGATTGGGTCCCACCTGTTGAGGTTTGAGGTTGTGAGTGAATTGTACCGCAGCAAATGCGCGCTCTAAAAGTATACACGTGATGGTTTAGATAAACTCGTGAACAAATAGATGGGCATAGGGTTCTCCTCGACGAAGAGATGTTTCACACAAGCAATATTGAGAGAAAGAAATTCGAACACAAGATCTCATATAATTATTTACTTAAGTTATAACCTCATATAATTATTTACTTGAGTTATAAGTTTCTTGTCTCGATATCTGACCAATTTAATCACCGGACTTGGAGACTCTCAAGTATTATTTATTTTGCAAATACAAGCAGAAGATAATGGTGAGATGGTGAAATGAAAGCACGTTTTTAGTTTGTTCAAATTTATATGAATGCGTTAGCCAATTGGGTACTAATAGCGCACCCACCGCTATAGAGTATGGGCCATCTTTATTCATTCGTTCCCCGATTTCACGTGTCACTCACTCACTCACTCTGCTTTTGAACAGAAGAGAACAGAATTTTCCAGTCTCTCTCAGCTCCTTTCCTTTGAGCTGTGAGCAGTGAGCTGTTCGTGTCCCCCACTGGTTTAATTTCTGTGGTGCACAAGTAGCACGTGTTGTAATTATGAAAGGCTTGGATTGGATCTCCGTTGGATGATTTAGATTAAGAAATAACCATGCAATTATGACAATTACCATATTCATTCAAATATATCGACCCGTTGTGCAGTAAGAAAGATACCTAGAATCGTAATTATCCTCTTCTTCAAGTAGTGGTAGGGTCTTCCAGTTTCCAAACCATAAGAATATGATCCCTTCCCTTTTAACCCACGCAGATCCTAGTAATATCGTACTGGTTGGTGTCATTTCCACATATACATATACGTACAGTACATATCTCTTTCCTGTTTTTCTTTGTTTCTTTGATGGGACCAGACCAGAGTTGTTGTTGACCAATGAAATAATGCACCATGTGAGGGGTTATATCACATACATTATACATACATATACAGAATATTATTAGTAATTAGAAAATGATGGCCTTCAAATTCAATTCAAAAGTGAGGTGATGAGGAAGGGAAAAAGAAGAACAGTAATGGAATGGTGGTTGAAACTTGATGCTTCCTTCCTACCAGAACAGACAGTAAAATGACTATTTATGTATGTACTAATTAAGCACCATCATGGAATGGAACAGACAACAGAAAGCAAAGCAGAGAATTAAACGCCATTATCATTCCAACAATTGAATACCTACTCCAACAATTTGCACCCTTCATATATACTGAGACCAGATTTTTCACTCTCTCTTAAGGTTATGATCTTTTTTACTTTTCTGGAGGGGGTAGGGTTTTTAACGTAAATTAATTCATATTCAAAAGAATCAGTCAATGTTGTTAATCGTGTCATGCAATTAACATATATGTTTGTGATGATGATGCACAATCTTATATATATATATATATATAGATTTCTAGTGTATTATAATATAATTATATTGCGTGTGTCAAGATAAATTAACAAACAACGACCGCAATGTTATTATAAATTAATGTACATGTATATCATATATGTCACATGGTTTTTATATTGCAAATTTAGAGAGCCTCCGATTATTATTATCTTTGAATGAACAAAACCATGTGCTAAGCTAAGGGTCACTTTAACTTACAGAAAAATAGACACAAGGATTTTTTTATTTATTTAAAAAAGTTGTGATAAATTTATTCATTTTTTAGTTTGTCCTCCTCCTCCTATATAATAGTGCAAAGTTTGATTTGTATGAAACCACAGTGGCCCAGTGGTTTGTTTGCCATTTGGGTAAGGCTATGAGGTTCGGTTCGGTTTGCTCCCCAATTTGAGTCCCAGTAGTTGAAACACCTGGTGTCTAGTGTCAGGCTTAGTTATGCGAGTGGAGATTACACCAAGATACACGCAAGCAAACCCGAACACTCTGCTATTTATAACCAAAAAAAAAAAAAAAAAAAAAAAAAAAAAAAAAAAATTTGATTTGTATGGGCGTGGCACTGACTGCCACAACAGAACAGAAGGTAAGGCACTAAGGTATATATATATAAAAGTGGCGGACTCATAGTTTAATTTCGAATATACACATTTGCAATAGAAAAAATATTGGGTTTTGATTATTTGAAACAAAACATATATATAATATGGGTGTGCATGATAAGATGAAAAGACCTAATATTTTATTCTCTCATCATCACATTATGACATTATGACATTATGACATAGACCTTTTGGTTTTACATGAGAAATAGAATAATCAAAATATTATCTTCCAATTCAAGCCCCGTAGCCCCATGTCGAATTGTCAATGAACATTAAACGACGCATAAGCCGTCACTAATCTACGTACAAATGATAAAGGATGGTTGGCTTCTCTTTTAGGGTTTAGGGTTGTTTTTCCGGTTGTTTGTGTTTGTGTAACAGCTGTCGCCTGTCGCTGATGGGGAGTGGAGTTTCCAGGCAAGCAAGTCCCAATTGAGTGCGAAACGACAGTGGAAAGAAAGCAAGAAAGAAGAAGGAGAAGATGAAAGGAATATTATTATTACTCTTTTTGTCCTAGCAAGCAAAGCAAAGGAGAAAGAAAAAAAAAGCATTTGGAAATGGTGATAATGATAATGAATGGATAGATTAGCAGCAGCAGGACCACATTTCATTTGACACCATCACCATGCATATCTCAACAACTAGTCTAGGTGCATTTATTTACCTTTTTTTTTTCACTTGTAATTCTCATTCAATAGTTGGTGAGGAGGAGAGTGGGATGCTTCATGATTTGTATTATGTATAATACAGCTGAGTGAGTGCTGGGTGACCAAGAAAGTTACTGAGTGAGAGAGTACTAGTTGTCTTGTCTTGTGCCGGAGAAAGCACACCATGTTCAAGGCACGATAATAATTGAATTGAAAGGGGGATTTTGATTTTGGGGTCTTGTTTTTGGATACTTGAACTTGAATCAGAAAGAAAGTTCATCTTTTTGAAGAAGTTGCAAGCATAATGCATTGCTGTTGTTGATGGACAATGACAATGGACCCATGTCTCCCTCCCATCACATTCACATTCACAATCACATGTGCGAAGCTTTCGTTCCTCGTTTTAGATATGTTTTTTGGAGTTTTTGAGATCCAAACAAGATTTTCCATGTGATGTGCTTTCTTGTTCATCAGCTCATCATGCTCATGACTTAAGGACATGCGTCTTTGCAATTCTGTGAACAGGCAGTCATTAGCAATGAATGGATGGCAAAATTTGATGAGTGATACTTTTTGTTTCATGTTTTTTTTTAAAATTTATTATTCATAGAAAAGAACAGAAGAAACATCTTCCTCTTTTTTTTGGGTAGAATAAGAGCTGCCGTTGGATTGCTGGAAGAATTGAATCGGACTGCCCAGAGCATCGCCACGTGGAAGAGAGCCGTTGGGTGCAAGTTTCGATTTTTTTTTTCATTTTTTTATTCGCAAAAAATGGCTGCCGTTGGATTTGGAACAAAGTGGATCGGACAACTTGTGTGGGCGTCACGTGGAATAGACCCGTTGGCGGGTCACTGTAGCGGGCGTGTCAAATTTTTTTAAAGTAAAAAATTTTAAACAGCAGCGCTGACGTCATGCCAAAACGAGTTTTGCTACTCTCACTTTTAACACCAACTCTTCATACATTTTCTTCTCATTCTACCATTATTCACTTTGTAGTCAATATTTTTTTCACTTTGAAGTTGAATTTTTCTAGAAAAATTTATGGGTTCTTCTAGTGAAACCGGAGGGGCATGGAGCGTCATGGAAGATGTTAGCTTGTGTGAGTCTTGGCTCCACATTAGTCATTGTCCCGTAACGGGTAATGAGATGAAATTCTGTCATATGTGGAAAAAAATTCATCAGGATTTTTGTGAAAGGGTAATTGGTTCAACTCGTACAGATTAGGCACTATCTAGTAGGTGGAAAATTCTTAACAAAGAGTTGGCGAAATGGAGGGATGCCTTGGCAAAGGCGATGGACAACCATAGAAGTGGGGACAACCTTACCAGTGAGGTAAATTATTTGTAATTTTTGTTTTATTAATTTCTATGTCATATTAAAATTTATTTAAATATTTCTTGCAATTTACATATTTTGTTAATATTTCTTGTATTTCCAATATTAATATGAATGTTTGTTGCAATATTTAAATTTTGTTTTGCATTTCTAATAAATTGTTAAAGTTTCTTGTATTTCCATTATTATTATTATTTTTTTATACTTGTTGCATTGCCAATAATTTTTAAAGTTTCTTGCATTTTCATTTTTTTTTTATAGACTATACAAGCACAAATGTTTTTTGGTGCTACTGGGCAAGGAAAAAAAAGTTGCAACCATACCCATTGTTGGGAGGTGGTGAAGAATTGTAAGAGATTCCAAATTATTCCAACGGGTCCGACGGTAGTCTTGAACGAGACGCCACTCCATGAGACACCGGCATCGGATTCACCTATGGATTCCCCGATGAGTCAAGACTCACCTATCGAAAAGGAGCCGAGGCCTATTGGGAGGAAGGCGGCGAAGGCGAAGAGAGGGAGTAATTCTACCAAGTCATCATCTAAATTTTTGGAGGAACTTTCAAAGATGCAAGCCATGAGAATTGAAATGGACATGAAACAACAAGAGCACGATAGGGCAATTGATGTAGAAAATGCAAAAGAAAGGGAGTATGTACGCCAACAAAGGGAGTATGCACGCCAAGAAAGGGAGTATGCACGCCAAGAAAAGATTGAAAATAAGGATCGGGAAACAATGGCCATGGATACAACCCATATGTTCCCTGAAACAAAACAATATTGGAAGCTAGAACGAAGGGATGTTATGAGACGAAGACTTTTTTGTGACGATGGACCTAGCAACACGGATTGGTTAAATGATCAAAACAATTAAGTTAGTTTGCTTGCCTTTCATTTCATTGTACCATTAAATTAGTTTGCTTGCCTTTCATTTCATTGTATATTTTTTTTTGTTTAAAAAATTAGTGGTAATTCATGTATTTTATTTTATGAGTTGTATTGATTTTCTTGTAGTGAATGAAGAAAATATTCAACAAGATTCCTTTTTATTCAAAACATTCCATACATAAAAAGCAAACCACAACCAAAGCATAAAAAATAAACAAACCACAACAAAAGCATAAAAAAACAACAAAGCATAACTAAAAATACAACATAAACATAATGCACTAAAAAAACATCTTCACTTGACTTCATTGACCTTCATTGCCTTTCACCGCCCACAAATGCTCCATCAAGTCAACTTGACGGTGTTCATGAATATACGACGATTGCATCTCCGTGTAGCGCTCAATCATACGATGCATGAAAGTACCGTCTCTAACCAACGGATCATGCTCCACTGGTTCTCCATTTGGCCCCATAGGTTTCATAAATTCGTGTTAAGGTCGTGTTCATGGGATCTGATTCATACACTTCCTCAACATCGTAATCATACTCATCTTCCACAATCATGTTGTGGAGGATGATACAAATCATCATTATACTTCTGAGCACCTCTTCGTCAAATAGACGTGCCGAGCCCCTGATAATAACCCACCAAGCTTGAAGGATACCAAAGCAACTCTCCACATCTTTTATGTACCCCTCTTGATAGGCAGCAAAAATTTTTTCCTCCTGGGATCGGGGATGTGGAATTGATTTCACAAATGTTGTCCATCTCGGGTAGATACCATCAGCTAGATAATACCCATTTTGATAGACGGTATTATTGACTTGATATGTGATATTTGGGCATTCACCTCTCAAAATATCATTGAACACCAGGGATTGACCCAGGACGTTCAAATCATTTTGAGAGCCGGCAACTCCAAAGAAGGCGTGCCAAACCCAGGTATCAAAACCAGCAACTGCTTCGAGGATGATGCTTTTATGCCCTTTCCGATTACCATAATTCCCTTGCCAAGGAGATGGACAATTTTTCCATTGCCAGTGCATGCAGTCAATGCTACCAATCATTCCAGGAAATCCACGAGACTTAGCTTTTTGTAAAAGCCGTTGCAGGTCCCTGGGCGTAGGTCTGCGCAGGTAGTCCATGGTGTACAGATTTTCCATTGCATCACAAAATCGCACCAAACTCTCCAAAATAGTGGACTTCCCCATCCGAGCAATCTCATCCACCTGATCAGCAGATGATCCATAAGCCAACATTCGTATCACAGCTGTGAACTTTTGCTCGGGAAGCAGCCCCAAATCTCCAGCACAATTTTTCTTTTGAACAAAGTAGTCATCATAATTGCAAATATCATGCATGACTTTATTGAACAAATGGGGTTGCATTCTATATCTTGCTCGAAAATGAACATCGGAGTACAGAGATTGTGGGATAAAATAATCTTCCAGAAGATTCTTACCCCGACAATGTCTATGTCTGTCCACATTCGATGCCCGACCTTCTCGTGAACCACGGCGGCTCTGGTTTTCTTCCTCCAGCATAGCAACGGCCACACCAAGTTGCTCATTTGGTTCTCTATGCGCCCTTTTGCTTGCAGCTCTTCTGCGCATTCTTGCTCGCCTTTCTCGCTCTTGCCTATCCAAAACATCTTCCATGTCTGACATTGAGAATGGAGAATGAAATCTAAAATCTGAGAAATGAAATCTAAAATATGAGAAATGAAGATGTAGAGAAGATATGGTGTGGGAGGTATGAGCTGAGCCTCTGGTTTTATAGAAAAATTTAGACAGATAGAGATGACACGTGGCACAATTTTAGAGGATGAAAATCTTATCTGAAATTTGAAATTCAAATGAAATTTGGAATTGGAAATTTATCTGGAATTTGAATTTTGAAATTTATCTGAAATTTGAAATTTATCTGAAATTTGAAACCGAAAATCTTATCCGATATGAATAGTATTGACACGTAGGAACCCAAAAATCTTATCTGAAAATGTTATCCAAATTAATTGTTTAAATAAACAAAGTTGTGAAAAAAACAAAAAAATGAATAGTATTTGCCATGGCAAAGGGCTAACTGCTGGAAACACACATTTGTTGGGGGAGCTAGGGCAGCCACTATTCACATGAATAGTAACTGCCCTAGGGCTCCCCTTGCCATGGTAAGCGGCTAACTGGTGGAAGTGCTCTAAGCTATGCGGTTTAAGGGGCTTGTTTACTCATAAAATGGACTAATGTTATGTGTATTTTATTTTCTTTCTTTCTTTCCTAGTCAGAGACACAGAGGAATAAAACTTAAGTAATTTAAAAAGAAGAACATCAACTGTTGCACTTCATTCGACATGTTTTATGGGGTCTGTCTGACTTGACTTCTGAATATTTTTATGGTTTTCTCCCAATATAAAACATGTAAAAAAGGAATCAAAGAAAAGTTGCGGGAGTTCCACTGTCAAAGTTTCAGTGAAAATGTGTATGTGCGGAAGACAACTCTTAAAAAGAAGAATGGAATTCTTTTTGAAGCCTGCAGGATGGCTGTAGAGAGACAGAAGCACTAGGCGCATTTAAGATTCATTCAAGTCATAAGGGCTGTTGCATTGCGTGTTTCGTTTTCTTGAAACAAACATGAATGATAAAAATAAAAATTAACACCAAATAATGACTTCATCAAGATTAAAAAGATCAACTTCATCGTACAGACATTTTGGTATTTGGTCACGCACAAATCAATATCAAAGAAAATACATGCTTCATCAAATGTGTGGTCAGGTCTGGTGGTATAAGGTGAAAAATTGATCTCCAAATACAATCTGGTTGAAAATAACAGTACGAGTGGGAGAAGCATATGATATGAAGTGCTGAGAGGTTCATACCAAGAATGGAGACTATAGAATCATGTCTCAGGGCTGCAGCACAAGCGGATATATGCAGCTACAAAGCTTATACAGGAGCAACAGCTGAACCACTTGTAAGCGGTTCACTAATCTCAAGGAGTTCATTACACAGCCCCGTGAAAACAACAGAATCAGTTTCAATAGGTTTAAACTTGACAAGAGCTGAGGGGACCAAATCCTCATCAGCTAGTGTTGCAGCTTTCTCCCCTGCTCTAGGAAAATGAGGGATCACCCGCCGTTTGATAGCTACAGGATTTAACAGCTCAAATTCCAAACTAGGCTCTTTCAATGCCGAGCTCACATACTGGTTCATCAAGACCAAGCAAAAATTAAAAAGAAAAACTTTTTAACTTAGTAAACACAAAAGTAAATATTAACTTTGAAGCCAATTGATTATAATATATCCTGTTTCTTTGTGTCTTCATTGTTTTCCCCTTATTTGGGCTGAATACATGATAGTTTTCTAACCAAACTTGTCTTAAACGTCGAAGACTACATCCATTCATACATCAAAGACTAATCATAATCTGCAGGATAATACATAATATTAAAAATCTGGTGAAAATGCAGATTTCTATAGTTGTTGACAAATAATACAATTTTTGTTTCTTAAAAAAAAAGAATGGTTTTATAGCAGGCAGTTTTAATAAACCAAGGGAGCAGCTATGGGGAAATAGGAATTAGTAATTCTTATGAAAAGAACCACAACTGTATTTCAAACATGTCACTTGTTCAGAAAAGAACTAGAAACAACATATCTATATATTTACATGTACGGTACTTACAGCATATTCATTTTCACCCTGTTATATATCTAAACTACACGCATAGAATCAAAGACAACTAATTAAAACATTAGGAGGATGGTGAAAGACTAACCTCATATAGAGAGCTAGTTGACTCCCAAGGAGAAAAAACACCCTGGAGCACCACTCCATCAGGAAACTGGATCCGGACAACAGTTTTTCTGTACCTGTTTTTAGCAGCTTTTGCCTGCTTTTCCTTGTATGACCTTGGGATCAACATCTGCGAATCTTCAATCTTCTTCTTTCTCGTTTCAGCTTCTCTTTTTAGTTCCATAGCTGACAGGTTATAGAAAGATTCTGGTAGCTCAATTCTTGCTGCTACACTTTCAGAGACAGAAAAGAAGACCTTGGTCTGAACAAACCAAAAATTTAAGAGAATCAGAAGTAGTTAATTGAAAGAGAATGGATGAGACATAAATACTATAACAGGAAGCACTAAACAATGGTAATACAAAATAAAGGAAGCTTTTAAGGTTATTACACAGAACACACTTAGAATGGAGTTCACTGTAACCAGTTTAATCATTTGAAAGGTTGCCACAAATTCGGAAACAAAAGAACTTAATAAGGACATTGGACGAGAACAGGTTGTCTGTGCAAAGTAGATGCGCTAATTGTGATCATCAGTCTTTCTAGCATGGTAATATCATCATCTAACCGGAGTTTTTGGCTGCAGTGCTTTTCCCATCATTTAACTGGATTTTTCTAACGATATTTCTGATCTAAAATTTAACATACAATAATATCCAATTCTTCCGGAGTGTGCTTTGATTTTCTTTGAAAATGAAAATGCAATCCTCATACCTGGTGAATGGGACGAACTATAAAATATTTCATAAATTTTAGCTTGTGGCCAATAGTACCAACGCTCAACTAAGTGTTTCTTACATAAATTTATAACTTTCAGGGAAGATATGTCGAGGCATATAAAGTAGATGATCATTAATTACTGCCATAAAGGACAAAATAAAGATGAACAAGTGAACACCATCAACAGTTAACGTACCTGGCGGTCGACCTTCTTTGGTTCAATCTGTTCATCCACCTTAGGTGTATCAATTGATGGAGAATTTTCGATCTTTTGAAGTTCTTGTACCTTCGGTGGTTCCAGTAACGCTATTCCATTTTTCATCAAACTAATTTGTTCCTCCGAAGGGACCTCCATCATTGCCCACATATCCCCTTCCTCCTCTTTCAATTCAAACCCCACAAACTCCAGCAACTCCATGCCTCCCACAACCTCACCAATGGCCTCCCTTATCTTTGGATTACTCATCCGAATCTTTCTGAACTTCACGTTCTCCGGTTCCTTAACTATATTCCTCAACAGCCTAAGAACAACCTCCACCGATCCTGTAGCCGGATTTCCTGAGGCAAAGGTGCCAATGCGAGCTTCCAATTCACTCCGAGACGACCCAACCCCGATATCATCCGACCCTGAAACACCAGGACCCTCTGCACTTTTATTGTCCACCGAAGTATTAACACAGGTATCTACATGTACGGAGACTTCGTCTTCTGACCTAAAAGATTGGCCGCAGATTGGACATTCGTAGACATTTAGCGTATACCCATTTTGGGATCTCTTCCCCGGAGTGATCAGAGAGTCAAATGGATCAAACCCATTTTCCGGCTTGCGATTAGGTTTGGAATTATTCGAAAACTCCGGCTTGTTCTGATCAAGATTCTGTGTTTTCTGAGGCGAAGGCTTGGGATTTGGCGAGGCAGCCGATGAACTAGAATTTGAATTTGAATTTGAAACGGGGTTGGGCTTGGGCTTGGATTGGGGAGCCTGCGATTGGCGGAGGAGGGCCGAATTAGCGGGACCTGATGAAGACGACCCCAACACTCTACCTTGGCCCTTGAATTTACCAGAGGATGAAGACGAGAAGGGATTCTTGATGAATTCCTTGAACTTGTCACCCATCTTGATGTTAATTCGGCAAGGTGTTCAAACAGACACAAGGAGAAAAGCTAAAACAAGAGGTTTGATATATGAAGCAGAACCGGAAAATGAAATTAGGGTTATAAGGGGGTTTGATGAAGGAAGGAAAAAGTCGTGGTCAATTGGATTGGATTAGGAATTAACAATCAAGAATTATAAGAGCAGGAGTTGCTTGGATAGTTCCGTTCTTTGTTGACTTCGCTCGGCCGCGTTTCATTGTCTAATTTTCCCCGCCAAACGGCATTTCGTCCTTAACGGCCGGGTTTCCGTCCCCGTCGATGTATTTTTATTTTTATTTATTTTTTGTGTGAAATCCTTGTCAATGTATTTATTTAATTAATATTTAAAATGCAATTTTTATTTAGCCTTGTGCAAGTTTTCTCTTTATTGTTTTTTTGGCCCTTTGGCCAATTAGTTGTTAGTTTAATTTTTTACAAATTTTCTAAACTCATGTTGCAATATTTCATCGTCACCTGGTTTATACTGAAGCAATTGGATGACTGCTTAACTGTGATTCATATTGAAGAAGGAGGCTCCAGATTGATGAGCAGACTAGGGGTTTCTATACTGAATTTTTTTTTTGGGGTCTGATTATTCCAGTTACTTTTCCCTTGATCTTCCTCCCTGTAGCAACAAACCAAACTCAATTTCTGATTTACTTCTCAAATTTCGATATCCAATTACATATATAGTACTATAAAAGATAACAGGTTGATGCTGAAAATACCTGCAGGATGACTCAAAATGCCTAGAGGAGGGTGAATAGGCCAATTTAAGATTCTAATCAAATAAATAAAAATAAACTTCGGTAGCAGGATTGATATGACTTATCAATCCTGTAACGTGCTGGGCATAAAATAAAAGAACACGCAGAGAATTATTTTACGTGGTAAAAACCCACCTCTAGGGAAAATCCACGGGACTCCTCAGTCCAACACAAATCCACTATAGAACGATGATTACAAGAAGTACTCACACGCTTATCCTAGACACATTCTAGATAATGTTTACCGACTTCTTCGTAACTGAACTTCTGTCACGGGATGATCTTCGACACTCCTTATATTGAACGCAATACTGGCCACGATTGCTTCAAACTCACCGGAGGAAAACCGCCACCACAGTCTTGGTGCCCTCAACCGTATGAGTCACCAACATGCATATGTATGCAATATGAATGAAGAAAGGATTTGATAAATCACCAAGTAAACAAGGAACACTTGATGACTTATCTAAGAAAATAAGCACAGCAGCTTTTGCAAAACAGATTCAATATTTCCAAAGAAAACCAATACGTTAAAAAGCTACACTTGTGAAAAGAACACCCTTAGGTTTTATTCAAAACAGGTTCTCTTACTCAAGAACCTACGTGACAACCAAATCCATTCACCAAAGATTTTTAATCCTATTCAACTACTACTACCCAAAACCTGATGCAATATGAAAACTAGTTAGCAACAACAAACAAAAGACCACACAAACTATTCAAGCAAGAATATTTCTTTTGATTCAATTTACATGCCATGTGATTCATGCCAGCTAATGCACGATGAGAGGACTTTCTACTCCAGCCCATCTTCTAAACCAATATCTACCTCACAAATTAATAAGCCCAAACAAGTAGGAAATAATATTAGGAAATAAAATCTAATCCTATTAAAAATAAGATTAAGACAAAAATACTTTGAGTGAAAATAACTCAAACTAGGAATCCTATAATGAATGCATGATTTACCTGAAATAAGATTCCTCATATCGGTCAAGTCATGCTTTGGAAACCTGGGATTGAATGTGTTGCGCCAAAACGTCTAGTAAACGATATTCACACACTAACTCCCAACCTATGCTAGAGTCTAGGAAATGACAATACAAATTTCATACTAACAGATGCTTCATTCAATCCAAAAGTCATAAAATTACTATAACGCAAGACATTTGAACCATACAATCACATAATTTCAACTTGACCATAAAAACATATAAAGAACAAAATCACACTATTGATCACCTTCAGAATCAACCCAGAGGCTAATAATACAACCAAGCTTTGTAGATCCTTGACCAAAATAAACAACCGCACGGCTATACTCAGTTTTTAACTAAAAATTAGTATATACTCCTTTTTTCTAATTTTGTTTTAAAAATATTATAGCCGCACGGCTTTACTTTTCGGCACGTGGCACACGGGCTCTGGTATTTTTTTGAATTTTTTAGTATAGGTATACGGCTATACTGGTTTTTAAATAAAAAAAAAAAAAAAAAAGTATAGCTGTTCGGCTTTACTTTTGTGACACGTGGCACCTGGGCGGGGGGTGCGTCCTTTTTCTTAAATATATAAATGGTATAGCCGGGCAGCTATGCCTTAAAAAAAGAATATTTAATTCAGGAAATTTCACCGGCATAGACCTATGCCGATGAAATTTCGTCAGGAAAGTTTTTAAAAATATATATAATTAATTTCTTTACTTTTGTTTTTTGGCATGCTTATTTAATTTAATATATGTAATTAAGTAAGATCTTAGCCTTTTTGAATTACTTTAATTAGTAATTATATTTTAATTATTATTTGATATTAAACATATTAAAGAAAAAGTCAATAAAATAATTAATTTATATTTATTAAGTCTTTTGTGAAATCGTTGGATGTCTTAATTAAATTTCTCCATAGCCCAAGAGCCCAATCCATTACTATTAAGCCATTACTCGAGTTTCTATTTCGCCTTTTTGATTTTTTACTTTTCCAAAGTTATTACCTATAGAAAGATTTTTGCATTTTCACGTTTAATAATATATTATACACGTATGCACGTATTTTTCATGTTTAATACACATGTTTTATACAAAAATTTCAATAAGACACACAAAATTCTCACATATTATTGAATAAAAATAATATTTTTTTAAAGGTATAGCTGGACGGCTATACACAATTTTCCATAATTTTTTTAATAGTATAACTGTACGGCTATACTCGTTAATACACATGTTTTTTACAAAAATTTTAATAATACACACAAAATTCTCACATATTATTGAATAAAAATAATATATATTTTTTAAACGGCTATACTCAATTTTCCCTTAATATATTTTTTTTAATAGTACAGCCGCTCGGCTATACTCCTGGTATAGCCCCACGACATTACTTTCGTGACACATGACCCCTACGCACTAGGCGCGTCCTTTTTTTAATCTATAAATAGTATAGTCGGGCGGCTATACTTTTAAAAAAGAATATTTAATCCAAGAAATTTATCCGGCATAGACTTGTGTCGACAAAATTTCGTCGGTAGAGGTTTTTTTTTAATTTTAAAAATATATAATTAGTTTCTTTACTTTTATTTTTGGCATGGTTCTTTAATTTAATATATGTAATTAAGTAATATCTTAGCCTTTTTGAATTACTATAATTAGTGATTATATTTTAATTATAATTTAATATTGAAAATATTAAAGAAAAAGTCCATAAAATAATTAATTTCTATTTATTAAGTCTTTTGTAAAATCTTTTGGGTGTCTTAATTAAATTTCTCCATAGCCCAAGAGCCCTATCCATTACTATTACACCATTACTCGAGTCTCTATTTCGCCCTTTTGATTTTTTATTTTTTCAGAGCTATTACTCGTATAAAGGTTTTTGTTTGGGCCTAAAAATTGACACACCCAGCCCAGCGAAAGAAGCCCAAAATCCAGAAAAGCCCGGCCCAAAGCTTATCAAAGCAAAACAAAACCAACCTGGGCCTCACAGGCCCGTTGTGATAAAAAGAGAGGGGGGCCCAGAAACAGGAAACAATCCCACGTGACATCTGTGGGATAAAGGAAAGTCAACAATGGCAACTGTCATAGAAGAAGTGATTGAAAAATTTATGTCATCAAGCTGTTCTGAAAACCCTGAAAAATCTGAAGATCAAAATCCCTCTTACATATATATATTCAGAGATTTTTCTTCTATTCTACAGAGAAGGTAATTCTCCCAAAGAGATAAGCAAGCTACAATCTCAGAGAAGGATAAGCAGGAAAGCAGGGAGCTGTCCAGAAAAGAAATCAAACTAACCATCACGGTAGAAATCTCACAAGGGGCAGTTGAAATTGGGAAAAGAGATTAGGTTCTTTTTCAAGAAAAACAGGGAAGTGATTGCCTATTTGAGAGCCTATCTGCCAAACTGATGAAATCCTATTTTCTTTCTTTCCATTAAAAAGAAAAAAAAAAAGGGAGATATCTGTTGAAAAGATTTGCCGCCCAATATTAAACAAAATCACCCTACTCCAGAAAAACATTTTACTATAAATACAAGAAGAAGTGAACAGGGCAAAGGACACAAAAAAATTCAACATCCAATCAAACAAAAATCTTACACAAGGAAACCATAAGTCAAATAGACAACTCAAAATCAAGCAACAAGCCCACTTGAATTTCAAGTGAAACCAGCTTCAAATTAGAATTCCCAAGGCTCAGACTTAAGAAGTAAGTCATTCAAAACGAGATTTCTCTCGTTACAAATTTGGTTCAGAAAAAAAAACCAAGACAGGTAGAGCTTGAGCTTTCTCCAAATATGGAAAATTTCAACAAAATTCACAGTGCAATCTCTAGCCCACTGAAGTCCTCAAAAATAGTCACTTCTGCCCAAGCAGACTGAGGAAACCGCAGTTCTGCCCACTCAAAAGCTTCACAAAAGCTTGAGGTACATTGAAGCTCTGCCATAATCAACTTTTGGTATCGATTTACAGTTGAAACCTAACAGTCAAAGTTGTCAACGGTCCAGTCCAGCCCAGGCATTTCCAGTCCAGCCCGGATCAGAACCTTCCATCTCGACAGAAATGGAGTTCCAGCTGTCTCTTCATCTCTTTCTAGCATGAACATTTATTGTTATATTTTTGTAAAAGGCAGTTCCGCCTAAAAACAGTTTAAATCTCATCAACCATTCTGACTAAAACAACCTCTTTATACTGAGATAAATTGTTGAAGTCCTCAACAGTCTGAGGCAAGAAAAGAACTTACTTGGGAGATATTCCTCACCCAAATTCACAATCGCTTGTTTGCATAAATCAGCAACTTGGGACGCAAGTTATCCATTCCAAACTAAGTCTGCTAGAATTTTTATTACTAGCAGTGGCACACTCGCACACCAAAGAAAGCTGATTTGTTGACCAGTCTATGGTTCTCAAGGCAGTGGGGAACTTTGCCCTTCCATCATAGGAGTAAACGCAAAACGGGTGAACAGTTTTAACACTTTCACGTTTAATAATGTATTATACACGTACACACATATTTCTCATGTTTAATACACATTTTTCACAAAAATTTCAATAAGACACAAAATTCACGTATTATACACATAATTCTCACATATTATTGAATAAAATTAATATATATTTATAATAAAAAATTTGTATAGCCGTACGGCTATATTCAATTTTCTTTTTTTTTTTAAGTTATAAAAAGTATAGCTGTTCAGCTTTTCTTTTGTGACACGTGGCAGTGTGGCACCTAGGCGATGGGCACGTCCTTTTCTTTATAAATCGTATAGCCGCGCGGCTATACTGTTTAAAAATAATATTTAAACCAATAGGAGAGGTTTTTTAAAATTTTAAAAATATAATAAAATAAGCAAGAGGAACAAGATAAACCTTGTAAAATTCAGCAATGCGGCTCACCTTAATGAGCTTTACCTTAATGAATCACCAGCAAAGGATCGTTTTGCAGCATCAGCATCCTCTTTCTTATTTATTGGTAGGACAAAAGGGTCACGATGAGCAAGGGCAGCTGCAATTGTTAAAGCAGGATTCAGGCATTGAAAGATAGAACCCATTAGAAACATCTTCCCAATGTTTGGATCCAATGGTAGTGTGCAAAGATGGTGACCTGTCATGTAAGATTTGTCAATCAACTACCAGAGCTGATATTTAGTAGAGACTTGCATAACTGATACGTACCAAGTGGAGTAAGCCCTCTATGTCATCTAAAGCTCCAATGGTTTTGAGAAGTTCGATAGCATTTTGAACAGCAAAAAGGATCTGTTGGCTGAAGTGCCTTAGCCAAAAAAGACCCAACAGCTCCAAGCTGCAAACTTTTGATGTGGAGGCATAGCTCTTGCAAAGGTGTTCGGAGAATTTCAGGTAACTGATATTGGAGCATTGCACAGGGATCATTTTTGGATATAGTCTGTGTAACAAACTCTAGGCTGCACAGGGCCAGCACGCCCTCGCCTCTGGAATCATCACCAAAGCAATAAAATTTAATCAAATGTTTATTTTGACAAGCCATAAATGGATCCAACTTGGTAGTCTTAACAAGTTTGACATACTGCAATCCAGGAATTTTTTTTCATAGCAAAGTTGCAATTTTGAAAGGTTAAAAACTCTTTGTGAATTGAACATCTAAAGTTTTTTTACTTAAATTGACCTTGAGTCCCTTCATGCATTCATATCATACATGAAAATTATTTTATGTAAAAATATTGACTAAGTATGAAAAATGATTTTTTGGAATAATTATTTTTTCAAAATAATTTTCGAAGGCTTTTATTCCTTACACATCAAATAAGAAAACTTGATTTTACCTAAATGCTGAAAACAGAAATAAGGTAATCTGTGTATCTGAAATGCACTACCACTAAAGGTCTAGCTACACCCCCTTACGCCTTAATAGGTCCACCACTCACCCCAACACCTTTAAAACAAAAGAAACGACCATATTGGAGCTTTGTGGTATTAGCTAACGCAGATAAGGTCTAGGTCGATAAGAATTCGCAGGATATTTCGACCTCATTATCATTGTCAAGGTGAGCAAAATTAGCAAAGCATCCATGTTGAACTTTGGGTTAGCCACCACAGCCAACAGTGATCTGCAATCCGCACTGCAAATACATGATAACTTGCAATATCTGTTCCTCGATACATAACTTCCAGAGAAAATTTATACTCCCGTTACAATTATTAACCATATTATACACCAACAATAAGGATTGAATCAGAATTTTACAATCCTCGATACATGACTTCCTGTGATGTCTAACTAGCCTTCCTCCTCCAATACAGGCCAAACCTGGATATCTAAGAGCATAACCTGTTCCAAATATTAATCCAGACCAAGCCACGATAGCTAAGAGCATAACCTATAACAAACGAACAAGCTCTAACCAAACACAAATGAGTAACAAAGCAACTGCATACCAATGTTATTTTGAAAAGAATGGCTTTCAACTTTCCGGACAAGCCGCAGCGAAACCGACCTTCTCCAACTCTGTACAAATGGAGAGGATTACCTCTAAGCTCCAGGTTTACAAGATCAATACAATGTACAATGACCTGTTGCATGACCAACACAATTAACCACTGCTTAGTCTTAGACTGCAAAACCCTTTTTCTCCCCTAAGCAACCAGCCAGATTAGTATGATTGGCCTCTCTGCTTAGCAGGAGGCCGAGCTTTGGAATTAGAGGCCTCTATCTAGATCTATATTGCTCTACATGTTATGACATTTTCCTCCCATCAGCACGAGGAAAACTTCCCTATTCCAGATGCACGAACCGGTTGCACCTAAGTTTCTCCCCATCAGTACATACAGCTTAAAGATTGAAATAAAACCAACATTAAGTTCTCAAGGTTGAGAGGCTAAGATGTAAGCAGAGACCCAAAGAGTGAGTTAACACAGCCAAGACCCAGGCATAGAATGTTATTATGCAGACAAAAGACAGCCTGGGTAAGTTGTAACTTGTAGCAGTCTCAAATTGATTGTGCTTGCTTTAATCTATGGCACCTTAAACTTGTAATCATCTACACCAACATTTATAACAGAAAAAGGATCGGTCCCAGCCTGTTGTTGTTCACTATCAATACGTAAATAGCCTATGTATCAAGCATAATCCCAAATTAAATCTCACAAACCCAGATGCATATTAATCCAAACCAATGTACAGGACAACTAGTTGGATATATAAGCAGCACATACCCTAAAACTCAAAGATCAATAACACATAATTATAGGGCAAATTTCCACAAATTCACACACACACAAAAATCCCTAATTTCCAAATTCACGGACACATAGCAACAGAAATTTCAAAATCCGATTAAAAAGGAACTGTAGTTAACCCAATAATGTCTCCACCACAAACACAAAATAAACCTCAGAGCTCCACATCTAAGATCTAACAGCAACTAAAAACTTATCGAGTGGACTCAGTCGCGATTCTTCAAGCGTTCGACGCGCTGGTTCAAATGCTCGATGCGGATGACGAGGTGGGTGACGGTGTAGAGAAGCCAGTAGAAGATCAAGGCGGCGGCGATCAAGAGCGCATTGCGCTGGCTCTTCATGATCGACTTCTGGTGGCGGAGGTGCTCGGAGGGAGTGCACGAGTCGCCCTCGCAACTCGGCCGAGTCTCGTACTTCCAGTAGATGTCCATCAGCAAGAAGAGGCAAAACGGCACCACCGACAGAAACGGTTTCAGGAGATTGCGGGTGACGGCGACGAGGCCCTTGCGGAGGCCGTCGAGGCCCGGGAGCGTCAGGAGCAGGACCATGATGGCCTCTGCAGCCGCGGCGTATCCTAGTACAACCCACTCCAAAGCCATCGGATCTCAGTTGCTTGCTTTCGGTTTCTGGGTTTGGGATTGAAAGAAGAAATTCTTTGCTTCGTGATTAAGGACTTCCTCGCTTTCTCCTCTCTCAGCGCTATTTATGGAGGACAGGAAAAATGTAAAATTTCTCGATAAAGTCGGTTGATTAATGTTTAGGAGGTGCGGTGGAAGGCCGACACGTGGCAGACTCGTTACTTAGACTGGTGGACATTCGTGATACAGGTGGAGACCTTTTTCCCAGGCCCCAAGTCCTCTATGGCGCTTTTTTTAGTCGTTTGGCCCAACCCATGTTTTGTGTTATGGAATGAATAACCCAATAACCCAATTACCCAGCCCAAGTTTAGTCGTTTGGCCCAACCAGGTTCAAGTTTATTAGTAGTAGTTTTATTTTTCTCTTTTTCTGTTTACTTTCCCTAAACCCTAAATTATAATAGAATCAGCCTTAGCATAAAATAAATTTGATTATCCGTTCATAATTTATACCATCTTGGGCTGACCCTTTTTTTCCCTTAACGATTGGGGATGGCTAGAGGATTTCCAAGTTAAGATATGTACCAATATTAGGAAGATACCCCACTAGACTTTGATTAAAAATTAGTTGGTTGGACCGACTTATTATTAAATTTCCCATATTTTTTCTAGACTTTGATTAATTGTCATTATCTCACTTTTTCTATGTACCATGAATGTGAAACAGATTTTTCCTTGTTGCTGTTATTTTAATAAACATGTATAAATAATAAATTTTATGAAATAATAATGGAAAGTCTCATACCAACCCAAAGCCTTTGTCTTCCCTGTTGCCATATTGAAATAATAATGCATCACAAGGCCGTTTCTTACTTTTTTCTTTGGTTGCCTTTTGAAGTCATAATATATATATATATATAGAGAGAGAGAGAGAGAGAGAGAGAGAGAGAGAGAGAGAGAGAGAGCATACGGTTTTAGAGTGAACATCATTGAAATGGGGTTTCTGGCAGCTTCTTTGTCATTTTCATATTACATACAGAGAGCAGTTGGTTAGTACCCTTTTGTCGCATCCATGACACATCACTTTGAACAAGCCCAACAATTAACAATTAAAAATGAAAAGAAACTTGTAAATATGCCTCGTGGAACGGACAGGGAGTAAAAATGCTCTGCTTAATTTTTAGGCAATATAAAAGTCCACTTGATTGATTAATCTAGTCCGCAGACTGCCGCTTACAATTCAAAATGATTTTAATCCCACCCCGCTGGCATGGATTATCTCTCTCCCCATATTCAGGGTCTACTCCTTTATTCATTTGTTAGTTTAAATAAATTATATTTAAAACTCGAATTTTGTGCGCACTCATAATTTCTTTAAAGAAACTAGTACGATATTATATTAAGAATCAAACGCAATTACACTACTCAATAAGAACATCCCTGATCAAGTCAGACAGCAATACATTTTCTGCATATACATATTATACGGGGCAGAAATGGTTGAGATATAGGAAGCTTCATAAAATTATCCCAAGTAGATTGGGGCAGAAATGAAAACTCCTAGGCTAGGCTAAAAGCAAAGGGATAATGGATGAGAGAGAAGGTTGACGAATTAAATCCATGCCAGTTGTGCCTTTAAGAGCATATTATATATCAGTGAAGCTTGCCTTAATCATTGTTAGGATCATCATTAAATTAGCATCTTCGATATCCAAATCCAATACTAGCTTTCTTTTGACCAATTCTATGTTCTTGAATGTTAGGCAGCAAAGCAATGCATAGTCAAATATCCACAAAGTTACTTTGGTTAGATGAAAAGCAACACGATCTTGTACTGCTTAATCTCTCATTCATATATATATATATAGCTAACTTCACCTAACAAAGAACCAAAAACATACCAGCTGCAATGAGATTGAAGACTGGAATTACAGAACAAATGGACATTGAATTGGCATGAAATTAGATGAACATGTCACAATTTAATTTTTGGGAAAGTTTCCCACTCTGTATGTAAAGTTATCAAAAGTTTCATGACACTCAACAAAGACAATAAAGAAAGAAAGAAAAGCATCACAAAGTCTACTTTTTTCACACAAATCTATGATGTTTCTACACATTATTTGTAAAACAATCTAATTAAAATTGTTAATAAGACCAGTTAAGTGGAACTCTGTGGGTGCAATGCAAGGAGTAAGGAATCTTTGTGCCTTTTCTTCTTATTCATCAAAGTTTGATTTCACTTGTTTCAAGGCACCTTTATGGCTTTATCCATATACATCTTTCTATCTACCCTCGCAATGCTTCTTCTTTACAAAAGGAAATGTAACAGAAACTTCAAATAGCCATGGAGGGGAGGGAGGACAAAAGCTGGGGCCAACAACTTAGAATTGAAGCAAAAAAGAAGCCACCGAAAGCCAAATGAAGTTACCAGGGGTAGAAAGAAACAGCTGCTGTAATTCAAATCCATCCACAATCTGTAATTTATTTACCACCTGCAAAAGAATTAATATATAAAACAAGTGTAAGAGTTTTGACCGGTGTATATATGCGTGATTGGGAATAACAAAGTAATGTTATTTCCATGACATGCATTGTTGTTGGGGGTGTAGAGTGGGATTAGAGAGCAGAGAAAGAGAATATATACTGTACATTTTTCCTCGCACAAATACTTTCTGAAGTAAGAAAGAAACACGACGAGCAGTGCAACCCCTGCTATGACTCCAATCAATATTGCAAGTGTCTTCTCGAGCTCATCATTATCATCATCATCATCATCATCGTTGGGATCATCTGAAGCAGAAAAACATCAAGCCATAAGAAAAAGATACCATCACTTTATCTTTATGCACAGCAAACAGAATAAAGTAGCAGTCAATAATAAAAACTGAATTATGAATGAATGAGTATGGTGATTTGATCCAACCTTAATTTAAAATGTTGATATTACCGAGCGTAATCTGTTTCTTTCAAGCCTAAACAGATTATGCAGTGTTTGATTGATACTTGATTTTCACCAATGTGGTAATTTTAGTATACGGACGGAGGCTCTGTTTTTTGTTCTCTCATCAGATTCAAGCATTGAGAACAAACGGGTCACTTTTGGATATCATCTCTAGCGCCATGGTATTGGATTCCTTTTATGAATTCCTGATGAGGCAGAAATTCTAAGTGGGGGTCTCTTTGTCCCAATTGAGATGCACAAATTATTACTACAATGAGCTTTAGAAATAGCTTCTTTGTTACACAAGAAAAAGTCCAATTACTTGAGTAATGCAATTTTCTTTTGTTTCTCTTTGCATGGCTCAACTATCAATTAAAGAAAAAAGAAAACATGTTTATATTCATACACAATATGAACGAACTTGTTAAGGCAGGGCAACGAGAGCTAGCCAAAATGCTCAATCGCTGGACTCACAAACTGCAAAATCCATTATCCATCAAAAGCAGAGGAATATAATAAGTTAACCACTCTGGAAAACTAATTAAGTACTTCTAATCACTACCAAACACTCTACACACAGGCATAAATAAAGTACATCAAACCAAACCCTGCTCACTGATTAAACAGGGGACAAGGATTTTTATAATTGCAGCACTCTTCTAGCAGTAGTAACGCACACTCTTAGACGTGCACAAAAAAGGGCATAAAAAGAAAGATGAATTTACCAAAATAGCCAATCCAGAGACGTATCTCACGCGTACTACTCACTACTACTTACATGGGAATCTTGGTAAATTCGAATTCTTCAAAACATAAAAAGTTAATTTTCATTTTAACCAGAGAGAAAATAACCAAACCCCAGAAAGTGGAAACCACCATCCGGGGTGGCGAAACTGCTTACCACGACCGCCGTTGGAGGAGTGGTAGCCAGGTTGCGAATACCGCGCGTAGCACTTAGCCAAGAACATGTCCCCCCACGCGCTGGGCCCACAGCCTGATTTGAGCTGCGCGATGGCCTCCGACAGACAATCCTGGCACTCGCTCGGACTCAAGTCCCCAACACACTGCGCCACACCCTGGACATTCCCGGAGCCACTCACCCTGTACGGCCTGTAGGTCCCGTCTCCGGTCCCAAGATACCCCAGCACGGCATCGCGCCTGGTCAACACGTCCGAGTCAAACCCAATCGACTGCCCACATTTCTTGATCACCACGGTCTTGTCCTCCACCCCCAAGAACGTCGAATTGTCGTACTTGATAAAGCAGCCCTCGAGCTGCAACGCGCCACCGCACGAGTTTAGGCATAGGCTACCGAGTTGACTCACCGAGCGGGCGACGCACTGGGCGCAGTCATTGTTGCTGAGGTCGCCGCGGCATTGGAAGAGGCCGTAGACGGTGTCCTGGGAGGAGGAGCCGGGGATGGTGAAGTTGTTGTAGGTGGTGAACATGGCCGAGTTGACCAGGGAGGTGAGGAGCGAGTTGACTCCGGACTCGTAAGGCGAACCCGGGAGGTATTTTTGCTGGGAACAGCCGCCGAAGACGAAGGAGTTAATTGCAGAGGCGGATGGGGTTGCGAGGAAAGAAACAGTAGCGAGAAGGAAAACCCAAAGAAACACAAGTGTTTGATGAGAAGTTAAAGACATGTTGAATTGGGTTGGAGGCAGGCAGCTCCTCTAGCTAGAGAGAATTTAGAAAGAGAATTTTTGAATATGAAGTGTATGAAAGATATTGAAGAGGTTGTTGATGGGGTGCTGTCAAATAACAAATATGAACAGTTAGAAAGGCATAGGCTGCAACACTCTTTTTCTGTGGGTGTGTAGGTGCGTGTATGAGAGAGAGAGAGAGAGAGAGAGAGAGAGAGAGAGAGAGAGAGGTTGCTTTGCTTTGCTTTGAGGGGAATTTACGTAAGGGGCTGAGTAACTTGATGCCTGGGGTGGGTGTGTATGGTATGGTATGTTATGTGAATTATGAATTGGTTATGATTGGGGTGGGTGCGTAAGGTATGGTATGTTATGTGAGCGTAACTGAGTCATCAGTGGTTAATTGGGAAGTTAAAATGCATTATTACGAGTACGAAAGTTTAGTGATGAGTGAGTTTAAAAGTCAATTGTGGTTGAGGGGACTGGTTTTGGTTGACAGATTGACCACACCAGCCTCAAACTATTCTCTGTACGACTTACCTACTTCTACTAATGATTCTGAATAATAAGGTACTTTGGGCATTAAATTTATACATACATAAATTATTTATGAAATTATGAATGTGTTGATTACCAAATGAAGCTCCCATGAAACCCAGTATAACGTAAGTTGCAATTTAAAGCTTTGAAAATGATTCGAAAATGATTTGTAAAGAGTATCAGTTGAATTAATTAATAATTAACTTCCAACTGCTCCTTTAATTAAGCTAGGGCCGTATTATTAATTGACTTTCAAATCAACGCCTGCGAGCTTAGGTATATACGTATGACGACTGAGGAAAAAAGGAAAAGAAAATGATGTTCATTTTGTGACTTGAGAGAGATGCCCTTTTCTTTCTAGCAATCATTCAACGTTTACCACAACATAAATTTATTAATATCCGGAAGGTTCATGAAGAAAACAACATGAATGTGTTGAGCGAGCGCATATAAATTATAATAAGTTTAGTGACTAAGGTGCAAAAAGAAAGGATGAGGGGAAAAAGATATGATCTATGTATATGAATATCTAAACTAAATAAAATATATATATAATATTAGTGCCACGACTCTGCCTTTTTGTTATATATTATGTATTGATACCTCAACGTCTCTCTCTCTCATTCCACAAATGAATACGATATACTCCAATCAGGATCGCAGAAGATGTCATCCTTTTTTTTATATTTATGATTTTGGTTTTTTTTAATATATAATAAATTAAAACACAAGACATGCACATTTTCATGCCAAAGCGATGGAAATGGACTGATTTCTATCTACATGTGTTTTGTTTAAGAACAATCTATATTCCCTTTATCCCGCAATTGACTCACTAAATATTAGAGACTTGACTTGGAAGTTGGGTTGGGTGGACTGAGGTGAGCAAGAAGAGTTGTTCCATCATCAAGTCAAGTGGAAATTTCGGAAAAGGAAGCATGCGATGGAAGCAACTGCAAGAGGGAAGGAAGGTCACCTTCAAATTCAAAAATAATAAAAATGAGTAACTAACGATACAATAATGAAGTTTCTTAGTCTTTGTCTTTCCATCGCTTTTGAATATTCATGTGCCCACAATAAAACAATCGGCTTTTTTGCCTCAACCATCCGACCATGCCATTGTCACTTTGCCCCTGCAGATAAGATTTCCCACCACCACTGCTAATTATGCTTGATTGGTACCTTCACCATTCTTTCTGTCTAGACTCACTCTCAGAGCTGGCCATGTCCATGCCCAACCGATCATGTGCTAGGGTTATGGTTATATATTAAGGAAAAAAGTAGCTATCCCCTGTGCTCTCAATTTAATATACAAATACTCTCTCTTTCTATTATGCACTATGTGGTGCCAACAAGGCTTAATTCAGTGGAAAATGACATTAACTTGCAGATCAGAGGTCTTAAGTTCAAACTCATATGTCAACTTAGCAGTGTGTGTGAGAAATTCCCTCTCTCCTTCCTAACTTTGGCAAAATATTTAAAAAATAAATAAATAAATCATGTACTCTGTGGTTCTCTCTCTTATATGTTGGGCAACAAGCAAATTTATATGACCAAATCCTATATTCTAGAATTTTTCTTTCATTAGAAGATAACAGAAAGGAACCCAAATTTTCTTCAAGGGCTTTCAAGTTGGGCCAAGATCAGATGGACCTACGTATCAAAACCCAACTTCTTTTCATTCGTGGACCGAGACGGACTGGAATTGGGATGGGTTTTGTTTCTATCAAAACTCAACTTCTTTTCATTCAGGGAATGCTCCAGAACGCTTTCCTGCTTTGTTGGGCATGAATGTGATTGATTTCCTCTTTTAACACACAACGCTTTACGAACATATCAAATTATTCATATTCACTATATCAAATACAATATTATCATATCCCACATCGGAAACTTGAACAACACCCGAAGAAACTGAAGCCAATACAGGGCTTGTTGTGACTATAAAAAATCAAACTATAAACACATAACCTAACAAGCACTTCTTCCACAATCTCTAAACGATACGAACAGTAAACACAATAATAATATACAGTCTTGTTGGTATATTCAGATCATCCACCCAGCAGGGGCAGGGCCAATTGGACCACGCCATCCTACAATTGGCCCTTTTTTTCTTTCAGACAACACTGCATTAAGAAACAAAATTCCCAATATAATTCATCTTCCTTTGTTCATCATCTACACGTAATGTAGGTAGGAAATAGAGTTCAAATAAATCCATTCGTCATTATTAACCAACTTTTCCAATAAGCTAGGAACAAATAAATCCAGTACGATTATAAAAAGAATTATTAGATTACTCGTTCTTTTTAGACGCTGATTTTTCGATTCTTTCCTTCTCCATGCGCTCGAATAGGCTTCCATCATAAACAGCTCTAATTGTGTCTTTGTGCAATAAACCACGGCTGTCCTTGCAAAGAACATAGAGGATCTTCCATTCTGTCCAGCTGGCAACCCTACAGTAAATATTGGTTTCATCATCTCTGTTTCACTTCTCTTTAATTAGGGGACATATAATTAAGGGTTTTCAAAACCTACCATCCTGCATAATCCTTTGGCTCCCTATTGGCCTTGAGCATGCCCATCAGTTCATCTGATGTCAAAGCATCGGGATGCGTATGAGCATGCTTGCAGAAGATATCTTCAAACTTTGAAGGAACAAACCTGGACAATTATTATTGTAATTAAATAGAAAATCCCAAAGAAAAGAAGCTGAAAATAGCAATGCTTAAACAATAAAAGTTGGTTTTAGTTTTCACACAAGGGGCTTTGATTCTGCCTTCTGGAAATAATAATAAAAAGACAGAAGCAACCAACAATGTCCAAAAAGCACTCAACTTTCCCTGCGCAAGCAAGCAATATTAAAATATACCTTCCGTGGGAATCATAGACACCGGAGTCGCTTCCGTGTTTGGCTTTATGGATGTTTTTGACTTCAATGGGAAGAAGCGGAGAAGGGAACTTTCCCTGCACCACACCACATACAACAATTCACTCTCTCACTTGTGCACATGCAACTTAATTGTACATTTCCCTAAAACAAATTATTATAATAGCAGCAGCAAAAGCCAGAAGAACAGAAACAGACCATCATACATTTCCCTAAAACAAATTAATGTTGTTTGTTAATGTCACGTGTATTATTCTTGACAAGTTGATGCTTGCACATTCAACCAAATATTCTTTCATATAGATTAACATAATTATATAAAAGATTAGAAATTTGCAATATGACATTGTAACTTTCATAACTAAACCCATCTAAGTATAAAACCATTTTAGTTTGGGATGGCAGAAAAACTTGTATAAAACGGAGATAACATGTTTAAATTTGCTATTCTTGATTAATCACAGACTGCCACATGAAAAAGTTATCACGCATGACATATTGTGATTAATCAGGTACAACAAAATAATGATATTCGTTTCATGCAAGTGTTTCTCCTCGCATGAATTCTCTCATAAGGGTAATGAAACAGGGGTGCTAGCTGTGCTGCGGTGATCAGATCAAACATTCTTCAGCGCCTTTAAGTCCAAGTCTAAAAATGCATAGATATTTTCCGGGTTCAGTTAGAAATATGTGGATGAGAATGGTCCCATGTGTCTAAACTTCTAGAGACTTGGACAAATCTATACTGTACTTTACTTTTAAATATTCTCATCTGAGAAAGCAAACTTCTAGAGAGAGAGAGAGAGAGATACCTCGCGCGTCTTCTGACTGAGGGCCGCATTGATGAGAAAAGAACTTACTGTGGACAACAGAATGCCACAGCCAATTGCACGAAAACCTGCAATTGAGATCGAATTAATACACACTTATGTTTGAATTAAATCTCATATATTAATAATGATAATATCTTAGCTAGATTTTGAGGAAGAAACAAATGAAAACCTTGAAAAGTCTCCCATGGATAAACAATGCCATCATGGTTCCTGTCAAAGAAGGCCACATGTCTCTGCAGAACGTCTTGTTCATTGGGTACGAACTTATTGTTAGCTGGTAAAGAAGAAGAACCCATATCTTTGAATCAAAGGGTGTGTGTGTGTGTGTGTTTGGTTGGATAGAGGAGGAGTATGGCGGTGGGGGTCGGAGGTTGAAACTTGAAACTTGAAACTTGAGGAAGGTGAATTCACGAATGATGGATGAAAGGAAAGGAAAGGAAAGGAAAGGCAACCTAATAACAAACGAGCGGAGCAACTTTAGCGACTTATGGTTTGTTTACGAAAATGTCAGATTCATAATATATATTTATAAAGACCCCAAAACATAAAACCACAGGTGCCAATTTCAATTTAAAACTATATGGCATGCTGTGCCGATACATATCCGATTCTTTATTTATTATTGAGTCGTAAAAGCTTAGCGCTGGCACGCCCCTGGTCCTCTCACGTTGACTGTGGCCCCAAGTTATACCACCCTTTTTTTTTTCTTTTTTCTTTTTAAATACAAAATTATAAGACATTTATTATTAATTTTATTGTTAACTTTATTATGACAGACGTGGCACGCAGCACATAGTGACATAGCGCATGCAACACATATATGACACAGCGAAGCAATGAGGTATAAACCAAAACCAAAAACCGTCTCTCTCCTGTTTTAAAAGGAGAGCATCTTCCCAACGGCACTTTTTCCAAATTCTAATTTTTATTTATTTTTGTTGAGTGATTTACTCAGCAAGGAAACTATTTTTGTGTTGCAATAAAGGAAAAAAATCTATTTTTTTTTTATTCAAAGAAAAATAAGGTGAAGGAATTTTGGGTAATCTGAGCAAAGTCAATAAATGGATTTTGTTCCTTTTTATTTTCTTGTACAGAATCTATCTATCATTATTAATTATGTTTGTTTTCAAAAGAAGGATTCTCCATTCATGTTTGATTTAATTTTCTTTAGGCATGGGCTTGGAATTTCAAAATAAGCATGGATGTGTGTGGGGGTGAGGTGAGAGAGTGATGCAAACATAGATTCCTTCTTTATGAACAATTTAAGGTTTTTTGCTCCATTTCTAACGCAATCTAGTTGGAGAAAGAATTAATTACATTAGAAATCGTTAGTTATGCTGAATTGTGGCAACTAAGCTATCTATTCTACACTATACGGAAATAACAGTAAAATATAACAAAGGAAGGAGGCTTGATTGGCTGCTTAATTGCTTTTGCTTTTGCTTTTGCTTTACAGGAAGAGGAATAGGAGAAGGCAGAAGGAAAACCAAAAACCAAAAACCAAAAGAGGGAGGAAGCAGCGGGTGGGCACTCAACTAAACTCATATGCTTTTACGTCACTTCACCCCATCTGTCATCCACAGTGTGAACACTCATTCATTCTCTCCTGCCTGCCTTGTCCACACGCACCCATCCAGACCCACAAAAGGAAGCTGCTTTGCATCGACAACAATCACATTTGGTTTTTTATTAGTACCAATAATTGCGAACCCCGTGTGTAGTTCTAGTGTACTTCTTCCCAATAAAGGGAAGAAAACGAATCATTAGCTTCTCATCATCGGATACTGAAATTCACTTCAACATAAATACAATTTTATTAATAAAACTTTATTCAGGGTTCTCGGCATCTGCTCTGCTCTGGTCTTTTGGGACGCGCATAAACTTTTTCCATTTTCAAACTGCTATTATCTCAAAAGTCAATCCTTCTGAGAAACCTCAATCACTTGGTCGGCTTCAACGGCCACTCCCTTTTAACGGCCCAAATGTCAAACAAATTTCATCTCCACTTCTTTTATTATTATTATTATTATATATGAAAATTCGATGACATCCCTCTACTTACGCTCTTAACCAAAATACAACATTTCCAAATGAGCAGAGAAGAGAACCATTACGCGTCACCTATAAGAGAAGATGCGTTGCATAATTTATACATGGGGTGGTACAAACCAAATGAAAATGTGCACGCCAACAGAGATTCTGTTTTCTGATTGCTTCAGACGCAAACATTTTGTATCTATGTACTATAGATTTTCGACTTACATTGGATTTTTTGAGGGCATGTCATGTTTAGCTTAACAAACAAGAACCATAAAATGCTCGAGTCTTCTCTTAGCACATAAATCATCATTAGCGTGCGTAATAGCCTAAGGCCATGCTCGATGTTTCTCGTTTTCGACATTATTATTTATTATAAAATATTGGATCATTCATCATCTTTATTAGAATTCATATCCAAACTTGAGGGCTTCAGACACGAAAAGAAAAAAAACATTGAAGAATCGGTATTTCGTAATACATTGATTCATATAATTACATATCATTTACCCACAAAAACAAACTCGGTATTTGGTGCGATTTCAATGTATTCACGTTAGAGAATCAAGAAACAGCCACCCTAACATAACATCCGCAGAAACTTACGGAGTCGTCACCCAATTCTGCAAATATAATAATAGCCAAACAAAATGCAGTCACATTCCAGAAACACAACAAGTTAGGAAAATTCAAACATTTCTAGAAACACAAGAAGTTAGGAAACCTCTCCTCATCAAAGACTTGTATTCAGCTACTGTCCTATGTGTGTGTAAGGTTCCTATTGTTTGTATGAAAACATAACAAGTGTGTGTGTGTGTGTCCAGCATAGCCATATGTCATAGTAACCGACTAAATACGGCTCAAAGTTCATTGAAATGGGGTCTTGAATTGCCAATCAAGGTTCCTCATAGAACAGTCCTCAATTACATTTTGAACTGCAGGCTCAAAGAGTTCATATTCTGAACTGCAGCATAAACAGTAACGGATAGGGTTACATCTCACAAACAGCTCATGGTTCCAGATGGGAGCAATTCTTAATTACATTTGTCAGGATTAGCACATAGATGCTCCTTAACTGGTATCACTCAACCTATATGCTCCTTAACTGGTATCACTCAACCTATATGCTCCTTAACTGGTATCACTCAACCTATATGCTATATATGGTATCATATGCTCATACAAGTCTCACCTTAGAAAATGCAACATTTCACCACAAGCCCCTTTTGATCACCCCTTCCATCTTCATTGCCTGAGAATTCATATTCAAATATTTAACTCCATTTCTACATGATGTGAGCAGAAAGAAAGCAATACAAGCAATTAAATTCAATCAATAGAGACTTAAAAAAGAGTAAAGTATGTGCAGCAAGAAACAGGAATTGACAAACCTTCAGGTGGCTGAGCGAGCTTTCGGTTTTGTGGTGACATCATCTCTTTCTTCAATTGTGTCAATATGTCCTCCATTGTATATTCCCTTTGCCAATTTGCAAGCATGGGGAAAAGACTGGGTTCAACCTGGTAATTTGTCCACCAATCAGCTAGTTTCAACCATACCATAGGAACATATTATCTGAATATTTAAAGGGTAACATCACCTACCACTCCAGTTTCCTGATTGACACATGTCATGTTAATCCTTGTTTGGAACCTAACAGTTGGTGGATTATCCGGATAATCCTTTCCACAGAACAGTTTCAACTGGCAAATTCTCCCTTCATGCACAGTCTAGCAAGAAGCAAGATCAGCAAGACATTAATCTTCTATATTCAAAGAATGACATCATTTGAGATGCACCATTACATGATACATATTATAAATTTAGAAGTGCATTTGGAAAAAAAAGTAAGAAACCTACATTGGGGGGGCCAATGATTGTCCCCGTCCATGACTGCATATATATATCATCGGCATCATCCATCCCATAGCTAACAGTGCCATCCCCAATTCCCTTTTCACCCCTCTCGAGCTCTTCCAGCAATCTGAAATTCCTCGGAACTGTGAACGAAAAACAAACCCAAGAGATATAATTACAACTCATGCATGAAGAGAATGAATACCATAGTATAGCAATCACCAAAAAAAAATGTACACCAAGACTAAAAGGCTTTGTTCAATGGTGGCCATTATTTATTTTCTTTTATTCTTTGAAGTGGGAGAGAACCAATATAACATTTGCAAGAGGTAGTTGTTAACTTATAATTTCTAACTTAAGAGAGAAACGAGAAGAATATGCAACAATATATCAAACACCTCAATTTTCAGTTCTACTCTCTATACCTCGCTTTGGAGAAACCAGATGAGAAATGGTTACAGACAAGTGGAACCACCCTAGTTTTAGAAAGACATGGACATGGACATTTCTCTGATTGCATTTTCTCAAGACCAAAAGTAGTGGTGTTCTAAATTGATCTTTGCCCTCATAGTGCTCATTTCCATAAGAAGAGATGTAATAACTCAAGATAGCTTGCGAAATTACGATGTAAATGTAACATCTTGATATCCAATTGAACACAATTTTGGAGTGTCCTTCCTTACGTAATGTTAAATCTAAAGATGAATCATCATGTCTTCCATATTAAAAATTACATGAACTCAGATGTAAGAGAAGATGCTAGAAAGAACTACCATGTAAGAGAAGATACTAGAAATTTGAGGCTGTTAGATTCAACTATGGAGTATATGTTCAACAGGAAGATAATGAAGGAATTGATGCATTGGTTTGTGCCAACACAATTACTTAACTTACATCAAGATACGAGTACGAGTGTGAGAACGAGGGCAGAAAAATGGTACAACCCCGTTTATGTGATGAATCCACATACAGAAGATAGAATGGAGGTTCGTAAATCATAATTTAGCCAAACCAAATACAGATGGAAAAGGAAAAAGAAGAAAGGCGTGGCTAAAGCACAACACAACTTACTTAAGTCTCTATCTTGTCTCATGCTATTGTTATGTACAACAATTTTTTGACATCAAGAGAAAAAATTTCCAGTTCAAAATCTTCAGCCAAATGGAAAGATAAGCCAAAATTATTAGTATTGACGTAACATCAGCTAGCCCTAAACACCTGTACTGGCTACACTAGTGTAATTACATCAGGAAGGTGTTAAAACATAATAGTACCTCAAATGCATACGTTATATGCACTGTTCTGTTCCATACTAATTTCAACACAACATTCTTTGTTATATTAAACTCTAATGATGCCATTCTTACAGATACTTTAGGCTAAAATGACTCAAGGAACTGATACTAACATTGATTGGCATTAGAAGAGAATCAGAAATGCAATGAAACTCCTAACAAATCTAAGCAACTATCCTAAAAATATTATGATCCAGACACATATCAGCAACCAAATTGATAAAAATAAAAATGAAAGCAAATTGATAAGCACAAATTCTTCACTAGGTTAACGAACAAAAAAGCAATTAAATTCAGATAGAAAAAGTAAATAAATTGGGCACGAAAACGTACGATTCAGGAACCAAATCCACACATAAGAATTGATTGGCGCTATGTTTAGATGAACGCATGGAAAAAATGAATGCAAATATAACTGAGAGAGTGAGAAAAAATCTTAGGTTTTGCAGCAGGGCTCACCGACAACGCTTGATCCTTCAGACCCCATTTTGATGTTGAATTTGCAGATTCCAAACACAGCTGAAGATATCTATATATATTTATATAAAAATATATATAGAGGGAGGGAGAGAGAGAGTAAGAGAAGGGCTGTGACGATGGATTGGAGACTGTCTGAGTCCAACTATGGCTCGCGAAGGGCCAAGGCACACATGGAGAAAGGATAAAAGGAGTAAGAGGACGAGGGAGGATCCGAGTCAAGTATTCCTTCCGCTGAGGGTGTATCGCTATTCATCTACAGCCGCGCCATCTGAGACGTACATTATTATTATTCCAACTAATGCATCCCGAGTCAATATAAATCCGCACCGTACATGCAATGTAAGACGGGGCCCACGAATAGAAGAGGAGAATGGTTCTCATTATTTTCGCGGTAAGTACAGAATAGAGTAGGCTTTTCTCTTTCTCTGAAATTTTCACTTTTTACCCACATTTGTAGAAGAAGAGCCAAACGGCAACAGCCTGGGAGGCTGGGATGGGACAACAGAAAAAACAAAAGCCCAAAATCCCAAAAGCCAGGCAGTGAAATAAAGTAGAAGGCCCAAAAAAGCCCACACAATAAAAATATATTTCACATTCACAACATTAATTAATTGTACATATTTCATGCTAAAACCAGCTGATACACGTTTCATGCTGAAACCTGTATGCCAGAACAATTGAAGAGCTTGCACAAGTCTTGATGATTAATCACATCACTGTAAACATATCTGCGAATCTGTATATTGTATTGTCATTAAACAAACATCACTTAATTAGTTCTAATAATATACTATGCAAAGTAACTTCAATTCAATGAGGTGTGAAACAGGTGCTGGGGAAGAGATAGGGCTTAGGATTCATTCTATAATGACGGCTTTATATATGGCCTTTAGGTGAGGTCGTATATCTTAACCCTTGAATTATGTTAACTAATTTGATTAAACATTTAAAATATAATGCCTCACCTAAGGACCATATATAATGCCATCACTATACAATTCTTGTTTGCATTACATTCGATGATTTTGGCGCGGATGCATACAATGCACGGTTAGTTTTGAAAATTTACTCCCAAAAAATATTTATTCTGCTGCTTTTTGAATCCATGCACCTACATGGGTATTTAAACATTCTGAATCAGATTAATTTCTTGTTTTTCCTTTTTCAGCTCATTGTTCAGTAATTAATTATGATGGTGTGAATTCTGCACCTACCTCACCTACTTGTAGAGTGAAGTGAACACTTATTGCTGTAATCTATCACATTTTCAAGCCTTTTCAAATATGCACTTACAATCGACAGTTCCAGTCCATCCATTGATGAGGGGCCAATGTTATTGATAACATATGGAATGACATGTGACCTGCAGCTGCAGCAGGCATATAACTGCAAGTTCATCTCCCGTACGTCATATTTGCTTCACGATAAATATGTGCCAACTGATAGGATTGAAACCAATGGAGAAATGAAATTGTGTACTATTCTGATGCAGCGATCTAATTCGCTCATTTTTTGTTTGTTAATTTTGAAAGAAGTCGCACATTTCAAACTCTTATTGCTGTATGCGATTTGTAATTTTCTACGTAAGTCCATACTCGTGGCAATTGACAGTTGGGTGCCACGTGTAAATCCTTTCGGTTCGAAGTTGTAGGTCTACTCTGACTTTGGTGGTGAGAGTAGCCAACTACTCTCTTTAAACTTAAAAAAAAAAAAAAAAAAAAAAAAAAAAAAAAAATACACCATCACTTACACACACACACACACACACACACACACACACACACACACACACACACACACACACATATATATATATATATATACAGAGAGTTTCCATTGATGGATCTCTCAAATAAACTTATTTGAGAGACACTCCTTGTAGGCCCCACTCTGGATTGTATTTCACTAATCCAAACCGTCTATTTTGTAGATACTCATTCAAAGATCATCTCTACAAAAAATTACTTGAATTCGATATCATTTGACCACTCATTTGAGTTATTGAAATTTTAGTACTTTCTTGAAGCACCATGTTCATTGATTTTGTAAGACACACTTGGATGTCGAAACGGTTTCCGATTTGTATTATTTTTTGTAAGGATGATCTATGAATGAAGACCTAAAAAATAGATAGTTTCAATCATTGGAAAAAAAATTGTAGGATACCCTAAAGAGCGTTTCTCAAATAAAATTATTTGAGGGATCCCTCAATAGAATGGGACTGTATATATATATATATATATATATATATAAGATAAAAATGAAAACTCATTGGCCATTTAGCTATATTTAGGCTAGTATATGTTTTTAGTCCATTTAGCATAATGACTTTGAATAATATTTCGGCCTTAAACCCTTTCCAAGTGGACTTAGAAAGTCTGGGCTACAACATGTTCTGATTATGGGTCCATTTAGCATATTCTCTTCCACTATGAGTCATTCTATAGTGAGGATCTTATATATGGCCCTTAGATGAGATACTATCTTTTAACCGTTGGATTAGACTAACCAATTTTATCCAACGATTAAGATATAAGACCTCACCTAAGCTAAGGGCCATATATAAAGCCCTCATGATAGAATTATAGCAAAACGACACTTGTAGTCCATGTGGTTTCCAACTTTTACCACTAAGGTCCTTATGGTTTCAATTTTGTCACTTTTGCCATTGTGGTTTAGGATTCCAAGCAATTCGAGGACACTTCTCAATTTCCGTTAGATTCCTTTTAGTTATGTTAGGGCTTGAGCACGTGCCCCTCACATGGAGGGACATTACAATCAAATCGAACCATCTTATAAACCCAAAATACTGGCTCAGCCTTACACATTCGACTTAGGCCATTTTGGGGGAAGTTTGAGAGATGTCGAACTCTAGCCAAGCTCCAAGGTGTCAATTTTGTAATGGTGAAATGAGATTGGGAATCTCCAAGAGAGATAGGACTTGTGGGAGATGTTTTTGGAAATGCACTAGATCTTATGTAATAAGAAAATTTATTTTTGTCAATTTTTGGGTATAAATGGTGAATCTGGTTTTTGTGTTATCAATTTTGAAATTGTGCTAGGCAGGGAACACTTTATTGTGCGGATTTATTTAGGATGATGAACCAATTAGATTCAATCAAGCAAGCAGATAGAATCAAGTAGTGAGAGAAGGTAAAGGCATTAATGGCTGCTTGGAAGATGAATTTCAGAAGCCCAAAAGGTTGCAAGATTCTACTGTAAATTCCCTAAATGGAATTAGGGATTTGTTTTTGTTGATTCGTGGATTTCTACTATTAATTTATGTGTTTTTGATAATGATTGTGGTTATGAAGTTGGTAAAAAATTAAACGTTGGCACCATTCCCATATGTTATGTATTTTGAATGTTGTAGTTCTTTTGGTTTCGAAATTTGCAAGGAATGTAGAATGGAAGCTTTTTTTTGATTCAAATTGCTTTATTCAATTGACATTTGTTTCAACAGCAACTTGACAATTTCATGCTACAATAAATTTGGTGTTTACTCTTTTGATATGACAGAATGCTAAATACTGCTAACAATCAATCTGCTACTCACATTCAATTCCAAAAAAGTCACTTTCAATTCCAAAACAACTTCAAAATGCTATTACATAACAAATGTTCCAGCAACTAAAAAACTTCAGAATGTTAACAACTGATGTCAAACATGCCTTAATTCAAAATAATTTTACATTCAAAAGGTGCAACAATTGAAAGATCCAACAGTTCAAAATACTTTTATATTCCCAACTTCATTAATTCACAAAATAGTCAAGAATATGAATATGTTTCACTTTAGTTGAATTTCTACTTTATTCAATTCATTGCTGCTTTCCATGGTGGTTTCCATGGATCACTACTACTAACTCCCAAAGTCTTGGAACTTGCCTTAGAGTTGGATGCACAGAAGCAAATGGATTCACAGAGATAGAAGTAGATGGATTCACATAAGTAGAGGCAGATAGATTCACATAACTCGATACACCTTGCTGCAAAGTTGCATGTGATGAGCTTTTCTTGATTTGCATTGGAAAAAAAAAGTTTACCAATCATTGTAATATACATGAAGTTGGTAAAAAAATTTGCAAAATTATGAATTGAAACTCACATGAAGCTTTCTTCTTTCCACATTCATTTGAGAAACATATGCATTGGTTTGAGAACCTCTTGCATTCATTTTAGAACCATATCCATTGGTTTCAGAACCTCTTGCATTCATTTTAGAACCAGAGCCTCTCTTTTTCTTTGAAGGATACCTAGTTGTCCATCTTTTATCAATATAAGTTCCGAGTAGAGGGTCTTGTGGCTGATTCTTACAATTCCTATTGTTGTGACCATTTTGAAAACATCTAGTGCAAGTAACAGTCTATTTTCTTCTCAAATTTGCACTTATGGGATTAGTTGTCTTCTCCATCTCATGGTCTTTTTTTCTACTTCTCCTTAGTCTCCCTAGTTGTTTTCTAGCAAGTGAAGGTGACAATGATGTTTGGTTTGACCTTCGCTACATGTGAAAGCCTTTGACATGATGAATTATTGACTCATAAGCCTTTAAGTAAGTGTCTTTGTGGTAACATATGGCGACATAATCTTTTGGATGTCTTCTATACAGATATATAGCAGAAAAATCATGAATGCAAGGGATATCATTAAAATCCCATCTCCTCCAACTACATGTCATCTCAACTATATTTACCCTATGTTGATCATGTAAATACTCTCTTACTTGAAATTCATAAGGTCCAAGTCCAGCTTAAGTTGGCATACAAGTCCTAGCTGAGATATATTTGATCTTCTCCAACTTATTTTGAATTTTAGGGCAAATGACCCCTCATGTTTTGACAATGTTTCCCTCTTCATTTGAAACCTTTTCATAATGTTACACCTTATCATTTCTAGCATGGTTATTATGAGTTTACCTCGAGCAGTCAAGATATAGCTATTAAAGGTGTTACACAAGTTATTTAACAACATGTCACATTTAGGGGCAGTACTAAACCTATGTCTGACCCACTTGTCTAGATCTTTGACATCAACCAATCATATGCAGCTCCATTTATATATTTCAGTTTATTCATTTCAACCTCAAATTCATACCTATTTGATGCCCTAGTTGCACTTCATAACAGATCCTTTAGGCTCTTCCTCTTGAACTTGTCTTTGAAGTTCTCATACATGTGCCTAACACACCATCTATGTTGAGCTTGAGGCACCACAAAGTCAAATGCTATGTTCAGTCCCTATAATCACAAACAATTCAGTTATATAAGCTAAAAAAAAACTAAAACAAAAAAAAAAAAAAAAAAAAAAAAAAAAAAAAAAAGTGACACAAAAAAAAAGAAATGAATACCTTTTGTTGATCAGATATAAATATCTAACCATGGTCACTTGCAGGACTACGATCATCAATCAACAACTCCAAAAACTAACTCCAAGTATCTTTTGTTTCCAACTCCACTGCAGGATATGCAATGAGATACGTGTTATCATTAGCCTTAACCCCCATTGCAGCTAACAATTAACCTATAAAAAAAAATGAAGTTAACAACTAACAAAGTGAAGGAAAAGAAACTGAAATAACTAAAAAAAAGAGAAATTGAAACAACTAAAAAAAAACTGAAACAACTAGGCTTTACCCGAGAAAGGACCCTTTAAGTGGCACCTATATACTCCAATGATAGGTCTACAACTAGCAAGAAAACCCTTTTTTCATGCATTGAGGCATACATAAAGCCTCTGAAAATGTGGAGGAGGCTCCACTCTTATCTTCATTATGCTTCCAACATTAGTTGCTATGACCTCATCACAATACTCACAACCTTGAGTATTGCTCCTTATAAGTCCCTTATATTATCTCATTGGCCTTGTTTTTAGCTCTTGCACATTGACCATCAGACACATTATACCCTAAACATTGTGTAGTTATCCTCCTTTTATCATTTTTCACAAATTTAATACGATAATTGCCTTGCACTACATAATTTTTCATAGCTTTTTTCAAGTCTTCCTTGCTTCCAAATAACATTCCCCTCTCAAAGTTAGGGTTATCCAAATCAGACTTACAAAACTCTGAAAATTTTCTCCTTTTTTACCTTCCTCATCTGAAGAGTAATTAGAGAGTCAAATCATATCCCAGAGTTTGTATCATTGTATTCTTCACAAGCAACAACCACTAAGTTTTTAGGGGGATAAGTATTTCCTACTCTCCTAAAGTTGGACTGAAGAGCTACATCAAATTCATTGTTGTCATATAGGGCAGCATCATTGTCACTCTCATAAATCTCATTGTTTGATTCATCAGCACTATTATCAAATTCTAATCTTCTTCTCCTACCATCAAAATTAGTGTCTTCTTCAGCACTCTCTTCTTCTTCATTACCCGCTTCATTGATGACATTCCCACCCGGCTCTACAGGAACCTCTATAGTTCCTATATTAGGCACTTGTTCTACGTATTCTTGTGTCAACTGTGACTGATAATTAAAAACCTCATAAAAAAAAAAAGGCATGTGGAATGTCATCAAATGATGTATTATAAAGCAATTGGAGTGGCCCAACATCTGAAATTTTTTGGCATAACCAAATAAGAACAAAAATGCAAAGCATGCATATTGAATATTTTATGCAAATAAATAGAGACACTATGCTTCCTAAAGCCTTTAGTAGTGAAAACATGCACGGGATCACTGTCTTTTACTTCCTATTCCAACCAAAAAAAAATATATATATATATTTACTTCCTAAAGCCTTTACTTTCCCACCAATTATCCCACTAAGGCCCCGTTTGAGATTTTTTTTTTGGCAAAAAACCTGCTTCACTTTAAAGTTAAGCAGTTTAAGATGTTTGGTAAAAATAAAATATTCTGATTATTTTAAAAACAGTGGCCTTTTGACAGCAACTTTTAAAAGAAGACTGTTGGTTGCTTTTCAAAGCTGCTTTCAAAAGAAGCAGAGATGAACCTTTAATGAATTTTTTTAATTCCCAAAATAACACCATTCATTTTAAAAAATGACACTACCTCCACTTCCACATCCAACTCCACCACTTGCACTATCACATTTGGTACCTCCACAACCACCGCCACTGCCACCACCACCATCACCACATCCTCATCCTCCTTATCCTCCACCACCTCCACCTCCACCACCACCTCCACAACCACCATCCCCACCACCACCACTACCACTTCCACAACCACCAACTCCAACTTCATCACCACCACCACCTCCACTCCATCACCACCAATACCACCACATGATTAGTACATAACACTTTCAACATCATGTCAATTTTAGTTATTATTCACATTTACAACAATTTTATGTTAAAACTTATCAAACGGTTTTGACATTGCTTTTTGTACTAACATCACTTTAAAAATATTCTTTACCAAACATGGAGCTACTTTATTTTACAGCTAATTATTTTCAAAGCACAGCAGACGCAACTTTTTTTAAAAGTAATAGCAATCCCAAACTAGGCCTAAGAGACAAACTCAACCCAGTACAAAAGGATACAAATCAAGAATTTCTCCAAAATCACACATGCAGACAATTGAAAAAACAAAGCATTGAAAGCACAAACACTTTAACCATTGAAAGCTCCTATATCAAATTGAAAGTAAGTTAAATAATCAAGCTCTTTCTAAGCTGGTTTGTTCAAGCTTCCATTGCCTTCTCCTGTGCTCTTCATCATTTTGGTTGTGTAACCAGCTCCTTCAATCGATTAAATTTTACGCACATATGAGATTTTTTAATTAAACCCTAAATGCCCAAAAGAAATCCCTAATTTGTGTTTGAGAATGACAAGTAATTTGAGTACAGTTCTCAATTTCCATCAGAAGTCCCTAATTTGTTTTTAACCACACGAATAGGAGTGTCGTTTTGCCTATAATTATTGCTTCCACTCCACTCCACTCCACTTCTGCTGATCATGTGTTGAGCAAGGAAAGGAAGAAATATGGGAGTGTTTGTTGGTCAATGCCGTGCCATTTGAACTTCCGTCCCTAAATTGCTATTATTGAATTACTGGTTCTAATCACGACCACGTGGCTGTGTCGTATCTACTATCTACTTCTACTTCCTTGCTCAAATTCTTACAAGTAGAGAAGACAACTGAAACACAGGCACCCTACCCGACCCACAAAACCATGGCGGCCAACACCACCGTGATCGGCCAACAGGATTATGATAGAGCTCAACAAGTCAAGCAATTCGATCAATCCAAGGTCGGAGTCAAAGGCCTCGTTGACTCCGGCCTCATCTCCATCCCCCGTTTCTTTATCCACCCGCCCGAAACACTACCCGACCTCCGACCCCATACTAAACCCCAAACCCAGCAACAGCCGATCCCCACCATCGACCTCTCCGACCTTCACACCCATCGCCGCTCATCCATCGTCCAACAAATCAGCCGCGCCTGCCGAACATTCGGTTTCTTCCAGATCACCAACCACGGCATCCCGTCTGCGGTTCTGGACCGTACGATTGCCGGCATCAAGGCCTTCCACGAACAGCCGACGGAGGTCAAAGCGCCGGTCTACAGAAGAGAGATGGGCACGGGCGTATCTTATCTGTCCAACGTCGACCTGTACAGCTCAAAAGCCGCCAGCTGGAGGGACACGCTTCAAGTAAGGCTGGGACCTATTCCGGCGGCTCCTGAAGAAGTGCCGGAGATTTGTCGGGACGAGATTGTTGGGTGGGACGGGGAGATCCTACGGCTGGGAGAGGCGCTGATGGAGTTGGTGAGTGAAGGGTTGGGATTGAGCGCGGGGAGGTTGAAGGAGATGGCGTGTCTGGGAGGGAGGGTGATGGTGGGCCATTACTACCCGTACTGCCCCCAGCCTGATCTGACGGTGGGGCTTACATCTCATTCTGACCCGGGAGTGTTGACCTTGCTGCTTCAGGACCACATGGGTGGGTTGCAGGTTAAGCACGGTGAGGGTTGGGTGGACGTGAAACCCGTCCCCGGCGCTCTTGTTATCAACGTTGGAGATTTACTTCAGGTAAGTGCAAAATACAAGCAATAATCTAACGGGAGCGGTCGTTTTATTTTACTTTTAATCTTTAAAATTAAATACTTTGGGGTTGATTGATTTGCAGATTATGTCCAACGGGGAATACAAGAGTGTAGATCATCGGGTGTTGGCAAACTCAAACCGCGAGCCACGGGTGTCAACTGCAGTGTTTTTCAATCCAAGCAATAGAGAGGGCACCTATGGTCCATTGCCAGAGCTGGTCGCGCCCGAGAAACCGCCACTCTACCGAGAGTTCACGTTTTCAGAGTTCATGCAAAGGTTCTTCACGAAAGGATTGGATGGCAAAGCTTTGGTCAATCACTTTGAGCTGTGAAAAATACCACCTCACCAAACTGTACTGTGTGTATCTCATCTTCTGTAATAATAAGACTGTTAAACTTCAATCTTATGTATCAGGAAAGTTGATAGTATTGTGTGGCAATTTATCTTCCTCAAAGGTTATGTAGATTATTGGAATTCAAAAAGCTTATATGGCCTGTGCTCAAAATCAAATTGATACAAATCCTTTCGATTCAAAAACCGAATTTCTTAGGTTCAGATAGAGCACTAGCTGTTTCTAGCTTTCCATCCCCGAACCAGTCAGACATCTCTTCATCATCTGTGCAATCAGAAAGCTCTAAGCTTCTTGGAATACTGGCAGACCTAGATCCATCATCGTTTGCCATATCCCTCATGCCGCCTTTGCTCCTCTCTAACATCTTCAACTTCCATTTGTCCCTCTTCTGCAGATTCCGAGACAGCTCGGTCTTACCTCCTGCAATGGGGAAATCTACAAATCCAGAAGCCTCATTCCATGACTTTGAGTGACTACCGTCGTCATCTCCTTCATCCACAAATCTCCACATGCCAACACCTCTATCTTGACTTTGCCTACATTGCCCCGCGTATGATTGATCATTAACGTCAGAGTCACCTCCGACAAAATTCATACTGTTATTATTAGGGCAGCCTCCATCTTCACATACAGGTTCAGCAGAAGGCTCTGAAGAATGTGCTCCCTTAGGTCTTTTATGATCACATTTTAAGCACACCATGTTTCTCCTAAAGTTAATATAATTGCAACTGCACGAAAAACGGATATTTAGTCATATACAAGTAAAGTATAAATCTGGAATCACTTGATTCAGAAAAACTCACGAGTCACATTCCCACTCTCCAGGATTTATATGCCGCTTTGGAGGTTTCTCTTTACATTGTAAGCATCTACCATTCTTTGCAAAGTTTAAGAAATTGCATCTGTAAAGAAAATTTGATGTCTCAATAAGAAATGGAACCACGTGTGGAATAAAGTTAAGATCATAGCAGCCATTACTTGTCACATATCCAGTCGCCTTTCTTCAATGGAAGATGATCCTGATCCTCCCTTAGTTTTGCCAGTCTTTCTTCAGAAAGTTCATCACAACGTAGGCACTTGATATTTCTGGCGAAGTTTAGGAAGTTGCATCTGCCAAAGAGAATACTAAGAAGGGTAAAACAACTTATGAAGATTCAATAATCATAAACAACAAGAAGATCAGCTGTCAAATTACTTGGGGCAAAGCCAGTCGCCTTGCTTCATTGGAACATTTATCTGCAATTTTTCTTGTGAAATTGAATGGTTTGGCACTGATGCAACCCTTTTCATGGTTGTACTTGTAGACTTTGGGAGATTGGAGTCAAGGTTCTCATTGCTGTAATCTACCATCTCTTTCAGTAGCCTTCTCACTGATTCTTTGACCATTTGGTTTAGACATGGCTTGTTCTCTACTGTACCAGTAATGGGATCAAGCCCATATGTTAACAAGAAACGCATGACATCCACAGTACGCCCACCTTCATCTTCACGTGCCTTCACATATGCTCTCTCGCAGTCTCCTCTCAAATTGCAGGAGCTGCAGACCTACTAAAATGCCTGTTCTTATTAGATATGACGATTATATCTCAAGCTTTCTTTCTACTGAAAGGTTAATTCGATGCTAAATACCTTTTTAATTTCTTAAGTAGAAGTACATAAGATTTTGAGAACGAGAGAATTCATTATTAAATGGAAGAGTGCTGAAAACACTCGAGACTAAGCACGTACATCTCCTTCATTAATGCCCACATGTGCCCTTAGACGCTTTCCCGAGTTGACAACTTTCCTATCTAAGCTCGGGCATCCACATCCTGCAATGGTCTGGATATCTTTCCTTGACAATAACCTGGCCACAGAGGGAATTTAATGAACTAAGGTCTAGAATAAAATTATCAGGTTTCAAAGCAAAATCAGTAAATAACATATGCCCTCCTGAAAACCAAGGACTGGATTCTCCACAAACAACCCTTGGTTCTAAATCTATCTCGATTCAGTGGATATGAATCTATTGTATCCAGATAAGGTGAGCTCATGAGCAATTAGCTTTCATGAGACCAAAGCAAGGAGAACTTCAGTGCATTGGGAAAAATCTCATATCAACCTGCTTCCAGGTTACAGAAACAAGATAACAAAAGAGCAAACACACACACGCATACAGAAGTGATATGAAAATGCAAGCATGTGGAAAATTGATAGTAATGATAAAACAAAACAAGCTAATGTTATTTCTAACTCCAACCACGAAATCTGCTGCTGAGGTTGCATAACAATTGAAATACCCAAATAGAAAAAAAAAAACATTTCATCACATGCTTTATATTCAAATGCATATCGTTTATTAAATTCATAACCTCAAAAAGGAAAAGAAAAGAACTTTATAATTCATCTCTCCTCAAAACCAAAACATCATCATTACCTTATAAGACTACAACGGTCCCGAGCAAAATTCAGGCATGCTGTTCGTATACGATTCGATTCCTTTGGACCCAGTTCAGCATTCCGAAACGGGTTTTCGTCTCCTTCGAAGTAGCCTCTTTTCAACAAGCACTCCATCAGCTCCAGCCATTCCCGCCACGGATGCGAAATCTGCACCGTACAATCTTCCGCATTCGTTAGGCTTCCCCGATCGGACGGGTCGTCGGTGCCTGACGCCAACTGGGTGATCTTGTATGTGGGTTTTGAGTCTTTTGACGATTGAAGCTCTTTAACTTCATTCACTACGAAGTCCAGCTTTGGATTGGGAGCTAGGGTTTCGCTGGGGCTGTGAAATTGCGAAATTGGTATGAGAAATTTTGGGTTTTGGAAGTGGATTCTGAGGACTGGATAGAGATTATCATGGCCGATTTTGAGAAGCTTGTACATTTGACAATATTTGGCAGAGCTTTGCGATAATTTTGGTGGAAAAAGACTCGGCCTGACCGTTAAGTTTGTTTGAAGTTTTAAACCCTGCTTACTTCAGTTTACATCTCGCAGCAGAAATGCGTATAAGATGGTTAGCTGCTTTTATAAAGTTTGGTTGTGTTTGGAAACAAGTGCAAGCTGTCCAAATTCCTAACAGTGCTCGAATCGGATTGCGAATATGTCCAAGGAGTTTAGATCTCATGTACCCAAAATGCCCTCAATGTCTCCTCTTTATTCACAAGCAGAACATCGGAAGACATCTTTGACATAAAACACCAAATGCACCGCCCAAGCAAGTATGTGTGTAACATATATCAATACGTATCTTTATTTATTTATTTTTGATAATAAATTATGACTGCTGTAGTTAAACAAAAACCAAATTCATACATTAAAATTTGAAACCAATTAGTTATAAGGCTTAAATGCTAAAATGGTCTCTGTGTTTTAGTTTATTGACAAATTTAGTGTCTGTGTTTTCAATTGACAAATCTGATACATGTGTTTAGCATTGTTAGTCAATGTGATTAATACGTTAAACTATTGCTAAGATAATATTAAAAAAAAAAATTGAATTGAATTTTTTAAAAAATAAAAAATAAAAAATAAAAAGTTAAAGCTCAAAGAAATTAAAAAGCAAAGGATCTCAACACCCCCTCTCTTCTACCTTTCTCCCCGCCTACTTTCCCCACCCACACCCAAAAGCCCCAAGCCACAGCCACGTATGAACTCTAATCCACCCATCTCTCTCTCTCTCTCTCTCTCTCTCTCTCTCTCTCTCTCTCTCTCTCTCAATCCCTAACTCTCAACCATCTCCTACTATGTAGAAAAAGATATTTGGCTTGAATGATATTTTATTAATAACACAGGAATATATATATATATACACGAATATTCCTTGTACAATAAGAAATCCTACTATCTAGGAATGCCATCTAAGGTAAGGTAAGGATTGGATTAGAATCAATTACAGATTTCTTTCCAATCTAAAGTATATTTACTTTCTAACGCTCCCCTTCAAGTTGGAGAGTGAATGTCAAGAACGCCCAATTTGCATAACATAACTGAAAAATTCTCCTTGCCCAATGGTTTTGTAAATGTATCAGCTAGTGGTTGCAAAGAGTCACATGCGATGTAGAAACAATATCATCAAGTATTTTGTCCCGAATAAAATGGCAATCCATCTTAATATGTGGTGTTCTCTTATGAAAGACTGGGTTTGCCGATATATGTAGTGTTGCATGATTATCACAATACATATGAGATGCTCTTGAAGATGGCAAGTGTAAATCTTGTTAGAGTTTGAGTGGGAAAAGACTTTTCTACACTCTTTATAAGAGTAGGGATCTTTCACTATAATAAACACAATTGGGTTTTTTTGAAGTGGGCTTTCGACTTGTTGGCCTTATTTAAATTAAATATATATTTATATATTTAAGTTTGATAACTTCATATAACTTATGTTAGTTTGAAATTCAAAGTTCAGACATATCTGTTCAAACATATATGTCCAAGGGGTGTCTTAGGCTTATTTAAATAGCCAAACGTATAGAGAAAAACCAACTTTTGAAACCCAAAACATCTCACACAACACTAAAAAACCATTGAGAGTATCCATACTGTAGTTCGCCAGATACCAAAATTCAAGTACTAGAATTTTGGTTTTGATAGTTGTATCCTGGTGGATAGTCGTCTGCAGAACCACAAGCACAGGAGTGGGGGCGAAATACTGTCTAAGGACATAGCAAATCTGCTAGCCTCTATCATCTCTGCAAGTTAGTATTTATGATTTAATACAAACTTTTGTATATGTAATTTTGTTGTTCTTATATATTGATTTATTCAAAAGCCTTATATACATATATTTATTCTATTTTATTATACAACTTACTTATTGTTTCCAACAAATCTTGCAACCAAAAACGTAACCAAGTAACCTTACAACAGGTGCTAGCCATTGCCCTATATTAAGCTTCAGCTGCGGATAATGAAACTGTCTTATGTTGCCTTGTTCGCCAAGAAATTAATGAATTACCTAATAATACACAATATCCGCTAGTTGAACGGCGAGTTAGAGGACAACCAGCCCAATCCGAATTACAATAAACAATTAAATCTAACTTATTGTTTGATTGAAAAGGCAAACCTTGACCCGGATTAGACTTGAGATATTGAACAACTCGGAGAGTAGCATTCATGTGAGGTAGTCTGTCATGCCCTAGCCCACGGATTTACGTAACTTTGGGTTAAGATGTGATTTACACATTAATTATAGAATTTAATTAAAAAAAACAATAACTAAAATGTGAAGAAACATTTAAATAAATAAAATAAATATTTCACATAGAATATTTAGCGAAAACGACAACATCTGAAATCTTATAATTTTTACATTATTTTACAAGTTAGAACTACTCAAGAGTTCACTACAAGAGTAGCTAATTATTCATCCACAAGCTATGTACACAATTCACTCTATAGATATATGCCAAAATCATCACAAGCTCTAGATTTCAGGTTCAGTACTTGTAAAATTTGTTAGGGGGTGAGCGAAACCACAGCTTAGTATGGACATAAACCTTTTCACGGTAAATTGATATAATTAAATTAAGTGACATACAATCACACATCCAAATGTCACATTAATAAAATTAATGCATGTATGCTCTTCATCTAATCCCGTTAATTCATATAACTGGACAAGTAGACATGCACGTCCTATACCATGCTTATACCTCTTGGTCCCGAATGCCCATTTATATGAACTAACCCCATCTCAATCATCCCATATATCCATTTTTGTTAGTCATCTTGTCTAACTCCCTGTCGTCAGTCCTGTATCACCCAATAAAAATCATGTGCACTGTGGGATCCCTGAGATCTAGTACTTGTCAAGAGTTAGACTCAACTACACAAAAGATAATTTCCATTAACCTCTTTTCCATCATTATTTTCTCAACCCAACAATTCCAACCAATTTCCATGACATGATATAATTTTACCTTTCACATATCCTTCACAACAATGTAACCATTTAAAACATCACCAATGTATATATAATTAGGCCAACATTGTTCAAATAGTTAAGAATATGTAAACATCCAATACAAGGAACGTCAACCAAATTGTAATACCATGCATAATATAATGCTCATGAAATTTAATTAAATCAATCCTTGTAAAAGGCCCCCAAGAAACTCCTACTTCGATTCCAAAGCCAGCTCAAAGTTTAAGAAAACACAAGTCCTATACCTCCTCCAAGAGTTTCATCACATGTCTCTCTCTCTCTCTCTCTCTAAGAACTATCACTTTACATGGAGTGCATGCTATATCTAAGTCGTTGTAGAGTTACACTACTTCACAAGACTATCTAATATGTATGTTTCAAAAGAACCATTGAAGAGTCCTATTTATACTATAAAGAGGCGGCAATTGATGGCTTTTGATTGGTGGAATGTGAGGATGGTGGTGTGCTTGACTCCAAGATTATCCAATTTTCCCCTGATGCCAACAGCTCATCCTTTAAACAAAGGTTTAGTCATCTAGGTAGACACTTGTGAAGAAACTAGGGTGGTGCATGTGGGTAAGATTTGATGTAAATACTGCCTTAAGTAATAAAGCTTGTACGTGGCATCCCTTGCAAATTCAATTATGTATCAAACAAATCAGTATTATTATAATAATATTATTCTTAATAATTATTATAAAAGTAACAACTATATATACATACTATGTGGCAAGATAACTACATATATACAATTATAACTAATATAAATATTGTCACATTTCAGGATCGGCTCCGCCGTAGCACGATATTATCCACTTTGGGCCCCCTCTCTCTGCCCTCACGGTTTTGTTTATGGAAACTCATGAGCAATTTCCCAGTGGGTCACCTATCCTGGGATTGATTTAGCCCCAACTCACTTAACTTCGGAGTTCCCATGACTTCGAAGTCAGTGAGCTCTCAAAAAGCCTCGTGCTAGATGAAGATGAGCATGTACATATAAGGCACATCACCCATCTCTTCGTTGGTCAATGTGGGATGTTACAAATATATAATCAATTAAACAGAATTTAACTTATAAACCTAAAAAGACAGCAAAACATTTAATTTCCTAAAATATTAATATATAATTTTAAAATACAGGACTTCACATAGTCGCAGCTGGTGCATGAAACAACTCAGGACATGTACGGAATAAGTGATGTCTAGCCGGGTAATAGTTAGATAAAATAATCGTCCCACCAATGTTCTGTATTTTTCGGGATCTTTGAGTAGTTTACCTTTGTCAGAAAGCTTGGCTTTCTCCATTGGAAAATCAATTGGTCGAGCACCAAGAACCTATAATTCTTAAGTATTTCCAGTTCATACTTTCTTTGTGAAACATAAATGTCTTTCTTCGATCAGTAGACTTCAATACCTAAAAAATATTTCAAATCACCAAAGTCATTGGTGTAGAAACGAGTGTAATAAACTTTTGAGAGAATTAACTGCATCAATATCGTTTCCCCTAATTAGAACATCATTAACATAAATTAACAAAGTTGTAAAAGACTTTCCATCTTTGTAGGTGAAGAAAGAATAATCGGCTTTCAACTGAATAAAACCAGCAACAAGAATGACTTTAGTAAACTTGGCAAACCATTGTCGAGAGGCCTGTTTGAGTACATAAAGAGATTTGTGGAGGCAACACACTAGATTCTCCATCTGTCACCAAAGACCAAGAAGAGGAGACATATAGCTTTCCTCATGTAAATCACCATGGAGGAAAGCATTATGGACATCGAGTTGATGGATAACCCAATGCTGACTGGCAGCGACAGCTAAGAGACAAAGGACTGTGATCATCTTAATAGTGGGAGAAAAAGTTTTATGATAATCAAGGCCCTCTGTGAGAGTGAATCCTTTGGCAACAAGGCGAGTTTTAGCATTCGATAGAACCATTAGCTCGATGTTTGATCTTGTACACCCACTTACAATCAATGGGAAATTTGCCGTAGGGCAAAGCAGTAAGTGTCCAAGTGTGATTAACAGCAAGAGCATCAAGTTCGGAGTCCATAACCTCACACCAGCTAGGATCACTCTTAGCTTCTATAAAAGAAGAAGGTTTCATACTTCGATTAATGGAGTTAACAAAAGAAAGATGCTTATGTGAGTTTCGATGGTAAGAGAGAAAATTACGTATGTGAAAACAAGTATCTAGTGGTGGACCGGTCGGTAAAGACTAGGAATGATGTAGGGCAAAATCATCTACAAGTAAACAAAGTCTGTCACACCCTTTTTTTATTTTATTTTATTATATATATATATATATATATTGGGAGTGCGAGGTAAAAGAAAAACTAAAACTATAAATTTAAATATCAAGAAACATGAAGTATTTTACATTGTAATTTTACAAGCAAAATAACAAGAAAGTAACAGATTTTTAATAAAACATCCAAAACTATCAACAACTCGTTCTTCTTGTTTACTCGTCACAAACTAAACTTCAGATTCAAAACCTGCAATAGATTCAATAATGGGTGAGCACTACATGCTCAACAGGGGTCTTATGTCTTATGTGATTAGTGAGATTTATAATGTACAATTTATGCAATGCATGAATGAACTTCAATTCTACCCAATTCGTTAATCTATATAATATGGCAAGCAAATTTGCATGTCCCATACCATGCATTTTACCACTGTGATTCTGAATGCCCTATTGTATAAACTAACACCCATCTCAGTTATCCCATAATTCCCCTTTTGCTAGTCATCTTCTCTACACCATTGATCTCCAAGCCCAAATCACCCAATCGACAATTATACCGTCGATTTCCTAATCTACTGTGCACACGGGCTCGTCTGAACTTGTTCCTTACAATGGTCAGACTCAACTACACAAAAGAACCTTCCCATTACCTCTTTTCCATAATTTCTTTATCAACCCAAGAATTCCAACCACCACCAATAACATATGTACATGTTAATATTAATCAAATTATAATGATAATTGACAACATGTAAACATCCAATATAAAGGATAATAATCAAATAATATTACCAAGCATAATATAGTGTTCACAATATTTAATTAAATCAATTTATATAAAGCCTCCCCAAGAAAAACCCCTACCTCAAATCCAAAGCTATTGTATAACTCCCAGTCGCAAGTCCAAACACTTTAAGCTTCTCCAAAATCTCACCACACTTTAGTTCTCACTCTTTTTTTCTTTGTCTATGATTTTTAGGAAACTAAAGCAATTTGAAGAACCTATGATACAAGAAGTATTAGGTAGTGCTATTTATAGGAAGCTAAAGTCGGCAAAGATATAGATGAAAGCTTAATATTGTGCCACACAACTAGTCTATAGGTTCCTAGACTACTTGGGTGGCTTGAAAATAATCTGCCACCCCACATAGCCTTATGTGTTGGCTTTGTAGAGTGCTTAGTAAGCACTCTCCAATTAAGATTATATATATATATATATATATGAATACCTACTGTGCTTACACCTCCTACTTACATATCCCACCTCATGCTCTAAATGGATTTGAGGACTCTATATTTGCAACACGTCAATCTTTAACAAAATGCTTAGTAAGCATAAAGGCCCTTCTAAAAGCTTATGTAAAGTATATATATAAATAATAAATATTAAATAATGGTGAAATGAATTATTTTAGTTAAAGCCAAGCAGTAAGATTTGATAGGCTATACTAGTTAATAGCTAGAATCACGTGGCTTGCCATACAACTAATATGTATAGTTTGCAAACTAATAACTATAAATATTTAATTTTATGAAATATTAATATATATATTTAAAAATATGGGGTTTCACAAAGTCCTTGAAGCGTGTGGAGGGTTGCTTGATACGGGAGGAGGTACGGGTGGGCTAAGGTGGTTTATGTGATGCCTGGGCTAAGGCTAAGTCATCGTGGGGCAGGGCTTGGGTGTTGTCGGGAGAATGTGAGTCCATGGGAATGGGGATGTCAAGAGGTGAGGCGGTGTTGGGGCTTGTGTCGGATGGAGGACAGAGAAAGAAAAAAGCTCGATGTTGGGGGCTGAATGGAATGGGTCGGTGAAGTCTGGGCCGGTAGAGGGCAATAAAGGGAGTGGGTCTAGTGTTATGTGTATGTGCGGAAGTGTCATAAGTGGAGAAAGGGAATTCGACTTCATGGAAGAACGTTGCGACTAGTGAAGATTTTATGGGTTTCAAGGTCGTAGAGTGTGTAAGCTTTTTGTCCAAGTGGGTAGCTGATAAAGATTGATTTGTAGGCCCAATGAGCAAATTTGGAGTTTGGGTGAACTGAGGTGGCATAGGCAAGGCAACCAAAAACTTTCATGCAGTTTATCCAAATTGGACTGAAAATGAAAGGCTCATGCAGTTTCAAGGAGATGGTGATGTTTGTATTCTACAACGCCATTTTGTTAGGGTGTGTAAACACAAGAGTGTTGGTAAATGATCCCTTGGTCATAAAAGAAATTGCGCATGGAGAAAAATTCTCCCATATTATCGACATGGATTTGTTGAACTTTGAGATGGAATTTTGTTTCAACATAGGCAAAAAAAATTTGAGGAGGTGTTGTATTTCATGTTTATGCTTCATAAGAAAAACCCAAGTAAAACTAGAAAAATCAACTATGGATAAAATAATAATAATAAGCCTCAGTAATATTATGATATTTATTAGGACCCCAAATGTCACAATGTAAAAGAGAAAAAGGTCTAAAAAGGTCTAGAAGTTGAAATAGAACTGAGTCCGAAAGATTGGTGAGTTTGTTTTGCCAACAGACAAATATCACAAACATGACGTGAATCAAATGAGCAATTTAAAGAAGTATTAGCTAAGAATTGCATATGGGCTAAGGAAACATGTCCTAGGCAGTGGTACCAAAGGTCAGCGGAGGTGGTGAGAAGGTGACATGCAAATTTACTATCATTTATGGTGGTGGAGCCAAGTGCCACTAGGTAGTAAAGATCTCCTCATCGCTTACCCACACCAATCATCGTTTTCAAAACCAAGCGCTGTAAAATAACCCAAGAAGGAAAAAAGTTAAGAACAATGTAACCCATCTATAATTTTACCAACGAATAAAAAATTAATGTTGAAACTAGGCACACATAAAACATCTTGCAATTATGTATGGGAATTTAAAGAAATGGTTCCCATTAAAGTAATCGAAGCCTTGTCTCTACTAGGCAGAGAAACTTGAGGTGAATGATTGATGGGTGTATTGTTTGTCAAATAATGAGGGGAGCATGTGATGTGATTTTTCACTCTGCTATCAATAATCCATTGACCATGAGAGGAGGCGATGGGTGACAAACCTTATGAAAAAGAACAAGCAGAAGCGGCATGTGCTTGTGGGTCAGAAGGAGAAGAGTTGTATGTCTCGGCCATCATAGACATGATTAGTTGATATTGGATCTCGAATAAGTGAGGCGCCGTATACTGAATGTCTTGGAGAGTTGAAGCGGCATCTGTGAATTGGTGTGCAGAATATGAGGCATGAGAATGGTGGCCATTGCCGCCGACGCTGTTGGTAGTGTGTTAGCCGCTGCCACTGCCGCCGTTAATGTGGTTGCGGCGTGGAATGAGCTTCTGGCCATAGCGCGGATGGCCAGGTGGGTACCCATGAAGTTGATAGCAGATATGTTGAGTATGATAATCACAGTTGCAATAGGTGTAGTGAAGTGGAGGCCAATCTCCTTATGGATATGAGCGAGAGTAGTTATGAACGACCATGGCTGCAGTATGTGAATCTGGAGGACTGGTGGAGCCAAGTTCCCGCTGTTTCTCTTCATGTGAGATGAAGGAATATGCTTGTCGAGCCGTCGGGAGAGGTTGTATCAACAAAATCTGGCCACGGAATACATTGTAGGATTCAGTTAATCCCATAAGCCTATTAGTTTCGTTCTATGCGCTACATGTGTGCAAGATATGGCCTCAGTGAAATATGCTAACTCGTCCCAAAAACCCTTTAATTTGGTGTAGTATGCAGCAATAGAAAATTGCCCTTGGGTGAGAGAGGCGATCTTGAGATTTATTTGAAATAGACGAGGGACATTGTTTTGAGAAAAACGCTCGCGAAGGTCCTCCCAAATTTCGTGAGCGGTGGATAAGTAGATGACTGTATCAGCCACATCGGGTTCTAGGGAAGTCAAAAGCCATGACACCATCATGTCATTGCACCGTTGCCATGCTGCCGAATCAAAAGGCTTCTTATCTGCCTTTGGTTTCTCGATGGATCCATCTGTGAATCCAATTTTATTTTTGGCACTGAGAAAGATGCCCATCAATCAAGAACAAGTGTTGTAGTTGTCACCATTGAGTTTCTTTGAACAAAGTGTTGGAAATATGAGTGCTAAATTGCTATAAAATAAACAAAATAAATACTGCACATAAAACAGATTTTTACAAAAGGAGAATTGAATTAGAAAAACATTCATTGAGTCGAGGCAAGTGTTGGATACTCTGATCTTAAGACGAATTATGCCCCACACTGGTGCTTATGGTTCACTAGCGTTCGCCTCCCAGGATACAACGACTCCCCTTCTTATGAAAGAAGCATTGCAATTCACAAGGAATTTTGAACCAAATTATGCAGGAACATCTCTTTGTGAAAACTCTAATGCTCTCTATATATGAAAGTCTATATGTAGAGAATTAATTGAATGAATAAAACTACATGAGGATTGCTCTATTTATAGATGATGAAATACCCTTTTCAAAAAGGTATCCCAATCTAAAAAGGCAAAGAATGCATCCCTTGGTTTGAAGAGTTCCTATTAGAAGAATATAGCATCTGGATAGGTAGCTTTTGGCTTTAAACCTTCTATAGTGAAGTACTATCAGATTCATTTGGCTAATCAGTGAACGTGATGTCTTGAACTGTTCAGCCGTTCGTGTAAACCCAGACAATAATACTCACAGAATACCCTTCTGGACATATTCGGTTCGATCGGTTGTGCTCGTTTTGGCCTTGAGCAACTCCTGGTTTCATAAGTGCTTTAGAGAATTTAGCCCTGAAAATTCTCATGGAAACGGCCCCATTTCACACTCATATAGATGACTTCACATTGGTAATATCATCTCATATTACTCGAATAATCAAGGTATAGGAATCATTAAAAGCATAGCTTCACCTAAACACATTTCATACAACACTGTATCATCATAGGATATGGGTAGGAGAGTATATCTCCACAGTGTTATTTTTTTGAGTTATCATAATTTAGTTGTCCCTTTTGAACCTAGATCTTGGGATCTCTAGTCAACTAGGTTGGGTTTCCACTATGACGACTCATTTGACATGGGCTTTAACCTCATTCCCCTCAATGATCTATAAACTTGCTCTCCGTTCAAACCTTTAGTAAACGGATCCGCCAAATTATCTCTTGACTTTATGTAGTCAATGGTAATTATACCACTAAAGAGCAGTTGCTTAATGATGCTGTGTCTTCGACGTATATGTCGAGACTTGCCGTTATACATATTGTTTTGTACCCTTGCAATTGTAGATTGACTATCACAATGTATACATATAGCAAGCACATGTGTTGGCCAACATGGAATATCTTCTAAGAAATTACGTAGCCATAGCTTCCTCACCAACTTTATCTAATGCTATGAACTCAGATTCCATAGTAGATCTAGCTATAACAGTTTGCTTGATATAGCCGCACCTCCAATTGTAAACACATATCCACTTGTAGAATTGGAGTCTTTAGTATCAGATATCTAATTAGCATCACTATATCCTTCAACTATAGCTGGATATCTTGTATAATGCAGTCCAACATTTTTGGTGTATCTTAAATATCTTAGTACTATGACTATAGCTTTCCAATGATTCCTTCCAGGATTACTAGTATATCTGCTTAATCTATTAACAGAGTAAGCTATATAAGGCCTTGTGCAATTCGTAAGATACATGAGACTGCCAATGATACAAGCATATTCTATTTGTGATACACCATGACCTATATTCTTCATAAGATTTAGACTTGGATCATAAGGTGTTCTTATTGGACTAGTATCATACTTGCTAAACTTTGCAAGTATTTTCTAAATACAATGTGATTGGGATAAAACTAGTCCATCAAATGTTCTAGAAATTTTAATCCCTAGAATCACATATGCTACTCCCAAATCTTTCATGTCAAAATTATTAGTCAACATTTTCTTGGTAGATTTAATCATCCCAATATTGCTACCAATAATTAACATATCATCAACATAAAGACAAACAATGACAAAATCATCTTGAGTGCTTTTCGTATAAACACATTTATCACACTCATTGATCTTTAAACCATTTGACATTAGTGCATTGTCAAATTTCAGATGTCATTGTTTTGGTGCTTGCTTTAACCTATACAAAGACTTAACAAGCTTACAGACTTTCTTTTCTTGTCCAGGAACAATAAACCTTTCAGGTTGTTCCATATAAATTTCCTCATCTAAATCACCATTTAGAAAAGCCGTTTTCACATCCATTTGATGTATCTTAAGATTATGCAATTATTCAAGATAATAGTAATACATAATGCTATAATTCACAGGTACAGTGAAATTAATGTATGTAGATAAATATAATCAGAATTTATAAACAGAAAAATAAAAATAAAAATTTATAAATAAACCTAATCCTGTACATGTATTTATAAAAAAAACCCAAACACTATTTAAACATAGAAACACACCCAAAATCAACCCCAAAATCAACAATTGTATATTTTTTAGGTGTGTTTATAAATGGGTTTTGAGTGTGTGTAATGATGGGTTTTGGGTGTGTTTATAAAGTGTTTTGGGTGTTGGGTTTTTTTATAATTTCAGCCCTCATTTTGGGTGTTTTAATGAAACTCCCAAATAAAAAATGATGCCAAACAGAAAACAGATTCCAAACAGAAAATAAAAATAAAACGATGCTGTAAACCAAAGGAAATAACTTTCTATTGTATGTAGACTTTGTCTAACAATAGAAATAGAAGGCAATCAGTGTTTGTGGCAATCTTAATTGAATGGGTCTCGATTATTTGTTCAACTTTGAATTGTACAAAACAAAAGAAACCAACAGAAGGCAATAACTTTCTATTAATTCAACTTTGAATTGTATATAAGACAAAAGGGAAAGAAAACCAACTAAAAAGGGAAAACAATTAAAAATTTATTGTTGTTTGTTTGCAGCGTTAATATCAATGTTAATTAAAGGAAATCAACTAATTAAAACTCAAGTCATCAATGCAGTAAGGCACTTGAGATACAGACAAAAAAATCGTACTTTAAAAACTCAGGTCAGTAATGCAATAAGGCTGACATACGCATCAAATTTAAACTGTTTTGCACCTTTTCATCTAAATGCATAAACAGAGACTAATATATATAGCAATTAACACATATTCTAATTCGTCTTAAGATTAGAGTGTTCAACACTTGTTTCGACTTAATTAAGGTTTTTTTAATTCAATTCCCCTTTTGTAAAAATATGTTTTATGTACAATATTTATTTTGTTTATTTTATAGTAATTTAGCACTCATATTTCCAATACAAAGAACCAATTTAGGATGGTCTGAATGGTTGAGAAAAAAGAGGGTCAGCAGCTTCACTGCTGCCCTTTGTAGAGGAATTGTTGTCATCCATGTGTAAGAGACGAGAGAGAAAAAAATGAGCTATGTTTTCAAAGCCTGCTCTGATACCATGTAGAAAAAGATATTTGGCTTGAATGATATTTTATTAATAACACAAGAATATATACACGAGTATTCCTTGTATAATAAAAAATCCTACTATCTAGGAATACCATTTAAGGTAAGGATTAGATATGAATCAATTACAGATTTCTTTCTTATCTAAAATATATTTACTAACACAATAGGATCTTCCTCAACTCAACCAGTCCCTGCCCTCCCCAAACACGCCCATCCTGTTTTTATTTTTCTTTTTTCTAGTGCTATGTTTTAGTTCTAATAAATTTTTAATATGTTTTCAAATTAATTTCAAACAAGTTTATAGGTTTGTTGGGTTCATTTTTACACATGATTTATCTTGTTATTCACTCAATATTTTGAGTCAGTTCTTGACATTTTATAGCTTTTTACTTCCTTTTTGTGTTTTCATAGATTTTACCTTGGTTAGAATGAAAATGAGCTAAGAATGCATTATTGGTTATAATTTTTTTTTTTGCTCAATTTCGTAGGTCAACTTCTTGGCCTTGGATCAGCATTCTCTGATGCCCGGATAAGGTGAAGATTTTCATGAAACTTGTTTCAATAGATGTTGACTACAACATATCCGAATTTGAGCTCCATTGAGCAAGTATAGTCCAGCCAACCGATCCAATAATTGATCCTAGCTTTGGAAATCTGTTTTGGGCCAGTTTCACCTCCACTTGATGTCATCTTATTTCTACTTGTTACCATACCATTTGTAACAATAAATTACCTTATTGAAGTGGGATTTTCTGAGACAAAGGGCGCCTTGTAATGTTTTTAAAAACAAAACCTCATCATGGCAAGAAGACAAGGAGGAGACAATGGCTAAAGGCTTTAGCAAAAGGTGGAGTTTAATATTGATGGGTGAGTTGGAAAGGAGGAGAGAGGATGAGAAAAAGAAAAAGGGGCACCATCCCATGGAATGGGGAATTCGACATTTTTTCAGAGAATTGAACAGAGATTAGAGCTAGAAAGCTGGAGAAGGAAGACAAGGTGCAGCCAAGCAAGAAGTGGAAAAAGATTTCCACTATTGAAGACATTGAGCTTCCATCACTTTCACAAAATTTGTAAATTCTTTCGAGTTATATTTTGAATTTGTGTTTGAAATAAGTATGAGGAACTAAACTCCATAGCGAGGGCTTAGGTTGAAGCCTAAACTTAAATACTCTATTGTTTTGATGCTTAAGTTTATGAATTTCTAGATGTTGTTGATGAATTCTCATTAACACACCTAGATTGATTATAGAGAAGGCACGAGTACTGTGGCACAAGTATTGTAGCACTAGCCCCACACTCTACTTATATTAGAGAGAATTCAATGCTTCTTGAACCACTAGACCCAGTCTTGATTTACGAACATCTTCATCAACATATTTAGAGTTCATTTTTTGAGTGTCCATGAACATGGGTAGGATTGTTTAGGGTGGATTCCAAAAACCCCTAGTGTTTGTCACATTTTAAGTCATACTTTGATATTCATCTTTGTCACTCTTGTTAAAATTAGAGTTTGGTTACATTTAAGCATTATAATTAGATTAACTCAAAAACATCCCACCCCCCCACCCACCCCAACCAACAACACCCCCCCCCCCCCCCCCCCCCCCCCCCCCCCACCCCTTTGTGTGTGTGTGTGTGTTTGAAACATTGTGTGTTTTCTCTACTATATTTTGATCACTTCCGTAATTTTTGACATTTGGTATGTGCTGAGTTCTTCCTTTTCCTATAGTGAATCCAACCATATAAAGAACGTGAAATTTAGATAAATAGTTGGAAAGTTATAGGTCAAACATTGGACAAAGATCGAAGCTGAAAACAAAGCACACACTTTGCTTCAAAACGACCAATCGTCACTGTTAACACTACCGGGTAGCCTTTCATTTTGGTTTTCATATCACAATCTGTTTCAAAACAACCGATCATCACTGTTCATGCGACCGGTCGCAAACTGTTCACCGGGAGATAAACAGGTGATAAATAGGTGATACAATGGTGATAGAAAGGTGATAAACGGGTGATAGAAATTGTTGTTTGTGCTTATGTTTGATTTCTTGTTTTGTTTCATTTCTTTTACTTTTCTTTATTCACTATTAGCTCCCAATTTGCATTTTACCTGTGTGTTGTGTTAAATAAGTGTTTTTTATGTACTCAAACTAGAACTTTTAGTAAGCCGACAGTTCATCGTGGGATCGACCCCGTACTTGCAAATCTATACCCCAATAGATTCGTGCACTTGTAGGTATTTTTAATTGGATGATTAGCACATTAATTTGTGTCAATTATTAATACAACAAGGTTTTCAAAAGTGAAGTAAAAAGAGAAGAAGCTTATCATGTTTATTTAACGGCAATTATAACGGAATGGGACACATTGATTAACGATACCAAATTGACCAAATTGAAATCACATGGACTAAATTGGCTAACGAGCTAAAACACAAGGACTATTTTAGCATTTAAGCCTAATTATAATTGTGGGACACAAATTCTACAAGTTATATGCAATGTCTCACCTATGATGCTCAAGTTAAACAAAGAAAAACAAGAAACACGATTCTTGGGCTTAAGTCACCTTACCTTTGATGACTGAAGGTCGTAGAATTTATACTGTTATCAATGAATTTGACTGCTCCAATCGGTAATCAGCACATGTCGTGCAATGATTGGCACGTTTTAATTCCCATCGGGAATCTGTTGACTTTTGGTTTAACTGATGAAGAAGATGAGGATTTGCGTCGTGCATTGGCCTTTTCCATGGGAAGCATGAAGGAGACAAGTACTGGAAGTAAGCATGTCCTGGTTCTTTTGAAGCAATAGTTACCAATTTTCAAAGTTTAAATTGTAATTAGGCTCAGACAGAATCCACAATAACAATTCGTAGATTTGTAGTACTTTTGATAACATGAATGAGAAGCCAGTTACTTCTATAACATATCAATCTGCTCTCTCATCAGAAGGTGAGGAGAGCTAACTAAAAAAACCCAATGACAACACAAAACTAAAACTAATTTCCCTTTCTTACACTTTTGCCTGCCTGAGGTTTGCTCTATATACAATCCAATCTTCTGGCTGTATATGGAAACTGCTTCTGATCAGCAGTGTCTATGTACAAAATCATGGGAAACTTTTTAATAATTAATCAACTTAAAGAGCAAGCCATTGCATCTTCTTCCTCTTGTTTCTGTGCTGAGGTAAGCCGTTCAACCAAAATGTCCAAGGCTTCTTTCATCCACCAATGCTGACAAGCATCTCTAGCTTTCGCAGCACTCATCTGCATAACAAATAATTTCAGATTATATAAGATTTTACAACTCGTTTTCAAGAGGGTATATGAAAATATTATTAGCCAAAACTTTAAACCAGAAAAAAAAACAAAAACAAAAACAAAAACAAAAGTTCACAGCATGAGCAGCAGCATACCCAGATTCTTTGCCGAACGTTCTTCTCGGGCCATAGATCCAGTTGCTCCTTCACAAACAAAGGGAACATGTGCCCTTCATAGTATGTCTCCTGGCTTTTGCTCATGAAACTCCATTTTCCCAATTCACACTGCCATCATATACAGCATCAAATTAGGTCAAAATCTTTGCCAGAAATGCAAATCTATTATTCTTATCATGAAAGCAACAAACTCTATTATTTAGTGGCGATCAAAAGCGAAGAAAAGAATAAGAAAAACAGTACCAACCTCAACATTGCCCACAACACCCGCTTCTTCTAGTGATTCTCGTGAAGCAGCTTCTTCTACGGATTCATCAAGTTCCCAACCACCCTAGCAAACAAAATACAGTTGAATTTTTTAATTGGAAGAAAGTAAATAAAAATGAAAGAAAATGAAGACTTGGAGTTGGAAGTAGCAATTATACCTTAGGGAACATAAATGCATTGCCTTTCTGTGAAGTGATCACAAGCACTTCCAATTCATCGCTGATCGCACCATCACTGCCATTTTTGTATCTATAAGGAATGCATCTGCAACATTAAACAAAAAAATAAATTATACAGCCATTTTTTTATTACCATCACAGAGAAATATATTTGTAGCTCGCTGATCAATACTGACTTGCACAAACCGAAGATCAGAAGAACATCAATAATTGTTTAATTATATGGGCAGACAAGGTAAAAAGTAAATCATTGTTGGGAAAAAATAAATAAATAAATAAAGGAGAGAAAAGCTATAATCCAAATGGACTAAAATACACATGGGTTCCATTTGATAGGGACTCATGAGCCCACCCCCATGATGATGAGAATGAATTGGAGGAGGAGTCACAGCCACCAACATTTTTCAACATAACAAAAGCCTTGTCAAGAAAAGCTCAAAAAGAAAATAAAAAGAACCTCACCCCACGACTTGTCGGCGGCCCATGTTGTACCTCTGCAATTCCCTTCCCGTCCGAGCAACCAAACAAGCCATGTCTTCCAAATTATGGTTTGCAATTACAAGTGGAAAAAAGAAGGGCTTCTTAATTAACACAATTCTGAACCAAACTACAAAGAGGGGAGGATCAAGAAAAAAGGATTGCTTTTAAAAAAAATGAATTATATAGGGGTTTGTTTTTGTTCTGTTATTATCCGAATACCAAAAAAAACTTATGAGTTATGATGAATAAGTATTGCAGGTTTACAAAGAAATGCAATGGTTGGAACTAACTGGGTTTATATATAAAGAGGCCTCTGTGTAACTTCACGTTTGGAGGCAGAAATAGAGAGAGGATGGGTTGGCAAAAACACCAACTGCCTATATATAGAAAATAGAGCACTGATGGGTACCGTTTGGAAATAACGAAAGGAAGTTTGATGTTTCACCCAAAAAAAAAAATAATAATAATAGAAGGACGAGTATTCTATATTGAGTAGGTCCTAAAAGAGTTGCGGGGGTATGTATGGTGTGATGTTATGCAGGTTTATTCTATGAGAGCAGGCCAAGCCAAGCTAAGCTAGTGCCGTGAGTGCGTACGACATTCACGTCGCCTTCCGAGACGGATTTGTTAGAGAGTTTCTGTGTCGTTTCCCCAACAGCCCTTCTTAGCCTTTGTTATTTGTTCAGTCCACGCGGCGAGAATTCACTGGGTTGGTTGGAAGTGGACTTCAAGAGAACATGCTTACGTGAAGGAATCATGGGCATGCTTTCTATTTTTTTACTCTTTTTTTTTGGTTATATAATAACATAACATGCCATGCCACCTTAATGACGACGATGCTTACTTACCATGGCTCATTACTTCAAAATATGTGTTCTTTTGTTTTTCTTTTTTCCTTTGGGTGTGTGACAGCACGAGCCGCAAGGGAAACTTACCCGAGAGCTGCTTTATGCTTTTTTAGAGAAAGGATAAGTATGTTTTATTTACTTTTCTTTCTTACTTAATTGAACTTACATGTCCAAGAAACAATGTTTTATGTACTTTTCTTTCTTAGAGATAGGATAAGTGCATGATGACTCTATGTATCATATTTTGTTGTTATACTGGAACACTTACGTGATTGAAACATACATGTCATGACTACTATAGACTAAGATAAAGGTGTTGAAAAATTAACCAAAATATAAAAATATTCACCCCATACAAAAGATTGATCATAATTCCACGGATAAGTAAACATAATATAACAACTACTTTAAAGAAATCTAAATGTCGCAGTTTTGATGCATTTATTTATACTTTGATAGGGACATATCGCACCCTTCCAACAACAATTATTAAAATAAATTTTTTTAAAAAAAAAACAAACGAATGCTAGTAATTTTCTCTTTAACCTTCTCTTTTGAACTTTCTTCCTTTTGTTAATGATATGTGTCATTTTCTTACACATAAAATAATGTCCTTAATAAATGAGAACAACTAGCTTGTATTTTTCAAGTTTATTATTTTATTTTTCTTTATGTGGCATAAAATATTAATAAAATATTTGAAATTCAATTTAAAAAATAAAAAATAGCATTGTAGTATTCAAAAACTAAAAATAAAAAACCCTAAACCCCACCCATCCCGACTTCTTCTAACCTCCACCAACCACAATTTCAGAACTGCCATTAAAGGCCCCTTCTTACTTTCTCATAAGAAGAACCATAGTGTGAGCGGCAATACTTCGATTTTCTCCAAGGTTCTCCAGCTTCTCATGAGTTTTAGCTTTCAGATTCACAACAGAGGGGGTAAAAGAAGAGTTGGGGAGAGTTTGGGGGATGGTGGTGATGAGAGAGAGTTAATGCGAGTGTGAAAAATGCGATGAAGAAGAGCAGCCATAGCCGGTGTGGGCTGCTCCATTTGTGTTGGGTTTGTGGATTGATTGGGGGGTAGGGGTGGGGAGATGGAGGAGGATGAGCTTTGTGTTTGTGTTGGTGGGTGGTGGCTGGAAGGAGTCGGGAGGGGGATAAGGGTTTTTTAATTTTAGTTTTTGAATACTGTAATCCTATTTCTTATTTTCTTAATTGAATTTTCAAATATTTTATGCCACATAAGAAAATAAAAGAATAAACTTAGAAAATAAAAGCTAGTTGGTCTCATTCATTATTTGAGGCGCTGATTTATTTTGAACTCCCCAAACCATTCTCAAATATCTTTAATCATCTAACTACTACTTTGTCGACTCACTGGCTATTTAATGAAGCAATTGAAATTTAAAATTAAAAAAAAAATTGAAAAGTATAAATAATAGGATCAAAATCCAAAACCCGTCGCCATCAAAGTGAGACTAGTAAGTTTTAGGGGTTGAACTGGTCCGGACTCACATGGAGTGGAAAACAGGCGCGCGCCCACTCCCTAAGAATTATTGGGTCTCTGTTTTGTCCCCTTGTATTGTTTAGTCTTCAAACACGTACAAATTTTAAGGCTTCATCCAAAAATTTAGAATAACTTAAAAAGACTTCCCAGTTTTCCAACATAATATATTTAGTGTTATAAATAATTGAGCAGTTGAGAGGCTCCCTATTTTTCTCTGTGTCTTACACATATGTCGTCTGCTTCGTTTGCTTTGAGCTTAAATTCCCAGAAGAAGATGGTTTGCTTTGTGTAATTACAAACGCTAATAAGACAACATTAAGACGGTTGGGATTTGGATAATACTGAACTTTTGGTTAGGTGATATGGGATAAATTTTTGTAGGGGTGGCATTTTAGACCGAAAAATCAAAAAACCGCAAAAACCAACCGACATTTTACCGCAATGCAACCGCAATCGCGGGAAACCGAACAGCATTTGCGGTATTTGATTTTCAAATCTTGCGGTTACCGCAAACCGTGATTATATTAAAAAAATAAATAAATTGCATTTTGTAGATAGCATTGGTGCTCAAACAACACAACGAAGTCCTTCAAATCCACTCACCACCACCAACACTTGAGTTTGTAACATTGGTGCATTGCATTTTCCTTTTAGTTTGTAACTTTAATTAACTTTGAATTGGGATTTTCTTTTGGGTTGTAACTTTAATTCATTTTAAACTGCATTTTCCTTTTGGTTTGTAACTTTAAAGGATTTGGAATTGAAATGCTTGAGAAGTTGTGGTTGTGAATACTTGAGAAGTTTTAACTTTAATTGGAATGCTTAGAATTGTAACTTTAATTTTCTTTAGGTTGTGAATGTTTAAGAAGTTGAGGTTGTGAATTTATTTATTTAGGTTATGAATTTATATTTTTGAGTTAAAGTATACTTGAACTCAAAAGGCTTCAAAAGAAACATCAAAATTATGCCTAAAATGTGGAATATTGAATTTTTATGACAAAAAAAGAACTTGCGGTTTTAAACCGCAAAAAGCGGTCGGTTTGCGGTTTCAAAAATTACCATACCGCAAATAGTCGGTCGGTTTGCGATTTGGGAAAAGATTCGCGGTTACCGAACTGCAACCACTCCTAAATTTTTGTATGTTCCAAATACACCAGTTGGTTGGTGTATATTCGATATACATAAAACATGGGGAAATATTTTATTTTTATGTTCTATGTATATTAAAGATGAAAAATATTTTCACATATCGCATGCGTATTGGATAGTACATTAACCAAATAGTCAACTCTGAACATAAAAAATTAGCATGTCAAAATTGAATGTGTTTAATGGATCTACCAAAGTCCAACTGCAAATAATTGAATTTTGATTTGCCCCCTCCTGTAGCATCATAGGCCACATGGGAAGTTTCCCAAAATTTAAGGTACTCTTTGAAAAAATAAAAACAAAATTAATATTCTGCCTAATATCATGGATTTTTTGGGGACTCGCAAGTCACATGCAATTATTTGAATCCATTTATTTTAATTTTTCTTCCCCAACAGCTCACATGCTGATTGAGAATCTGACTGACTGAGTAGCGAATCATTAATATTAAAAAGTTTTTTATTTCATTTTTTTAAAAATCTCCATAAGCCCTACAATATAACATGATTGGTACATGTTTTTTGAAAGGAAAAAAGTCACATGCCTATACTCGAAATATAGAAAGGTTGCCATTGGTTGAACCGTTTAGCATGACTAGTCAATGATAACGGAGAAAGTGCCATGTCATCAATGCCACATGTAGTTAGTGAGTTAGTTTGCTGGATAAACTTGTGTTATGAAGCATGATATCCGATGGAATGTAGTGTATAATTCTCGACTGATTCAATCAATACAAACAGATCAATTCACAAACAAAAGTTAAAATGCATCACTTGGCTTTAAAAGTCCATACCTAATTGCCTCAAATGACTAAAAGAAAGAATTAAATAAAAATGACTTGCATTAGCTTAAAAACACACAAAATAAAACCATTGTCAATCCTATCGTAAATTCTATAACCCAAACTTTCTTATTTTCTTATGGGGATGTTTATGGCCAACCCCAAACTATGTGCTTGGACCTTGGTGCACAAATGGGAAAACTATGTACTAGATTAAGACCTATTATAATATAGTATTCGGCCGTTGTATATCAGAAACTAGCACTGTATATTTGAGAGGACACTTTACAATTGAAGTCATGCATGCATGACAAGAAGTTTTCATTTTTATTTTAAATTTATTAGGCCGTTTGAAAATATATTTAACTAGATTTGTAACTCAAGTGGTTAAAAACATTTACTTTTGCACCTGATGTCCTAAATTCGATTTCTCCCCTTGAATATCACTTATATAAAAAAAGATAGAGAGTACACAGTGCAAACCACGGACCATTAGTGCAATTTTTGGGCCTAAATCCTAATGCCTAAGTTCAATTTTTTTATATATTTTATAATAAAAGTGGTGAGAAGTCCATGGCCTGTATCTTATATGGACTGTTTTATGGGCTTTATGTGGGCCTGCCAAGTCACAACAACTATTTTACCATTTAACCCCGCATTAGCACCGCCTATGTGGTTGTGTTTGGTAGGCCTTACTGGACTGAACTGGCTTAAATAACACTTAAAACCCATGTTTAGTAGAGATTATATAGTCCAACAGTAAACAAAACTCCTCACTCGCTCCTCTAATTTAGCGAGGTTGAAAAGTGGTTTGCAATATAGTGCCCTCGCTAAATCGAACAAGCGAGTCCGAACTAAACCTGTTTCTTCTTCTTCTTAACATGGAATTGGATTTTCTTGATTTGGGTTTTCAGTCAACCATATTCACTGAAGAAAGATCCTTGGCCTGAATCAAACCCCTCCACCACCACAGTTAAACCGTCAAACCACCACCATGAGGTTTGTTGAACCTGTAATTTTGGGACAGCCGTAATATTGCAATCATACAGGTAGAACGAAGAGATTGAGTGGTTCACCCATAAAATCGGGCTACATCCACTGATTGTTGTATTTGTATATATGTATATAGATTACATTGGGATAGGCTAGAGCCTTTACAAATGGGAGAGGAGAGAGATCTGGAGGAAATAAGAGAGAGTTGCCGAGAGCACTCTTGTCTCTTGGCTCCCTGTCTATTTTGGGGTCCCCCCCCTTCAGCAAGAGGAGAGAGTCCTTTTTGTAGGAGAATAGCCACCGACTTCTATCCTTGGGCCTGCCGACGTGGCAGCCCATTAAAGGCCCACCCAAGTAAGGTTAGACAATATGTCAACAAGGTTACCTAATTTCTACAACCAAACAAACCAAAATCACTGGCAGGACAAGATTGAAGAGGACGTGTGTGGGAGAATGCATTCGCTGAAGCCTTTGCCTGAAGCTTTCTTGATTGAATAAAACGGAGTCAAAAGGGGAGAAGATAAAAAGAATGGGTAGGTTCTTATTAAAGAAAAAGAAAATAGAGAGAAAAAATAAATAAAAAAAATGAGGAGGTTGGCTTGGGTTGGGTCTGAATATGATGATTTTTTATTTTTTGTTTAAGATAATTTTAGCCTTTAAAAAATTCAAAAATTTAGTTGTTTTCTTTTTATTATTGTTTTAAATCTAAGTATTACAATAATTATTTTTTAGTCCAACACATCACCAAATATAGGTCTTCAATATTTTTACAATCTAACTTCTTAGTCCGACGTGGCACCAAATGTAGGTCAATACTTAATCCAACTTAGGCAAATTACACAGTTCCAGGATTTAATTCAGTCAATGACAGTTGGTCGTACCAAACGACCTATGCATGTACCACTTACTACCAATTTACCAACTAGAACTTTCCAATGCTCTCCATTTCCTTCCTCTTTTTTAGTTATATATATATATAGTATAGTTGCGCGGCTATACCTCTTTTGATACATGGCACTAAATCGCTAGGCGGGTCCTCTTTTTTTTTTATAATTATTTTTTTATAAATCATATGGCTGTGTGGCTATACTCCGAATTTTAAAAAAATAAATGCGTACAGCCGTGCAGTTTTACTGGAGTCGAATTTTTATTTTATTTTTTATATAAATAAATAGTACAGCCGCGCGGCTATACTCTTTACATACATACTGTGATTTTTTTTAAAAAAAATTTGTTTTTTTCCCGATTTTTGTTTATCGATAAGAGTAGTTTAGAATATTATCCATTACTATTAGGTCATTAGCCGAGTTTTTATTGTCCTCTTTTAAGTTATTACGTTTCCAAAGTTATTACCTGTATAAATAATTTAGCATTTTTCACGTTTAATACTTGAATGATACACGTACATAAGTATTTTTCATGTTTAATACACTTATTTTTTTTACAAAATTTTCAATAATACACACAAAATTCACATATTATACACATAATTTTCGCATATTATTGAATAAAAATAATGTATATTAAAAACAATTAATAATCATATTAAAATATTATGTAGTGGTTGAACTTATCATTTGTAATTTGCCAAAATATTGCCTAATAAAACACATACGTATTTTATTCATATTTTTCTCATTCCGTGTTTTACTAACTATGAAAGAATGTGAGAGGCAAAGATTATTTCTTACTTATTGTAACAAAAATGCAAGATGGTGATTTTGCAATTTCCTTGCTAACCAGAAGAACAATTTCAAACAAAGATTTATGGGTATAGTAGTAAGCGAGGTGGTAGTATTCTTCATGTAAAGTGTTGTTTGAAATGTGAAGAAATTACCAAGAACACTCAAACTCAGCATGCAATTCTCTACAACAAATAATTTGTGTTTTAGTATCACTCAAGAGAACGAGGTAGACCAAAGGTTAACATTCCCACAAAAAAAGAAGAAAACAAAATTGAACTATCAAATTGATTTATTCAATATCTGCTTTGGAGATGTCGAAACTAGCAAATTAATATCTATAAAATATAAACTAATGCAACTAGACGGGTCATTTTCTTTTAATTTTTTTAAATAAGTAGTATCGCTGCACGACTATACTCATTTTACATATAATCTATTTAAAGCGTATATCCGCTCGGCTATACTACGTTTTTTATAATAAACATCGTATAGCCGCGTTGCTATACTGTTTTTGACACGTGACATTGAATTGCTAGACGGGCACTAGGCGCGAGGCGAATCCTCTTTTTGAAAAAAAAAAATAGTCTAGTCGTGCGGTAGGCCTCATCATTTGGCCTGCGGGCTCATGGGCCGATAAGGGCCTGCCCGACCCATTATGGGCTTTGAGATGGCCCGGCCCACCTTGAGCCGGGCTAGGCTTGGGCTTGGGTGTCTGAAGCTCGGTCCGGCCCGATTAAGCCCAAGCAAGCCCGGCCCGACCCGCCCACAAAAGCCCTGCCCATTAGGCCCGCATATATATATATATAATTATGTATAAATAAGAGTTTAGGTTTATGATTATATCACTTAAATCACATATATAATTTGTTTTGTTTCATTTACTTTCCTTTACTCATTTCTAGTTTATAATTGGATGATTAGCACATTAATTTGTGTCAGTAATTAATTCAACAATTATATATATATATATGATGAACAACATATCACATCACCAAATATAATCATATCACGAAACATAATCGTACCACCAAATATAATCATGCTTTTCTTGAATACATCACCAAATATTTGCATATTTATTCACTCCATCCTTTAAAAAAAATATATTTTTGATACTTATTATTTTTTAAAATGTATTACGGTCTAAGTATGTAATAACCTCAAAAATAATACTTGGTTTTATTATTTTTGTGAAAAATCTTATTAAGTTGTGTGACTTTATTGGGTGTTTTATGAATTTGGTTTGATGTGAAAATATTGGAATTAAGTGAGTTTAATCTCAAATTTGAACTAAAATGCCCTTATGATTAAGTTTATGATTTTTTTTAATGAAGTAGGCCCGTTTAGGCCTGGCCCGATGGGCTTTCTCAAGCCCAGTTCATGGGTCGGGGCTTGGGCTTTGAATTTTCTAAAAAAACCCAGCCCGGTATTTTCTCTCTCCTCTTTAAAGTCCGGCCCAGCCTGGCCCATTGACAAGCCCTACCGTGCGGCAGTACTAGAGATTTCTTTTTTAAAATTGAGTATAGCTGGGCGGCTTTACTTGGGGTTGCTTTTTGAACATGTGGTGCGGAATAATTAGCTGGGCGGTAGGCGCCTTTTTATTTATTTATAAATAGAATGGCTGTGTGGCTATACTTGGAATTTTAAAAAAAATAAATGAGTACAGCCGTTCGGCTTTACGGGGTCTTTTTTGTGTGTTTTTTATAAATAGTATAGCCGCTGGGCTATACTATGGTTTTTTTAGTAATAAAAATAATATAGCTGCGCTGCTGTACTGTTTTGGACACATGGCGCTAAATCGCTAAGCCCCTATCTTTTGTTGTCCTTTTTTAATTAAATAGCCTAGCCGCGCGGCTATACGCGGGATTTGTTTTTAAAAATGAGTATAGCCGTTCGACGTTATGGGTATCTGCTTTTTTAGCTGTTTTTATAAATAGTGTAGCCGTTCGCGTTAATTTGTCTGTAATTCTGAATTTTAAGAGGTTTTCTGAGTTGTAAATGTTGATGAAAATAAACATGTACACAGAAATGTAGTAGGAAAATATTTTAAAATATTTCTTAAACGCCCTTGTTGTATCTGATTCATGATTCTGAATATTTGAGCATCAGTGTAAATGAAAGAGTGAAATAGGATGTGGGGTTTGGGTGTGTGATGGTGGGGCGGTGGAGTTGGTCAAGATGAGGGAGAGGTGCGGAGGGTTGACAGGGATGGGAAAGGAAGGAAAAAGAAACAAAAAAACAAAAAATAGTCCCAGTCCAGCTCGAGCAATAGTGGCAACGTCTCAGCTGGCCGTTGAAGTGAGGGACCGAATTGAAGAGAACGAAACCGAGAAGAAGCTATTCGATAGGCTTCGTCTCGGCACGGCACGCCTCGCAATTTCGGCCCCGGGCGGATGAGTTCGGGATCAGTCTGGTTGGTATGTTTAAATGAATTGGGAGTTGGAACTTGGAGGGAAGAAATTAAATTGGCTTCAAAGAAATTAATATTTTCGTCTTTGAATTTTAATTGATTAAAAGTGTGTTTTGAATTTTGCACGAGACTTTGCAATTTCACATTTAAGTGAAGAAAACCTGACTGAGATTTAATTTACTTTAATTTGATTAATTATTAACTTCTTCTTTTTGGGTGCAGAAAACCTGATCAAACCAAACATTTGGGGCTGGGAATTGCGCAGTTGGAAACTAGGTTTTGAGAATTGAATGAACTTCACTCACACCGCAACAAAGGAGGTATGCATATAATATATATATATATATATTTATATATAGTGTTTACAGGATTGTGAATATGGAAATATAGAAACAATGAAGCTAATTACAAGGACTAGTGATGACATACAGGGTATCCAATTACAATCAGTAAGAAAGCAATTCTAATAAACTAAATTACTTACATACACACTTCAATAGCTTAAAGAAAACATTACAAATCATATTTATATACTTAGTTCTAAGGGAAAACACAAACAGCTAGCTAAGAACGTCTTTCGATTTTCCAACAAACTCCCAATGCAGACTTTGTCAAGTGTCTTGGCGCTTCAGTGATTACTTAAGTGAAGAGTTTCTCCTCTTGATCTGGATGAGCTTGTCAAACACACACCATGGAAAGCTCAGGAAATGATCTCTTTCCATTCCCTTGTTGCAGCGACCCCAGTAATCAGGATAATATGTAACATGGTACCAAGCTGATGCTTTTGCTGATTCTACATCATTGATATCAGGCTTCATATCCGACTGCATTCCCAGCTTCTCATCAAACCAGGTCCTAGCTTCCTTTCTCAGTGCCTTTATAGCGTAATGAATCGACTCCAAGTCTTTTCCCCTGTTGAAATTTTTTGATACTGCAGTGATGCTCCCACTTAGTATTTCGGCTTCAGTTTTGTAGCCGTAGTAATCCATCAGGTTTCCCAGCTTGTAGTCATACTCATTTTTGTAATTGATGGCATCTTTGACGTAGTCTTCAAATCCATCTACCACCATATCAGGGTCATAAAACTTCATAGCAACTTCCATGGTGAAGGATTTAATTAAGCCTGAGTTTGAAGGTGAATCTGATGCAAGCTCAACATGTTTCACCTGTCGGAAAAGCCTCCCAATAACACGTTTTGACTCGTAGGTGGGTTTGTCAACCTTCTCCATGAAATCTGGGTATTTGTGGATACGTAGACAGCGTGGCACTTCCACTACCACACCAGTTTTCGGAGAGTCAACAGCATGCGAGCTGAGCTCGGCGAGCTTGATACATGGAGCACTGGTAGCCTTCTGTCGCTCTGTGTCTGCAAAGACAGTATGTGCATTACAAATGATCCCCAAGTTGTCGTTCACTATGTAGTTGGTAAATGACTCTGTAACCTCCTGTAACAAACACAACAGAACGCAATGAATAAGGCAGAGACAAGATTCAACAAGCGAAGTATATATCTTTCAAATATCATTGACTACATTTCACTTGATAAATTGAGAAATACCTCCATTGTCACATCATGATCCAATTCAATAGTTGGTGCTGGGGTATAATTCATAGGTCGAACTTGCCAAGGAGGAATTAGATCAGGGTCCCAACTGACAAAGTAACAATCTCCGTCCAAGTCACTTCCAGAGCATTCATTCGGATGAGGCCTAATACAAGGAAAGAAACATAGTATGTGAATAGAGAAACACTAATATGCAGGTGCAATATGAAACAAATTTAGTTACTTACCGGTTTCCTTTTTGAGGGAAGACTACACAATCCACCATGTGGTGCAAGGCCGGCACGTTCACAGCCCTAAGAACACGAACATCTCCTGGATGTAAACAGGGGTTTTTAGCAACCACTACGTTTTCCTCAACAATGAAATTGTCTTCGCTTGAAGTAGCGCTGCTATTGCTATTGCCACCGAAGACGGCACGTCGAGAACACTGCACAAATACCTCACCATATTCCAATGTCCCGGTTTCATCTAGGCATCCCATCAAGGATCTTCCATTTGGAACAAATATCCTCGTCTTGGTCCGCAACTCCACAAGCTTGGATGCACAGAATGCTTGTAGCATCAATGACATAAATGGTTCTGCATCTGGCTCGTAACCACACGCAAGCATTTCCTTTAAAACGTTGGTGACCTCTCCTTGGAATATCATTTCAAGTGCTTCCAGTGCTCTTGATGGGTCAGTCAAAACACCTTCCAATTGTTTCAAAGCCTCGTTTTGCTTTTTCATGAAAACATGATCGGGGACTCCGAGGGTGGACAAAAGGGTGATCAGTTGACGATTAAGGAAACAAGGTTGGTACCTGCTCCATGCCAGAACATCTAGTTTTGTGTTGTTGGATTGGTACTTGCACATGCTATCTCGCAGTGCCAACTTCTTTGACAATGTAGGATCAACTGCCACAACACCTTTATAGCCACCAAGTCGAATTTGAAAGGCAGATGGAGTAGTACTTTTGCCGCACTTGCTTGTCACTCTTCCAGCAAACTCCTCAGATATCTTCCCAATTCCATCAGAAAAACAATATTTAACTCCACCTCTTTCTGTTTTTACATCAGGAATGAATTCAATTTCATCCTCACCAACATCAAAAGTCTCCCTTGAAGAGCTGAAAGCCTGACCCAACCTGGCAGCATGTTTTGCTGCATTTTTTATGTCACTAAAATCACCCATCCAATTTCTGATGTCTTGTGCAGTCAACTCACTTCTAGATGCAAACATCCACACCGAATGCTCTCGTAATTGACTCGACGAATGGGCAAGAAACTCAAACTTCTTTTCACCAATGACTATGCCATTTCTTAGAGTAGAAAGTATTCTTTCATAAACTCCAGTTCTCCTTTCCTCTTCTGTAGAAGTTGTAGAATTTGTCCGTGGACATAAATCTCCTGAACGCATCTTACTCATGTCCTCATCCACGAAAGAAACACGAAGGAAATTATCAACATCTTCAGGATAATTTCGTAAAACACGATTGGATATATTTGCCTCTGGACCACAGAAGTAAACTTTAGATGGTGTTACTTGAACTCTGTGCACATACACCATCCCATCATCTAAAGAAATAGCTGGTGACTGAGGAATTCGCTTGCATGCCATGTACTCTTTGTACCGCTCAGTAAGCCAACTCACAGGCTCATAGCAGCACCCTTTTAACCGAAACAGCTTGTCCAGGGCACACTCTATATATTCAGTTTTTATTATGCTAGGATCCACTAGCTCATAAAAATTGACATCAAGTGCTTGCCCAGGAACACATCCATGCTGAACCAAGGAATTGATCTTAAAAAGGATTTTGTATGGCAAGTTAATGCCAAAGGGTGGACCCACGATAGGAACCAGATCTGAAGTACAGGAGAAAGTGTTGCCGCTCTTCGGAACCAACCGCCCTTCATTTTCTTTATAATGAGCAAAACTCTTGCGTAGATTTGGAAGCTCACAAGTAGGTGGAAGCTCCAAACATACAGCAGAAGATTGCCCAATGCAGCGTGAAGGAGTGAAATCAACTTCTCGAACCCAGCCATTTTGAGAAGCTTTCTTGAAAATCCGAGGGGCACCAAGTAACTAGCAAGAGAAAGAAGAAAGGCGGAGCACAATGTTAGTCATTTGCCCTAAGTTCCAGACATAATATAGTAATTCTGCTATGCTATAAGGAACACAATAGTCTGTCTCAACAACGTTCAAATTCTCTCCGCCGAAGCAATGAAGTTATAGTGTTTGAGAAATTTGACATGAGATCAGATTATCAAGTAGGAACTAGTGAATGGAAAACATCTTATTCAGGTATCTACTGCAATTGGAAAACATCTTATTTGTATATTTCATGGCAAAATGCAAAGTCATGATTCACAAATTCTGTAGTTTAACTGGCAAACCTGGATTAGAAGAAAGTTTGGAAGTTCGCCACGTGGATGATGTAACTCAATCTGGCGAATACTTTCAGAGGAGATCTCGAGCTTGTATTCAACAGCATCAAGAGATAACAATAAGTAGATATTTTTAAATTCCTTCCCGAATTTCACTGAAACATCCAATGCTGTCCAAAGCACAGAAAACTGTCCCTCAGAAATCAGGCATCCCAAGTGCAGCTTGACAAGTTCCATGCTATGCTCAAAGATTTGAAGCTTCAATTTTGTAGCTGTTTCAAAGTACAAATAGAAACTAATGACTCAGAACTCATTACAACTTCTCTTTACATAAATTACAGGCAAAGGCTTAATAACTACTGAAACCAAACAAGAATTTCAAAAGGGAGTTTGAAACCAACTCTCCGAATTTAATGACAGAGCTGACAATTATCTAAATTACAGGACAAAGTGTTACCTCTCTCCAGAACGAACGGTCCTTCGTTTTCTTTATAATGAACAAAACTACTGCATAGATTCGGAAGCTCACAACTTGGTGGAAGCTCCAAACATACAGCAGAAGATTGCCCAATGTAGCATGTAGGAGTGAAATCAACTCCTCGAACCCACTGCCTTCTGGAAGCTTTCTTAAAAATCAGAGGAGCACCAATTAACTAGTAAGAGAAAGAAGTGAGGAAGAGAAAAATGTTAGCAATTGGTAAATATGCTCAACCTTTAGTGGAACTTAAAACAGTTATCCATGTTTTTCATTTAAATTTAACTGCTGGGCAAACCTGGATGATAAGAAACTTTGTAAGTTGACCGCGTGGATGATATAGCTCAATCTGGCTAACATTTTCAGAGGTGATCTCAAGCTTGTAATCAACCGAATCATAAGAGAAGAACAAGTAGATGTTCTTAAGTCCCACCCCAAATTTCACCAAAACATCCGATCTTGCCCAAAGCACAGAAAACTGTTCCTCAGAAATCTGGCATCCCAAGTGAAGTTGTACAAGTTCCGTGCAGTGCTCAAAGATTTCTGAGTTGGGCACCATGTCAAACTTCGCTTTTCTAGCTTTCAGATAAGATTTATTGTACCACAGGCTTCGAGCATCGGCTAATGGAATTATGATACCAGCAAATTTTGCATCTGTGAACTGAACTATGGCAAGTGTTCTTGATTTTCCATCTTTGGGAGGAAGAACATTTATAGCATGAACAGTTCCTTTTCCAGTATATGCCTCCAGAAATTCTGTCACTGCTGCTGGAGACTCGCTGGAGGAAAATCCATACAATTGAATTGTCTTAACCATTTTCGTAATGTTGATGGCAACTGCTGCAGATTCAACGTACAAATTGATATAAATAAAGCAGAAAGAAAAACCAATTCTCCAAAGTAAATAACTGAGCTCAAAAAAATTAAGTAAACAGAATGCAGAACAGAAAGCAAGGGCCTGGCATTTCAATTTTCAAGCAAATGCAAATGAGAAAAAAGTCTGACCTTGAATTTTTGGAATGTAAGCACTGAGATACTGAGATACGACCAAAGGCTGCTGTGTAAGAAGCAAAGCTCATGATACCACTGTATATATAGGGAAAACAAGCACACTGTACATAACTTGCCATGGCAGTTGTAGCAGGGAAATAAAATCTCAAACTTGGCATGGCAGTTTTAGCAGCGAAGAAAAAAAACTTGTCATGGCAGTTGTCCTATTGGCGCCAATGAGTAGAATAACGACTGCCGCGATCCCCAGCATCGCAGCAATGACAAAACATCCTAATGCGAAGATTAAGTGGCGAGGAGCCACTTTTTTCAAAAAGGGGAAGGTATGAAATTGTATAGTGACACGTGGCAACATAGCAAGTGTGACACAGTAGTTAAAACAAAATATTTTTTTTTTTTTTTTTTTTTTTTTTTTTTTTTTTTTTTTTTTTTTTTTTCATTCACCTTTTTGACTTTGATCATTTGTATAACGTAATTATTTGCCTCTCTTGTAACGTGACATCACGTGAGGAGAGACATATAGAATACACCCCGCTTTATATAAGTCTTACCCTCATAAGATAGTCAATAATGTCGTTCATATATGTTTGTACATTTATTTGCATTAAAAATACTTTTGAGATTAAATGTACTTAAAAGTTCATAAATCAAATTTGTGTTATGGTGGTAACTCTTAAGTTAGCTTAAGGAGGGTGAATCAAGCTGCTAGTTAAAATGAAATCAAACATTTGGCCAAGAACCTTCTGGAAGTTTTTGACTCGACCAGACATAAGGTCTTAGAGCTATTCCACCCGTGCAGCCCAGCCCGAGGGTAGGGGGAAAAAAAAAACATGGCCTTCCAGCGGAGCAGCCCAGGGGGGGGGGGGGGGTGGGGGGGGGGGGCTGGCCCGAAGGTAAGTCCTGCCTGAGGTCCAAAACGCGGTGGCTGACGCCATGTCGACGTCAGGGTGACGTCGACACGCGGCACGCGCCAACGGTAAAAAAATTTTGAACCAGCGTGCGCTGACGTCAGCGCGACGCAGGCCCAACGGCTGGAAGCCACGTGGCACGCCCCCAGCGCTCCGATTTGATTCCACAGCCTTCATCCAACGGCTCCCGATTTTCCAGCAATAAAATTATGAAAAAAAATCGAAATTTTTTTAAAAAAAATACTAAAAAATACTTTCAAATTCTGATTTTTTTTTTCCTATAAATATCTATAAATACCCTTCACTTTCAACACCAATTCTCATACATTTTATTCTACTTCTACAATTCTTCAACATTTTTTCACTCTTCACTTAACATTTTCATCTTTTTCACATTGTATTTTTATTTCTTATTTTTATGGCTTCTTCTATTGAAACCGGAGGGGCGTGGAGCACCATGGAAGATGTTTCTTTGTGTGAGGCTTGGCTCCGAGTTTGTCATTGTCCCATGACAGGCAATGAGATGAAATTTTTCCATATGTGGAAAAAAATTCATGCCGAATTTTGCGAAAAAATTCCGGACTCGCCTCGTACGGAAATGGCATTGTCGAGTAGGTGGAAACTTCTCAACAAAGAGATGGCAAAATGGAGAGATGCCTTGGCAAAAGCGATGAACTTGTATAGAAGTGGGGAAAATCGTACTAACGAGGTAAGTATTTTGTAATTTTCGTTTTATTAAGTTTAATGTCCTAATATATATATGTTGTTAATATTTATTGCATTTTCAATATTTTGTTAATATTTCTTGCATTTTCAATATGTTGTTAATATTTCTTGCATTTCCAATTGTTTCTTCATATTTCTTGCATTTTCAATATGTTGTTAATATTTATTGCATTTCCAATTGTTTCTTCATATTTCTTGCACTTCCAATTTATTTGTAAGGTTAATTGCATTTCCATTATTTTTATTTTGTTACTTGCATATCCAACATATTTTAAATATTTATTGCATTGCCATTTTTTTGTTAAATAGCTCATTCAAGCACAGATGTGGTTCGGTGCAACCGGGGGTGGCAAAAAAAGGTTCACCCATCATGAATGTTGGGAGGTGGTGAAATATTGTAAACGGTTCATAATTATTCCCACGGGTCCCGACGTTGTGTTAAACGAGACGCCTCTCCGTGATTCAACGACATCGGATTCACCTCTCGATTCCCCTATGAGTGAAGACTCACCCATCCAAAAAGAACCGAGGCCCATTGGCCGAAAGGCTGCGAAGGCAAAGAAAGCGGGTAATTCAAGCAATTTTAATTCAAAGTTTTTGGAGGAAATTGCAAGGCAAAACTCCATAAGAATTGAAATGGAGCAGAAACGCCAAGATATGGAGGTGGCAATTCAAGCCGAACAATCACGAGAAAAGGAGTATTTGCGCAAAAAAGATCAGCAGAAGACGGATCGGGAAACCATGGCAATGGATACAAGTCATATGTCCCCCGAAACAAAACAATATTGGAAGCTAGAACGGAGGGATGTTATGAGAAGAAGACTTTTCCAAGATGATGGGCCTAGCAACACGGATTGGTTAAATGATCAAAACCATTAAATTAGTTGGCATACCTTTTATGTATTTTTATTTTTCATGTTTTGTATTAAAGTTGGTGTACTTCATGTATTTTATTTTAGTAGTAGTAATTCTTAATGACTTGTATTGGATTTCTTTATTTAATAAACAAAGCATTCAATAAAAGACCATTTTATTCAACATATTCCATACATCAAACATAACATAATTAAAATGAAAACAAAAACTACAAACAAGGCACAATAATAAATAAAAAAACAACACAACCAAACCATAAGCAATAGTAAACAACACAACCAAACCATAAGTAAATAAAACATAACCAAAGCATCTATGCTCCATCATTCATCTTCATTCCCTTTCACCGCCCATATATGCTCTATCAAGTCAAGTTGACGGCTTTCATGAATATACGAAGATTGCATCTCTGTATATCGATCTATCATCCGGGTCATCATACGATCGTCCCTCACCAACGGTTCCGGCTCAAACGGTTCTCCATTTGGCCCCATGGGCATTTCATAAATCCGGGTCATCGCCGTGTTTATTGGATCCGGCTCATAGACCTCTCCAGCATCATAATCGTACTCATCCTCCACAATCATATTATGGAGGATGATGCAAGTCATCATAATGCTTCGGAGGATCTCCTCATCAAACATACGGGCCGCACCTCGAACAATCAACCATCGAGCTTGAAGGATGCCAAAACACCTTTCGACATCTTTCTTGTATCCTTCTTGATAGGTAGCAAATAATTTTTGCTTATGGGATCGGGGATTCGAAATGGATTTCACAAATGTGGTCCACCATGGGTAGATACCGTCAGCTAGATAATACCCCGTCTGGTAGACTGTATTGTTGACTTGATAGGTAATATTGGGGCCTTGGCCGCTCAAAACATCGTTGAAGACCGGAGATTGACCCAGGACGTTGAGGTCATTTTGGGCTCCGGCAACTCCGAAGAAAGCATGCCAAACCCATGTGTCGAAGCCAGCAACGGCTTCCAGGATGATACTTTTTGTGCCTTTTCTATTTCCGTAATCACCTTGCCAGGCAGTTGGGCAATTCTTCCATTGCCAATGCATGCAGTCGATGCTACCAATCATTCCTGGAAATCCTCGAGCTTCGGCTTTTTGTAGAAGCCGTTGGAGGTCCCTGGGAATAGGTCTACGCAGGTAGTCCCTAGTGTACAGATTTTCAACTGCATCACAAAATCTTACCAAAGCCTCCAACGTAGTGGACTTCCCCATTCGGGCAACCTCATCCACCTGATCAGCAGATGCTCCATACGCCAACATTCGTATAACAGCTGTAAGCTTTTGCTCCGGAAGAAGGCCCAAAACCCCAGTAGCATCACACTTTTGAACAAAGTATGCATCATAATTGCAAATATCATGCATGACTTTATTGAACAAATGAGGTTGCATTCTAAATCGCCTTCGAAAATCAACATCAGAGTACAAAGCAGTTGGGATAAAATAATCTTCCAAAAGATTCTTACCCCGAGAATGCCTATGTCTGTCCATATTCCGGCGACGGCCGACTTGTGAACCACGGCGGCGGCCTTGGTTCTCTTCCTCTTCCATTGCCATTGCTATGAGAACTTGCTCATCGACTTGCCTCTGCAACTCATTGATTTCATCGGCTCTACGGTTTCTCTCCTTTCTTTCTCTCTCGTGCCTCTCCAAACATCTCCTATATTCTTCCATTGAGAATGAATGGAGTATGAATTCTAAACTCTAAGAAATGAAAATATTGAAAGATGTGGTGTGAGAGGTATGATGTGAGCCTCTGGTTTTATAGAAAAATTTGGCAAGATAGAGATGCCACGTGGCTTGATTTGATTGGATGAAAATCTTATCTGAAATTTGAAATTCATCCGAAATTTGAACCCAAATTTATCTGAAATTTGACTTTTGAAATTCATCCGAAATTTGAACCCAAATTCATCTGAATTTTGAATTTTGAAATTCATCCGAAATTTGAATTTTGAAATTCATTTGAAATTTGAACCCAAAAATTTATCTGAATTTTGAATTTTGAAATTCATCCGAAATTTGAACCCAAAAATCTTATCCCGAAATTTTATCCGATTATGAATAGTGTTGACACGTAGGAACCCGTAAATCTTATCCGAAAATATTATCCAAATTAATTATTGAGGTAAAAAAAATTGTGAATAAAACAAAAAAATGAATAGTAACTGCTCTTAGCTAGGGCAATGGGTGGAAACACAAAATTCTGATTTTGCAAGGGCAACTACTATTCACGTGAATAGTGGCTGCCCTAGCTCCCCTCCTTGCCATGGCTAAGGGCAAATGGGTGGAGTTGCTCTTAGTGCTTGGGAGAAGTCTTGGCTAAGAATCTTCTAGAATCTCTCATTGCCAATTGGCAGTGGGCACCTATGCTATCCATGATGGGGAATCTTTGTCGTTACCCCTTGATGAGCAAGGTTAGAAACAGTAATGTATCAATAGAATAGAGTATATGGAATACTTTTTGAAATATGGAACTTGCTAGGAAAGGGGTTAAGACGGTGGAGCCATCCATGATCCACCACTCACAAACCTAGTTGGGGCTGTTTTAAAATTGCATTGGCAATTTTTGTTCTAAATTTACAAGTATAATATTTTCCAAGAACCTTCGAACCAATCATGATGTGTTAGTCCTTAGGAGAAGTTTTGGCAAAGAATCTTCTAGAATCTCACATGGGAAATGGGCTGGGGAACTTTGCCCCTTGCTGAGCAAGGTTTTGGACCAGAGAAGAGAGAGCATATACTTGAGACTGAGTGGGGATGAATTAGATAGGTGCTTTGTCTAAAAGCAGTAATAGATTTAGAGTATTTTAGGGTACTTTTTGGAAAGATGGAACTTGCTCCAAAAGGAGTTATATGGAGCCATCCACTACTCACCATCTAGTTAGTAGGCCTCTTTTTTTCATGCAGCATTTGGGAAGAAAACTGTTAAATGGGTTGATTGCCAAATTTGGACAATTAATCCATATGTATATTAAACAAATTGTTAACCACCTAGCAAGTGCTTTCATATCAGAAGCCAATTGAATTCCAAAAACCTGAAAAACTTCCCTTGCTAATTAAATCTACACTAGTTTGTGTACTTCAAGAAAGCAAGAGAGTGAAATTCTTTTGGCATACAACATTCAGAACAGCACACATACAATTTGTTCTCTTAAAATACAAGATTATCATAACAAAACTCCCCTCAAAATGGAAGGATATCTTATTCTAATACTTGCACTTGAGAATGACATTGTTTTATTAAAAATTAGAATAATTACTAATAAGCTTAATATCTTATTCTACAAAAATAGCTTGAATTTGCTGAAGCTCATCTCGTGTCCACATCTGCAGACTAGAGTAGAATCAACTCAAATCACTTTCATCTTTCCTCGCAAATAGATTTATACGGTGAAACCTGTTTCACGATTGGACATCATTAGTATTTTTTATTTTATATATATAATCATTCTATATGTTATGTTTGGCGACAATATTCGGCTCGTGATTGTTATTTGGGCCTAGTGCTACGGCTTGATTAAAACTTTTGCTCTCGAAAACAAATTGTTTGACGAATATTGTTATTTGGGCCTAGTTCTAACAGCTCCGTACCCGAAAATTGTTAAGAAATAAAAAGTGTCAAGGAGTCACGTGATTATATGTGAGTGGTATTGAATTCTCTATAATTATTTTAGACTGGGTAAAATTGTTTGGACACCCAATTTTATTGTACACCCAAGCCCAATTTATTGTACACTAGAGCCTAGTTTTTTAGCAATAGATGCTAAATGTTTTTGCATGTACTAATTGATTTATTTTTTATTTTTCATTTTATCAAAATGCATTTGGTTCATTTTTATTTTATTTTATTTGATGGATGATTATAACATGATGGATGCAATATCAATTTTGCTATTGATATTATTTTAATCATTGTATCGGTGCCATACATGTATCCTAGTTTTTGGAAATTTTCTGTATTGACGTACCTGCAGCCATATCCATGTAATGTGTAAGTTTCGCCTACTTGACTTTCAAATTCTAGATCCACCATTAATTAGCCTGATCCAACGATTAAGAAATAGGATCTCACCTAAATGCCATATATAAGGCCCTCACTATAGAATGACTTATAAGGCTCTGAGGGGTCGTTTGGCATGGCGGATTGTCATGGATTAGATTAAATCCTGGGATTGTCTCGGATTGGCCTAAGCTGGATTAAGTACCGACCTACATTTGGTGCTGGGTCAAACTAAGAAGCTGGATTGTAAAAATAGTGAAGACCTATGTTTGGTGCTGTGTCGGACTAAAAAATAATTCTTATAATATTTAAATTTAATTGGGGTTTTTGACATAAAATATAAATACATGCTACAAAGAAACCCAATTCAAAGATTTATAACAACATCTGGCAAAAAAAAGATTTAAAACAAATAAAATTTTGTTTTTGTTTTTTATGAAGAATAAAATTATGATATTTGTTTTTTGGCTTAGTTGTCGAAACATTGTTAAAGGAGCTAATCTCACTCTATATAATTCTAGGTTTTTCAGAGACAAAGTAAAATAATAATTAAAAAAATTATATATATGTATAATTTTTGTATATTTGACTTTTGACTTCAAATTGAAAAATATAATTTGACAATGTAAAAATTGCTTGCGATAAAGGAAGCATCACATCATGGATTATTAAACATGTTTCAATATCAAAAAAATATCAAACATTTGTAAATTACTATAGTTTGATTTTCCAAATGCAATATCAAAATAATTATTGCAATATTTAAATTTAATTAAGGATTTTTATCTATAAAAAAATAAATGCTCCAAAAAAAACTCATTCAAAGATCTAAAACAATAATTAAAAGAAAACAAATAAAATTCTTATATTTTTTTAAAAGATGCGTCGGACTCATGTGTTTTGTTTAGCGAGTGTGCTATTTAGAGAACTACTTTTCAGGCTCACTATATTAGACAAGCGAGTGAGGTATTTTTTCTCTATTGGACTATATAGTCTCATTTAAGTTAGTCTCGTATCTTACCAAATAAGGGTTTCGAGTGTTATTTAACCTCATCCAATTCAATGAGATGTACCAAACATGGCCTAAGTATCTTAGCCCCAATATAATAACAGGCCCAAATCAGTATTCTCTAACTAACAGTAATTTTGTGAAATTCTATAATGAGGCCTATATATATGGACTTTAGAAGCAGACCGTACATTTCCTAAAAGATATATTTGATAGTGAAGGAATTTAATAAAATCAAAGTAATCGAACCACTAAAACTAAGTCCTCACTTGAAAATTATATATATGGACCTTATAATATAACGACTCCAATACTTTTACAGTGCATCCATTGGGTAAAGACATTAGGCCTGTGGCTTCCCAATGTCGGAGTACAAAATTATTTTGACCTCAATCTATGATTTAAGCACTATTGTAACTTCCATCACATCATAAAAAATTGAAGCACTATTACAAAAAGTTTTTTTAAAAAAAGGTAGAATTACAGACCATGAAAGACAAATTTTATCAAAACATTTTGCTGAAAAAAAAAGAGAGTCAGAGCATGAAAGCAATATAGCAGGAAGTAGGATGAGATTCCAATATTCAGCTTCAGCGTCCTAAACTTCAATTTGCTTTAGATCGAGCATAAAGCTGAAGTTATCATTATTATTTTTTAAGAAATAGAAACTTTATTAGATAAACTTCAATGGTACAATTAAAGACATCAACAAAATATATAAAATAACAATTTCAAGAGGGCAACAAACTAACATGCTAAAAACACAACTAATGCGGACAAAAGCCGCACTAAAACCAGTAGCACACATCACCACAATTAACCATAAGCCCAAATAAAGCACACAAACTCAACATAACCAACCCTAAAACAACTCATGAGCCTAGACGAACCCTACCACCACCACCACCTGATGAAGCGCCATCGTGGCCACACCCATCACTGCATCCATAACAGATCTGGAGAAAATATGATTTCCAACGATCTATCTGCGCATAAGAGCGAACAAATAAATGAAAACAACAACTTTGCCAAAGAACAATTGGGTGATTTGTAGCAACCTTCGTCAAAGACGATGTAGAATCAAATTTAGAGAACATGAGCGACGTCAAGGAGCGGGTTTTGAGAGTAGGATTTGATTGAGAACATATACTAAAATGGGTGATGGGGAACTTCAATCTAACCATGGCTCAAAAGAAACCACCACAAGAGGCTTTTTTTCAAAATGCCTCAGTGGACTTATTTACTAACCTAAAAGGAAAAGACGAGAAGAGATGAGGGGGAGGAGAGGGGCAGTGATGTGTTTTCCTCCTCCCTCCTCTATGGAGTTTTCCTTTAAGAGTCACAGAGGGAGAGAGCGAAAGCTGAAGTTATGATGTATATGCCAACTTGAAACTGAACATAAGCCAAATTAAAATCAAACTTAGGAACTTGCAGTCTAATAGGCATAATCTTTATCCTTAAATAGAATGTTGTTGTCTAATAAAAAAAGAAAGAAAACTAAACGCTAGTATTGTTGGTTTGTTCATTGATGCAAACTTTCTTTGAACTAAAATTCCCAATTATATACACAAAGGTGGAATCTAAGCTACTACCAACATCAATCATAAATCACTATTACTAACATCAACTTTTGAGCTTTAAGCAAATTACCCAAGTTGACAAGTTAATTTATAACACTTCTCTTCTCGAAAGCATAAACTTCAGCTTACTTAGCAACAAAATGTTTTGCAGAACTTACCTCATATTTTGTTTGCCCTAAAACTAAAATAGATAGAGAAATAGGCAACTTACAGGTGGTGTGATGATTCGGCCTGGTGGACCCTTGACGGGAGCATTTGGTACCTTGAGGTATGATGCTTCGTTCTGGGCTAAAAAAGATAATTGATGAGGTCGAGAGCACCGATGTGGCACTAGCCCAAGACCCTCTGATGGCAAAGTAAGCATGGGAGAATTCTCTGTTTTTAGCAAGTATTTATAGCGTAAATCAAGCTAAGAGATCTTACCCTTTGTTTAGGGCAAGATGTCCTTTTTATAAAGAACATTTGGGATGCTCTTAGTACTTAGTTTCGATGTGGGACTTGTGGGAGTGCCCTCTGAGGTCGACACGAGTTCACAAAATATCAATGGGGACTTTTCAAGGTCCTTTTGTGTAATCGGCATGGAGTGCCAATCGTTACGTCTGAGGATCTTCCGGGAGCGCGAGCCGATCAGCAAGTGACGACAATGCTTTGTGATGAATCAGTCGCCTATACCGATTCATACATTCGACCAATCTGTCGGTGAGTCAGAATGTCTCCTTAACCCCATACTTTTTCCACTTGTCATGAAGTGAGTGGTAAGGTCAACTATGGTAAAAACATATTTGGATTTGGATGTGGATTTGAATGACTTGGGTTTGACGGTGCAAAGAAGATGCTAGGGTAACAAAATATTATATTATAAGTATATTATATTATATTTATTATTTAGAAATAAACATATAAATATCAGGCCGGGTTCGGGGAGGGGGATGTCAATACCATCCTCGTCCCATACTTGGGGATTTTTTAAATTCGGGGATTCCCCTATTCGATTCTCATTTTGCCCCGAAATCTCCCCTTGTTAAGGCCGGGTTCTTGTCGCATCCCCGCCTCGACGGGAATTTCTACCATACCTAATTGAGCCTTGTTATTTTTAAATCCATTTTTTGGTAAGTTTTATTTTATAGGTCCATTTTTTGGGTACATTTTATAAGTCCATTTTTATTCATCTGTTTCCCTAACGGTGTGTTTGGATGAGGGAAATAAACTTGGGATTTTGACAAAAATCAGAATTTCTAAATTGATATCAATCAATTTCCGTGTTTGGATAAAAAAACCATAGAAATTTAGAAATTCCGCGTGGGAAAAAACAAGGAATTTGGAGATCATAAAACCCAACTTTAAATTCTATCTAAAAGTCATCATTTCTAAAATCTCAAAAGAGATTGTGGTTTAAAAAAAGATAACTTACAAATAAAGGTTAAATTCCGTGTTTTAAATCCATCACCCAAACAAGAAACTTTATAAATTCTAAAACATTAATTTTCATCATTTTAAATTCCGTTATTTATGAAATCCTTTGTACTTTTAAATTTCCTCGTCCAATTGCTTCATTTTCTCCTGATTTTAAACAAAATAAAAAATTAAGTCAGACCATATGATGGGTAGACAATAATTGATGAGTTTAAGCCGACCAAAGAAAAGGAGTTGTTATGAATAAAATTAAATAAGAAAAAAAGAATAAGAAAAAAGGTATCAAGTAGGTTGCTTAAACTCTTCAAACACCAGGAGAAGAAGGAGTGTAGATATAGGCATGAAGCATATGCTGAAGCTTGCCACGTTGTAAATACGAATGCGGGCATTTCCACGAGCCTACAGACACAAAACTCACGTAGGCATATCGACCAAAAAAAGAGAGTCACGTTGGCACATATGCACCCTCCTCAACCGTATAACCTAACGCGTCACGTATTCTTTTACCCACTTCATAAAAGTTTTCACCCTATAGTTGGTTAACATTTTGACAGTGCCCTCGCATTAGTCCTCCCTGGACTCCTTTTTCTTCTACATAGAGAAGATCACGATCCACGTCGTCGATTGCAAAGTAGGAGACGCAGTCCTTTGTCAAAGCTTCAATACTCAACTTTCATTTCATGCGTATCATACAGCAAAAAAAGATTTCATGCTTATCATATTTATTATGTATTTCACGCATCTTAATTGTCTTAATTGCTCATGCAAGTCTCTTAGCGGGTAAATTCATACAATATCAGGCAATTTCGCATAAAAAATAAACAAGCAATAATCTCTCATCAGTCCGTACTTTCCAATAGTTTTTGTGATACACATTTCACATATATTTGACTAAAATAGCAATTAAGTTTCCTTAATAAGTTAATCTTCATGCACTTAATTTGGACCCTAAAAGCTTAGTTGCAATAAGGATAGAAAAACGTTGCTACCCCCGATCAATAATGCTATGCCACACGTGTGTCAAAGCTTTATTTGCAAAGATAACAAAATAGTAATATCCTCGTTTTATGGACCTCCCTCAAAGTCAAGCAAAGTCATCTTCGAAAATTTCATATTTATTTAGGGGAATGCTAGCAACCTTCTTTCTAACATTCTCTTTTTCCCATTCTCCCTTCTTGTCATAACATATGTCACTTTATTTATACTTAAAACAATATCATTAATAATCAAATAAGCTAGTTTTTATTTTCCAAATTTACTCTTATTAAATAAAATAGTTAAATTAAATATATTGACTTCCCTAATTTCTTCACTTTAAAAAATATTTTCTCTCAATCACACTCGATCCTCTCTCAATCCTTTGCAGCGCCCCACAACCCTTCTTCTACCTCCCCACTTCTCCCCAAAACAAACACTAATACCCAGCAATGACCCATGTCCAGTACCCAAACAAGCATATGAAAGAAACCCACTTCCTCTCCCCCTCATTGCCACCAAACAACATCTCCCTCATCCTCAACCAAAATCCCCCCACCGTCCAAAGATTCCCCCCACCTTCCCACCTCCTTCTCTTTCTCTGTTTTGTAATTGAACAATTTTTTATTTTATTTCTCAAATCTCACCACCAAAGCACTATTTTCTATTTTTACTTGGTTTTGTTTATAAAAAAAAAGTGTTTGAACTTTCATGATTTCGGAAGCAAAGGGTCTGTTCGGCTGTGAAAACTCAAAGGATTTTTGACTTTTTAGTTTCTGTCAAGGGTATATATGGAAATACAATTTAACGTTTTTTTAAAATTAAAAATATTGTTTTGAGTGAGAAAGAAGTGCCACATGTCATTAAGAAAATAGAAAAGGTCCAAAGGAGAAGGTTAAAGAAGAATGCTTAGCTTTTTTTTTTTTAATTAAAACATATTCGTCATTTTCTTCTAGTTCACAAGAATCATCCTAATTTCACAATCATCAAAAAGAAACTTTATGATCACCCCAAAAAAAAAAAAAAAAAAAAAAGAAAAAAAAATAAACTTGGCCTCTAAGTTTCTAGTGTCTATCCAATCCAATCAAGGCAAGTCCAAGGTAAAAATTTCATTGGATTTCAGCAAATCTCACTGCTCTTATAACGACCTAGAATTCTTGAGACGGGAAAGGAAAACAAGTCCAAGGCAAATAAAGTTATATGCATTAATTACCTTGATTTGGTACATGTTTATACCTAAATGAAAATCCAGTCAAATGAAGAATCCTTGAAACAAGTGTGGAAAGGCCGGCCGCTTGCCCAACAACCCACCCACCTATACCCTCTCTCTCTCTCTGTGGGACTTGCCATTGTTCTTTGACCAAAGATGACCCAAATTGTAAGTGTCTGCATTAGAAGACCATTAATCAAATTAGTCATGACGATGCCTACCCTCCAATAGTTGCCAAAGAAAATTAGGGGGTCATTTGACCCACTCCACCAATAAGAAGATAAAAAATAAAATAAAATAAAATAGAGAATAATAAAAAGGGTCGAGTGTGCCCAATGGTCAATATGGTAATGTTGATCCAAGTTTAAAAGGAGTAAGTTTTGGAGAGCCGTCTTAAAATTGATTCATACGAAGAAAGTCAATTACTGTTAATAGTGCCCTTGGGCCGCAGCACCTTCCTTTCTGAAAATACCTTCCTTTTCTCACTGCTCATGAAGAAATCGTGTCTTTTTCGTTTCTCTCCGTATTTAAAGTACTCAATACATTCGTAACTCTTCAAGAAAACAGATACACAAGGCCTAAGGTGTGATCAATTTCTTGACGCCCTAAGCAACCAAAAAACAGAAAAGAGCTGGTGTTGTGCGAGTCTTCTTGTGAAGCTAATTTGGCCAGAGATATGGAGCACAACAACATCAACACAGACGAAAACAACAGCAACAACAGGAACATGGATGAAGAGGGCAGCTACATGGGTGTTCCAATTCACAGCCAAGTGATGAAGATCAAGCAAGAGTTTGAGAAAATCAAGCACCCGTCTCTGGAGCAGCCTGCAGAGCTGGGACTGAGACGGGTCCTTCTCCGCCAGATTACTCGCCAGCGTTCGCGTTCTCCGCTGGGACTGGCTGCATAGGGAGGGAGGGATAGGGGTTGCCCTGCATCAGCTTGCATGGTTATGGTGGCGACGCTTTAGATATTAACTTTTTTGCTTTTTGTTTTTTTTATATTACTGTTTTTCTTGCTTTCTGGTTTCTACCACAGCAACCATGAGAGTTTTGGCGTTTTGGGGTTTTACTAGTTTAGTTGTACAGGTAGGAGTTGGTGGGAATCTCAAAGGCATAGCGAAACTTATCGTTTCTTGGTTAATTTCTATGATTAGATTCCTGTAAGTTTTGCAATTATGATCTCATACATCATATTTTCGTTCTACCACTAGACTTTCCCTCTTTATCTATGTGTTTGTCATGCGCATGCACATGAACAACAACCATACAACCTAATCACATTTTGAGGATTAATCCCTGTCCTTTGTTTTTCTCACAAGATCCTACGGGAATTTTCGAAATGTTCACCAACCCTGTAATGTTTATCGAGTTTTAAAGCTCTGACTATTAATACTAGAAAACCCAGTCTATTCAAAATTCTATAAAGATAATACTCAAATTACTAAAGATCAGAAAGTAATTGCAAAACAAAGTAGCAGAAAAGAACGAAGGCAACAAACATGTATAAGAGACAGTTGTGTGCTCTTTGATAAAAAAGAAAAAAAGACGGTTGCGTGTGCAGACATGCCACCTTTAGGATGATCCCTCTACCACAACAATTTAGCCTTGAGAAGTGGCTGTTTCTTTTGATGCTAGTAATTTCACCCTCCTTGTGAGATCTCTCATCACATCTATAATGACAGATTTCTTCTCAATTCGGAACTGGATAGCCAACTGAGTAGAATCTGAAACACCCTTTTGCAACAGGGACTCATCCTCCATGATTTTGGTTGGGAAGTGTCCCAGTGCAATCACACATAATGCAATAACGGTGCGAAAGGCAGCTAACTCATTTGCTATACCAAGGGGAGCTTCAACTGAAATAGATTTAAGTTTATCTAAATCAAGCTTCTGAACTGTTTCCATGTCACTGGCAAGAACAACTCTTAAGGCTGCCAACAAGCGCCCCTCAACCAACTCCGAACCCCCTAAGCATACCTATTAGGCAAAACAAAAGAAGAAAGGTTAAATACCCAATTTGTGTACCAGAAAGTATAAAGAGGGAAGTCTTTCATAAATTTAGTACAACTAACATGATCAATCTGATAGCAAGTTTAGATCCTTAACTATGCTAATGGCCAACAAAAAGTTTGAAAGGTAAGTACTAGGGACCAGATAGCAAAAGAGTGATTCACATGCATTCTTCTAACTTCCTCAGAGCTAAATGCCACAAAATTTCTGCGGGTGATTTTGTTCTAGAAATTGAGACAGAAAAACGAAAAATTGTGAAACATCCAGCACAATTCATAACAGCCAACGAACTTTACATAAATTCTGCAGATTATTTGTAAAGCATTTACAGCAAAACACAGATAATATCCATGCAATATATTTCAAGCCACCAAAAGCCAATAAGCCATTTCCATCTAACCACCCAAATACAGCATACAAGTACCAGAGTTTTTCTTCAAACTAAAACTGAGAAATTATATGAATAAAGTTTGCTCCAACCCATGGTGAACATTCATTGATCGAAATCAAATTATAAAGCAGGATAACAGTAACAATATGTTTTCAGGAAAGTAAAAACCTTAAGAAGAGGAGCTTCCCCATCTAACTTTAGCTGGCATAAAATTTCTTTCTGCCATGGAGATGGTACAGAGAAGTTGGGTGATGATACTCCAGCAGCCATACTTGCAGCATCCAGAAGCGCTCCATCATATTTCAGCTCAATACAATCATAGGGGTTTGATGGTATCACAAATCCATAATCCAGCAGGAAAAGGTCATTATTTAAACACCCATAGTTAAGTACTAAACAATCGTTCTGTTTGATCCCTGTTTCTGTCACAACCTGGAATGAGAGAGAATCTTGATGAGTAAAGAAACCTCCAATCCCTGTTGGAGAATTTCAGAATGATATTAAAGAAACAAAAAGGCAAATAAAACCTTTACTAGCATCTTCACGTCCCTGTCATCTTGGTCCTGAAGTATTATGGCATTTGGCTTGAAACTATGGTTGCACATGTCGATGAGAGGAAGCATCATCGGGACATCATTGTTGATCTCACCTGAAAGCTTTTTACCATACAAACGGAATGCCCGAGACGAAACTGCTGACATTGCCCATCCAAGGGAGGATGCATCTACAGCTTGGCCACCAAAAGGGTGATCATTTGGTTTCAAATTTTCCAGAGCACGTTTGACTTCTTGTTCAAAATCAAGAAGAAATCTGCATCTCTTGTTCACCTGCAACGGGGAATCATTAAACCTTCAAAGCTTGCTGTGGAAATCAAGTGGTCGTCAAGATAAGAATCTTAACAAAGCTATATTACAAGGCCTTCAAATCAAGCTATTGAACGTGATGTGACTCCATGGGTCAGATTTTGTCTAACTCCCAAATTTAGGATTAAGGAGACTGATTGAAGTGTGTTATTCTGTTCTTTAATGTCATAAAGTAAAAACAAAATGTATGTGGGACAAAGCATACCCAATAGCAAATAAGGCAGCCTAGAGGCTAACATATGGTAATCTAGAGGACATGTCCTTCTCTTGGTTAGGGATTTCACTGAAAGTTCTCTGACAAATAAAACACATATTGTTTCTTCTAGTCTGCTGAAGGGACATTGATAGGCAGGTACATTGCATGGAGCTCCAGCAATCCTCCCAATTATTGAACACAATTTACAAAAATGTCTTAGTCAGGATTCAGCCAACCCACTCCGAGCCAATGTCCAACCATTGACATAACCCACAATTTTCTGAGATATCAGAATAGCTATCCTACATTTTAAATACAACACAAACTAGAGAGGCAAGGACTAGGGAGGGAGGTCTTATACGTTCCCGGCATATTTTTCTTTGCAGGTCTTATATGGTTTGATATACAAGACCTTAGCTTGGCAGAAACATTGACATTTATGTGGTCAAATAAAGTACCTGGTAAAGAAGTGGAGAATACTGCAAATTCTTTATGTCCTCGCCAGGGAAGAAGATGGGTATATTGAATGTTTCAGGGAGGCTGCTGATGTATGGCCACCAGAAGGATCCAGTTTTTGCTCTTTCTTGAAGAAGCTTCAAACCCAATTTCATTGCCCAAAGTTCCTCTGCCAAATGCTTCCACAGTGTTCGATTTACTCATATTCAAAACTCAGTACAGCCTAATGTACAAAACTTTTAAGTTACCAACCTATGCAGATTGCAGAGTAAAGTAAACCTAATGCTACAGTAAAGTAGTAGGGTCTTGACTGAGATAAACACAGAATGCCATGTGCTACACTAGTGACTTGAGCATTCCAAATACCATGGCAACGATACTTCAATTCCAACTTACTAGCATACATGTACATCAAAGTTCAAGCTTTACTGCTATTTTGAACCAAATGAGAGGTGCCACTTACAATTCTACAATTGAACACCACTAAAGTAAAAGCTAGCAAAATGCGAAAGACCCATTAACCAATTAAACCGAAATACGAGCATAAACCTAATAAAATGGGAAAACCAAAGAACATTTACCAGGAACATGGCGAGCCAAATTGACGAAAACAGAGTCAAGCCCACCATCTCCACCCTCTGATTCAAGAGAGCCAAATCTCAACGGTACGTGCTCGGGAAGAACAATTAGTTCAGAACCTTTCGGGATTTCCTCTATAGCCACCAGTCCAAGACCAAAGGAACTATCTTGAGCTATCTTCACGGCTTCGTGCACGAACCCTCCTTCCCTACGAACCCACTTGATCAGGTCAGGTGGGTATGGGGCCAATCGCCCAGGATAAGAGGTTGAGGTTGAGGCAGCGCAAGTTAGAGGGCGGAAGGCGGTGAGCGAAGCCATTACCATCTTGGAAGCTGCCATGGTCGAGCCACTTCGGTCCTAGTGCTAAGAAAACTTGAGAGGATTTAAAATTTGAGCAGAATGGATTGATTTCCATGAAAAATTAGGGGAAAGTTCTCAGATTACCCAAAAAAGTAGGAAAATTAAATTATCGTTGTCGAATTTTGGCGGGGATAATTTCGGGATTTCAATTGCTTTGTAATTTCTCTTTCTATAGTTTTTTGAAGTCGAAAACGTACTCACTTACCCTTAACCTGCCCCGCCGCTATTGATATTTTAGTGGCTCATTTTTCAGATTGGCTCATACTTGGAACTTGACCACAAGGAAACAATTGGGCTTAGAAAATGCCCTTGGTGTTACAAATTACAATGGTGTATTTGGGTTTGGGAACACTGAAATGAGGTCATGACGCCACCTCTCTCCCATTAGATGGTAGAAGGCAATGAGAGGCGCATCTCCCGTAGGACTTGCCTCATTCATGCCAGCGGTACGACATTTCCAGTCACTAAGAAAATTTTGATTATGGGAATAAAAAGCTTTTAGTTATAAAAATAAAATAATCAGAATATGAAAAGTATTACTGAATATTGATAATAGAATTGTATTTGCTCTTGTGATGTTTACACAGACAGTTCTCATATAGAACTCACTCTCTTTTGTTTCCTCTCATTCTTCCTTTCTTCTCTTCCTTTCTTTCCTCTCTTCTCATTTGGTGTATTTTGCTAAGAAGAGTCCAATTTTCATGTTACCAAACTCCCTATGCCCTCCTGTTTCCTTCCTCATCTTTTGACACGTGTCCCTTCACTTAACATAAAGTTAACACTGTTAACTTATTTTAACATAATAAAATTATTATTTTTTAAATGGAAATAACAAAAACACTCTGACTCCAATTCCTCTTCCTCGTCTCTTTAGTCTTACCACCACTGCCTCCATGGCAGCCCTAATTATGTCCTTCATCTACTGTACCACTGCCATCTAACTTATTGTCTCTGCCTCTCATGGTCACCCATTTCTTTATTTAGTGTTTTTTCCTCAATTTTCTATTTCAAACACCAAAGATTTGTCTCATTCTCTCAATCAATTGCAAATCCCTTTTTTGAACCCATTCAAGGTGTTCAGTTCATGGCAAGCCACAAACAATAACCCAAAAAATTTCCAAAAAAAAAAATCAAGTTATGCTGCCCAAATATCAATCAATCCACCTGAAATTCACAAGGTTTCTTTGTGGGTTAATTTTTTTTCTTCTTTTCTGATCAATGAAATCGTTACCACCGAGGCAACCACCCTTGCATTCGTTGGCAACCCTCTAAGGTTCTACTGAAGTTGAGAACACCATAATATTATACTTAAGAGCATTTCCAGCAGTTAGTCCCTTGTCATGGCAAGGGGAGCCCTAAGGTAGCTGCTATTCACATGAATAGTGGCTGCCCTAGCCACCCTAGCAAAGTGTGTTTCTAGCAGTTTAGGCTTGCCATGGCACATACTATTCATTTTTTTGTTTTTTTTCACAACTTTGTTTACTTAAACAATTAATTTGGATAATATTTTCGGATAAGATTTTTGGGTTCCTACATGTCAATACTATTCATATCGAATAAGATTTTCGGTTTCAAATTTTAGATAAATTTCAAATTTCAAATTTCAGATACATTTCAAAATTCAAATTTCAGATAAATTTAAAATGTCAAATTTTAGATACATTTAAAATTCAAATTTCAAATAAGATTTTCACCCTATAAGATTGCGCCACGTGTCATATCTATCTGCCTAAATATTTCTATAAAACCATAGGCTCAGCTCATACCTCCCACACCAGATCTTCTCTACATTTCCATTTCTCATATTTTAGATTTCATTCTCCATTCTCAATGACAGACATGCAAGAGGTTTTGGAGAGGCAAAAGTGAGAAACTAGAGAAAGAATGCGTAGACGAGCTGCAAGCAAAAGGGAGCAGAGAGAACTAGATGAGCAACTTGGCATAGCCATTGCTATGCTAGAGGAAGAAAACTAGAGTCGCCGCGGTTCACGAGAAGGTCGTGGCCCGAATGTGGACAAACATAGACATTCTCGGGATAAGAATCTTATGGAAGATTATTTTATCCCACATTCTCTGTACTCTGATGTTCATTTTCGAGCGAGATATAGAATGCAACCCCATTTGTTCAATAAAGTCATGCATGATATTTGCAATTATGATGAATACTTTGTTCAAAAGAAAAATTGTGCTGGAAATTTGGGGCTTCTTCCCGAGCAAAAGTTCACAGTTGTGATACGAATGCTGGCATATGAGTCATCTACTAATCAGGTGGATGAGATTGCCCGGATGGGGAAGTCCATTATTTTGGAAAGCTTGGTGCGATTTTGTGATGCAGTGGAAACTCTGTACACCAGGGACTACCTGCGCAGACCTACGCCCAAGGACCTGCAACGGCTTCTACAAAAAGCTGAGTCTCGTGGATTTCCTGGAATGATTGGTAGCATTGACTGCATGCACTAACAATGGAAAAATTGTCAAACTGCTTGGCAAGGGGATTATGGAAATAGGAAAGGGCAGAAATCGATCATACTTGAAGCAATTGCTGATTTTGATACATGGGTTTGGCACGCCTTCTTCAAAATTGCCAGATCTCAAAATAATTTGAACGTCCTAGGTCAATCTCCGATGTTCAATGATGTTTTGAGAGGTGAAGCCCTAAATATCACATATGAAGTCAACAATACCGTCTACCAGAACGGGTATTATCTAGCTGATGGCATCTACCCCGAGGTGGATAACATCTGTGAAATCAATTCCACATCCCCGATCCCATAAGCAAAAAAATTTTGTTGCCTATCAAGAGGGGTACAGAAAAGATGTGGAGAGGTGCTTTGGTATCATTCAAGCCCAGGGGACTATTATCAGGGGCGCGATGGATCTATTTGACGAGGAGGTGCTTAGGAGTATAATGATGACTTCTATCATCCTCCACAACTTGATTGTGGAAGATGAGTATGATTACGATGTTGATGAAGTGTATGAACTAGATCCCATGAACACAGCCTTAACACGAATTTATGAAAAACCCATGGGGCCAAATGGAGAACCAATGCAGCATGAACCGTTGGTTAGAGACGGTAGTTTCATGCCCCATATGATTGATTGCTACACGGAGATGCAATCGTTGTATATTCATAAACGCCGTCAAGTTGACTTGATGGAGCATTTATGGGCGGTCAAAGGCAATGAAGATGAATGAAGTGAAGTGAAGATGTTTTTTTAATTTATTATGTTTATGTTGTATTTTTAGTTATGCCCTTTTTTTTTAATGCTTTGGTTGTGGTTTGTTTTTATGTATGGAATGTTTTGAATAAAAAGGAATTTTGTTGAATATTTTCTTTATTCATTAAAAGGAAATCAATACAACTAATAAAATAAAATACATGAATTACCACTAATTTTTTAAACAAAACAAAAAATACAATGAAATGAAAGGCAAGTAAACTAAGAAATGAAAGGCAAGCAAACTAACTTAATGGTTTTGATCATTTAACCAATCCATGTTGCTAGGTCCATCGTCACAAAAAAGTCTTCGTCTCATAACATCCCTTCGTTCTAGCTTCCAAAATTATTTTGTTTCAGGGGACATATGGCTTGTATCCATGGTTATGGTTTCCCGATCTTTTTTTTCAATGTTTTGTTGGCGTACATACTCCCTTTCATTGCATACATACTCCCTTTCTTTTGCATATTCTGGTTGAATTGCCCTATCGTGCTCTTGTTGTTTCATGTCCATTTCAATTCTCATGGCTTGGTGCTTTGAAATTTCCTTCAAAAATTTAGATGCATTCTTGGTAGAATTACTCCCTCTCTTCGCCTTCGCCGTCTTCCTCCCAATAGGCCTTGGCTCATTTTTTATGGGTGAGTCTTGACTCATCGGCGAATCCATAGGTGAATCCGATGCCGGTGTCTTATGGAGTGGCGTCTCGTTCAACACTACCTCTGGACCCGTTGGAATAATTCGGAATCTCTTACAATTCTTCACCACCTCCCAACATAGGGTATGGTTGAAACTTTTTTTGCCTAGCCCAGTAGCACCAAACCACATTTGTGCTTGCATAATCGATATTTAAAAAAAATGAAAATGCAAGAAACTTTAAAAAAAATATTGGCAATGCAACAAGTATTAAAAAAAAATGGAAATGCAAGAAACTTTAACAATTTATTAGAAATACAAAACAAAATATAAATATTGCAAGAAACATTCATATTAATATTGGAAATACAAGAAATATTAACAAAATATATAAATTGCAAGAAACATTTAAATAAAAATTAATATGACACAAAAATTAATAAAATAAAAATTACAAATAATTTACCTCACTGCTAAGGTTTTCCCCGCTTCTATGGTTGTCCATCACTTTTGCTAAGGCATCTCTCCATTTCGCCAACTCTTTATTAAGAATTTTTCACATACTAGATAATGTCATTTCCATACGGGTTGAACCAATTACCCTTTCATAAAAATCCTAATGAATTTTTTTCCACATATGACAGAATTTCATCTCATTACCCGTTACGAGACAATGACTAATTTGGACCCAAGACTCACACAAGCTAACATCTTCCATCATGCGCTATGCCCCTCCGGTTTCACTAGAAAAACCCATAATATGATAGAGAAAAATACAACTTGAAAGTGAAAAAAATATTGAGTAGAAAGTGAATAATAGTAGTAGAAGAAGAAAATGTATGAGGATTTGGTGTTAAAAGTGAAGAGTATTGGTTGGTATTTATATAAATAATAAAAAATTCAGTATTTTTTGGGTATTTTTTTAAAAAAATTTCGATTTTTTTTCATTTTTTTATTTGGAAAAAATTGGCTGCCGTTCGATTGGAGCAAAAATTATGATCGGAGAGCCTAGGTCGCGACACGTGGCACATATCCGTTGGCGGACACTGTAGCGTTGGTGTTCAAATTTTTTTAACGTTGGCGCGTGCATTGGACGCGCCAACGTTAAAAAAATTTTGAGAGCCCGCGCTGACGTCAGCTCAGCCCGCAGGCTGGAGCTCAGGCCAACCCAGTTCGCTGGGTCCCACTCCTTGCCCGGGCCAAATTTTGTTGCTGGAAACACCATTTTGGGCTTGCGCCCCCCCACCCCTCCCCTCCCCTTGGTCCCCTCGCTGGAAGTGCTCTAACAGAGTTAATTTATGTTAAATGAAAGGACACGTGTCCAAAAGATAACGAAGGAAACAATAGGGCACAAGGGAATTGGTAACATGAAAATTGGACTCAACAATGGGAAGCTTCTTTATAGGCAAATTGGATGGCTTACCCAACATCATCATTAAACTTTTTGAATATTATTTCCTTCTTTTCTTTATGTGGGCTCCACCATTTTCTTTACAACACTTCCCCTTGGAGACCACAATGTATGAAATAAGTCTTATTAAAAACCTCGACAGTAAAATCCAGTTGGACCAAAAACTGGTCGAAAGGAAAAAAAAGTACATAACCATGTATAATGTAAAATTTTGTGCATATTGACATGGGTGCGACACTGCCTCGTTAAAACCTTATCAGGAAAAACCCAGTGGGATAAAAATATGGACGAAGGAAAAAGAGTACAGTGTATGAAGATCTTTATTGACATCACGCTCCCCCTGATGCTTGGCAAAATATCTTTTAAGCCATATTGTTGATCATCTTTCTGAATGTCATAGTTGACACTGCTTCTATGAGTTAATCTTGTAATATTGTTGGATGCTCCCCCTGTAGAATATATCCCCCTGATATCTTCATTACTATTGTTCTAGAGGGAAGATCTTTCGGACTGAGTGAATGATGTAGCCATCAACAATTCATGTAGTTGAGTAAGCAAATATATTTCCAGTGAGCTATCTTTATAAATCATAGAAATTTCTAGAATCTGCGAATCAAACAAAACCTGGGCCATTTGTAAGTTTACTTAAAAAGAATATGCCCATATATGGTTTTATGCGGAGATAACATCAAATATGTCTCACATCATCCCAAAATGGTGGTGATGGAGCTAAGCTTTGTATGAAAAATACAATGTTCGGTCCATTATATTTTCAGAAAAATCATTTAAGTGTCCAACGGATAATCCACATAAAAATGCTTCAATACTTTCTTAGTATAAGAAAGAATCTCGTTGGCATAATTCTCGATCTTCAGGCCGAGACAAATATTTCTTGAGCTCTTCAGGAGTTTTAATCAACTATCAACTCTTCAGGAGTTGTAATGTATTGCAACCATATCATAATTAATGTACTCATTGAGGCAATTTATACATATTAATATTGAGTACAAAATTTGTGCTCTAGGCACATGTCCTTCAGAGACTTGCTTCATGCAATTACAATCCTTTTATGAATTTTATTTAAGGGATTACACTTCATGACACATTATATAGCTTTATATCTAGCGATTTGTTATATTTGTACATCTTTAGGGAATCGCTTTTGGTGATATGCTCCGAACATTTAATAACCCTTAAAGATAACATGTTGGTCTCGGTAAATGTGCAATAAGAAGGCACGATTGCATCTGTAAATATGAAGAACCTCAACATTCCTTATTTCTACCAGAAACATTGTGTCATATAAATTGAGTATATTCCTCTTTTATTCTGTACACCCAAGTATAACTTTCAGGGTTAACATCTTTTTGGGTTTGTACTATGAGTTTGTTCCTTCGCGTTCATTATCATCTGTAATGGAATTGCCTCTTTCCATTTTTGGCCAATGATATTGTCGACATTTAATTATAGAACGTGGTTCTAATCAACACAACCCATTGATGATTTGAGTAGCTACTCCAAAATCAAAAATTGTCATTCATCAATTCGTGATCCCATCATTCTCATGTGCATGCGCATGCATCAATTATGAACATTTCTTTGCTTTTGGGTACCTAAGCCACTTCAAGAGCTTTTATTATCTCTTTCCAGACAGACTTCTCTTATATGATGAATTATGTGAGAATGTGGATCTTAATGTCCAAATTGAGCGTTATTATACAATGGGGCGTGGATAATCTCCATTTAGGGAGTTGGAACATTTAGAACCCATTTATCTGTCATGCTATAGGCATGCTACATATTAATACACACATGTCAATGAATTGTCCTTCTGGGACTTTAAACCATATAATTTGCTACGCATTAGGCGTGCATCGTATTAATATTGACATGTTAATGAATTGTCCTTTTGGGACTTTAATCCATATCATTTGCTACACAACAGGCGTGCATCATATTGATCACTGCTATACCCATGTTCTGTTCTTATGAGACTTTAATCTATGCAATGTATTATCAATGTATTCAACTTACAATATGTGAAATTTTCATTAATAATTCATGAATACATATCAGAATGATACAAGCCTTTCTTCTGGAATGGTCATAATACAAGTCTTTTTTCTGGAACGATTTATAATGCAAGTCATTCTTCTGGATTGGTCCTTTGCATGACATTCTTCTGGAACGACCTTATCTCCTCATTTGGTCACCTTTAAGGATGTCGTACAAAAAAAATAAGAGTACAAGCATGAAATAACACAAGTATTGCTTATATCCTTAGGTGGGAGAAACTTTGCTCAAATATCGTTCAAGCTCATATAGGCTCAGCAAATACAATGTAATACTTGATGATCTAGTTATATCATGCAAGAGCAAAAATCACAATTCTTCTGTCTCTGTAAAAAAATAACCCTCAGCGTTACGCTCACTACATCGATGTGTTCTTCAGATGTTTATTCTAAAGAAACAAAATCACTTATGAACAGAGAATTGTAAAAAGAAAGAAAATATACAAAGAATTGTGATATTGATTGCAAGGTAGATAAGAAATCAAGAAAGGAAACTAGTGAGATAACATACAACAAACTCTCATTTCTCCTAGCTTAGAAGAACTTCAGTAGATTAGAGCATGTGGTCGTCTTTACAGTTTCCTGGTCTAGCTTAAACGTGATCAAGGATAGTCTCGCTTCCTGAATGGATGATCATAGATAGTCTAGTTTCTCAAGCACATCGAGCGCTCACTGATAGAAAAACAAGTGGATATTGCATCACTAGATATAGGGAAAGCTGGAGAAAACTGGATGTATTCTGCAAAGAAAATTTTGTTAATAACATATTTATATACAAATTAGAGGAATAGTTTGATCCGATGAATCTCAAATTAACTACAAAAAATTGTGAGGTGCTAGAGATGCTTTTGAAAAAGTAACTCCGTGAAATCCACAAAGCAATATCGGTTTTGACGAAAATAATCCTTGAAACCCTTAAAGTGCCCACAAACATTAATGGAGGCTGCATGAAGTTTTGGAATATGGAAAAAAAAAGAAGAGAATATAGGGATCCGAGAAAATATTGGGATCCTGGAAACGGTGCCACATTTCTGTCTATAAATATTGCATCTGCAAAGCCTGACCTGCATTTCAATTCAACTTCCTTCCATTTTCTGAAAATTCAGCTTTTATAAGACTTTCCTCGAAACCATCTTAAAATGGCTTCCTCTTCTTCTCCCCCAAATCATTTCGATTTAAATGTTGCTCCCAAAACAACTTGTGACGCCAAAGTCTTGCGTCCATCCTTTGTATCCCAAAATCGTCATCTCACGGTTAATGATTCTGTGATGATGAATGATACGATTGATGTCATAGTAGCTAGGAATTTCCTTACTCCTATGGATGAAATACTGTTAACATGAAGGTCTAACGAAGAGGCTATTGATGACTTAATGGCCTTTAGCATTCAGAGTGTTGCTTCTGTTTCTAGCATGGCTGATTGTTTGCGTGCCAGAGCAAATGAGATTCAGAAGTTGAACACTGAAAATTCGTCTATTCAGAGAATGCTTCATGAGTCTTAACAAGAGGTTGAGAAACTTAAAGAGGAAAATAAGGCCTTGTTGAAACTGGTGAGTTCATACTCCATTGATATGCAAACAAGGCTTAACATGTTGCAGATTTCCAATGAAAAGATTCTGGTATACCATAAAAGGCTCATGGCTAAGCTTAAGATGCGTCGTCCTCTTCCTTGAAATGCTTCCAGAACATAATGGAATTTTATAGATTTTACAGAGCTTGCTCCTTTCTTGCATGTGAAAAGAATCTATATGTTGTATGCTTCTTTCTTGTTATAATAATTGGGTAAATTCTTAAACTTGCACCTGTGGTTTTTACGTCTTTTCAAAATGACAGTTTGGAACCTTGTGCCTTATAGGTTCAAATAACCACATCAAATCTCTCAAATTACATATTTCAATGCATGTGAGTCCGGAACTTCTGGCTCATGTTAAACATGACTTGAAAATTTCTTTGCATTTTTTCAAATGAGCATGAAATAAAAATTGAGTAAAAACCATGATAATATTGCAATATAGTAGTGAAGAGCATTAATTATTATATACCCAAAACTTCAAGTTCGTGATCTCTCATATATTTGGATCCATGGGCTTCCGGCCCAGATCATATAATATAACAAAATATGGGGGGAGCCTCAATTCATCATTTGAGGTTTATCCTGATATTATCCATTTCATGGTGTATTCTTAACAACTGGAATTTACAAAATATATTTCTTCCTTGAGGTGTCGATTATAACATAATCGAACTTTATTAAATTCATCATTTTCTTATGCCAAGGAACTTCTGGTCCTGATCTTTGTATGCTGTAAAACTGATCATATCACACAATTAATTTATAACTTGTAAATAAATTGATGGTGTGGACGATAATCCCGCACCATACTTTAAATAAATGTAAATGTAAAATAAATTCATAAATTAAATTGCTGGTATGGAATATAATCATGCACCATACTTTAAATAAATGTAAATATGATGTAAAATAAATTCATAAATTAAATTGCTTTATGTACGGACATTAATCCCGCACCATACTTTAAATAATAAAGTAAACGTGCTGGTATGGGCACTAATTCTACTCCATACTTTTAAATAAAAAGTAAAGACAGTTGTGTGGACGATAAACCCTCGTCATACTTTTAAATAAGTACTGCCGTATGGGTAACAAACCTACACCATACAGTAAATAAAGTAAATGCTAAAGGTAGTTGTGTAGATGATAAACTCACGCCACACTTTTAAATAAATATTGTCGTATGGGTAATAAACATACATTGTACAGTAAATAAAGTAAATATGGGGATAAAACTACCACCTAATATATATGAAGTATATAACATATTATATATTGTGGACAATATAACTACGCCACTATTCAAGATATAATAAGATAGATTTTAAGATCACACCATCATTTTTATTACGATAATATGTGTTACAACGCGATGGGCAATGAAAATTACACCACCATAAAATAACAGGATATGGTATAAAACTGCACCATTCCAAATTAGAGTACAAAAAAAAATATTAAATAAACATGGATGAAGCAACATAAAAATTGCGAGAATACAAAAAAGAAAGTTTGCATGTCATCGTAGTAGTAAAGTGAGAGGAGACATATGAGAGAGATGAGACAGAGAAATAACCACATAGTGTTGAGTTGGGAAAATTTAGACGTAAAGATGAGAGATTATCGTGCTGATAACATGTTATAAAAATAAAATAATCAGAGTATGAAAAGTACCACTAAATATTGAGAGTAGAATTGTATTTGCTCTTATGATGTTTACATTGACAAAATTTCTTCTAATATAGAACTCACTCTCTTTTGTTTCCTCTCATTCTTCCTTTCTTCTCTTCATTTCTTTCCTCTTCTCCCTTAGTGTATTTTGGCTTACCCAAAATCATTATTAAGCTCCAACATCATCATTAAGCTTTTTGAATGTTATTCCTTCTTTTCTTTACGTGGACTCCACTATTTTCTTTACAACACTTTTTTCTTTCTTTTCTTCTCACCCGTTGTTGGCTCACTCACATGCTGCTCGACCCAAAAAAGAAAAACTCACATCACATGTTACATTATTTTCCATTCATTTTTCTGTCAAACACATGAGCACATTTTGAGGACGATCTCTTTTAGAAAGAAAGAAGTTTTTGTTCTCCGTCTAATAAATCGGCATTCCATCAATGGCCACTGGCCCCAATAGCATTTCCTCACCCCCACTGATGAGAATTTCACTTTGTAATGGCATTGAGCTAGCTAGTTTCCAGTGGCAACACGAGATCAAGAGAAGAAAACACGCCATTTAAATATATATAAAATATAACCCAGTGAACAGACTATATCAACAAGATCAAATTCAAGTCCATGAATGAAAATTCGAAAGTACTATTAACATTTGAATATGGATTAGATCGGAATTATTATACAAGGATGAAGGATGAAAATGTCAATATGATCATGAAATACTTTAATCATAAATAAAAAAATCCTTCAACTATTGAGATCACAGATGCCTTAAACTAATGAGATGAATGAATCAACCAAAAAAGAAAAGAAAGTGGAATTGAATTAATATTCGGGCTGATGTTGATCAAACTGCAGCAGAATCATTATAACGCGAGCCCATCATCATCATGACCTTAAACTCCTCAAAATTGATCATACCGTCGCCATCGCTGTCGACCGCACTGATCATCTTCTTGCACTCAGCGATCGAACACTCGTCCCCCAAGCTCCTCAGCACTTTATACAATTCCTCGGCCGAAATCAACCCATTCCCATCAATGTCGTAGACCGAGAAAGCGTCTTTCAGATTCTCCAGCGCCTCGGCCTGGTCGACCCCGTTGGTATTGAGCTCGACGAACTCTTTGAAGTCGATGAAGCCATCGCCGTCGGAATCGACCTCTAAGATCATGTGGCTGAGCTCCTCTTCGTTGGCCGGCTGGCCCAGGCTGCTCATGATGGCTCCGAGCTCGGAAGACGAGATCTTGCCGTCGCCATTGACATCGAATTTCTTGAAGACCTGGTCGAGTTCGGCGATCTGAGCGCGCGAGTTGAAGGATGGGGATCGCGAGGGTGTGGTCGTGAGTGGGAGGGCTGTGGCTGATGGAATGGATTTCTTCTTCCGGGAGAAGAGGGATTTGAAACCCATCTGGATTTGAATTGAAACGACACTGAGAGAGAGAAAAGGTGAAATGAAAGAGGAATTGAAGAAGAAGATAGTCAATGTGAGATTCAGATTTCTAGGGTTGTGTTAAATTTGAACAGGGGGATTTTTGTTGCTTCTTTGTTGTTTGGAGATTCAGGGATTGGGATTGGGATGTTGGTTGCAGGTTATTTTATAAGGATGTGAGAATGAGTAAATGAGAGAGAGAGTTTGGGTAGGGATTGGGAAATGGGGGAATTGGGTATTGGGTGAATAACTGAATGCGGAAAACGAAAACAGAATCCAACTGAATCTTAACGCCTATTTCTCTGTCAATGGCTCATCAATAACTCAGATGAATGTGGTGTGGTGGTTGTCGCTAATTTTGGGAGGAGAGAGAGAAGATTGCGCGTCAATTGATGAGTTACAGTCAGTTACACTGCATACACACCAACTCAATGACTCGGTGGATGCCAACGGTAACAATGGATCCCACGCGTCACCGACTCAACCAACTATTTGAGAATGAGTAACTGGCACTAATTAAACAAAAATCACATCAAACAAACAGGCGTGACTTTTTTAGCGTGACTTTTTGAGAATCAAGGCTTTGCTTAGCCGCATAATGTATGTATTTATAGGGTTGTTTTATGTGGGTGTCCGAGCAATAAGAGGTAAGTTTTGTAAATCCATATCGATATTGGATACGGATTATAAATTAATCCATGGTAAGATTATTTTCTTGACATGTTTTATCCTTATCCTTGTAGGTTATTGAGTCAATCGAGCCTTTTGGTTGGTTATACACTTTGCAAGACTTGATATAGGATTCTGATTTAAGGAACCTGATGTGGATACTCACAAATATGTTGAATGGATATAACAGAAAAAGATTTGCATCATTTCTTTGATTTCTTTTCATCTTTATTATTTTGTATATGGAACTAAAGACAAATATTTTTCCGGATAATACTACTCATATTACATTTGTATATTACATTCGCATACAATCTTATGTGACAATAGACCAGTGGCAGTTCCAGGATTCAAAAGCCGACCGGGCAAAAACTTATATAACAAACTTGACAAAACGAGTGAATTTCATTAATAAACATTAAAAAAAAATTACATAGTGAGAGGAGACGTAATAAGCCTTACCCTCAAATGCATTTATATCTACAAATACAAAAACTAAAATAAAAACAAAACAAAACAAAATAGAAAAAAAAATTATTTCACATTAAAAAGAAAGATAATATAGAGGACTACATTAATTTTAAAAAAAACAAGATTTATTTCGAGAGAAATGGGAAGGAAGAAAATTGGCGGAGCTAGTTTTTTTTTTGTGACCTTATTTCTCTCCTTGTTTCCTTTTATAAACGTTTATTATGACATCCGTTTTTAGGTTTCCACCTCGAGCTCCATAGCCCTATCAATCATGTATCACAATTTTTGAAATAGTTATCTTTGTGCAAGACAATTTTTTTAAATAATCATAAGTAATGTAGGTAATATTTTTCTAACAAAAAGAGAGAAGGAAAAGAATATTAAAAAAAAGGAGAGAGGAGAGAGGAGAGAGGAGAGTGTAAGGAAAAGAATTTAAAAATAAAAAAAAGGAGAGAGGAGAGAGGAGAGTGTGAGGAAAAGAATAAAAAAAGAGTGGTGTTTTCCCCACTCCAATTTTATCCACTTAGGGGGGTGTATTCCATTGAGATTTTAATAGATTGTTTTGAAGCTTAAAAGTCCAGTGGTATCCAATTAGGATTTTTAAGTAATCAATAAAAATATGGTGGTATTCAAATAAGATTTTTAAATAATCAATTCAAGTCTTGTGGTATTCAATTAGGACTTTTAAAAGATAAGAAAAAGTACGGTGGTATTAAAAAACTTATCAATTTTGAGGTATTTTGTTAAATAGTGTATTGTGTGAGACTTTTGAGTGGGTGATATAAATACCAAACTCCATAAAAATCCCACCCTCCTATGCATGATTCTCACGTTTTTTGTTTTTGGGGAAGATGAACAAATGAAGATAAACAAGGTACTCATGTCTTTACAAGAGCTTGGTTTAACCAGACTCAATCCTTCTGTATTTAGTGGATAGACTCAGATAACCGTCTTTGCTTTCTCTAGTCTATCTTGTTTTCTTTTTCTCCTGGCTGTTTGGTTGCAGGAGGTGCTTCTCACCTTTCTTTTGGCTTCATGTCTATACTGTTTGTTCGCTTTCATCTTATGGATAATCTTTTTGCCCATTAAAAAAAGGAGACTCAGATGGCTTACCTTCAGACATCTAAACAATAATTTCAGATATGTTGCTTTCAATAGTTGTTCATATTGTGCAATATGCATGCATTTTTCTCAATAGATTTTCAGCTCATTTATTTCCTTTGATTTATTTGTCTTTCTTTAGTCAATTTGTGGAATTAATTTGAGTGACAAGTGTTCTATACTAGTTTCATGTCATAGCTAAACCATTTTGACTTGTTTTCAGCTGTCCAGTTTCTTATTTTAATTGATTTAATTAACTTGTCTGTTGTAATATTTATAAATTCAATTAATTCAAGATTTTTCCTTCTTGTGGCTTGTTTCCTATGTCAATTCTCAGTTCCAGACCAAGTTCTCTATCCAAAACTTAATAGATGTATGGTTCTAGTTTAATGATAGTTATGTTTGAAGTTTGGGACTGCTATGGTTTTAGCTCTAGAACATGATGATTTGAAGATAACCATACATGACAGATAGTAATGATAACTTGAGCTAAGATTGGTGTAACTTCAACTTTCTGCTTCTTTAAAGGCTTGACATCCTTTAACTAATGGATGAAAGATGGCTAATCCGAATCCAATCCACACTTCGGTGAAATCTACTTTGGAGAATACAAGCAAGTCCTACATGAATTAAAATCATAAGTAAAATCTTGTAATTACAATCATTAAAATCATAAGAAAAATCATGTAATTACAAATCAGGTTGAAATCTATTACATTAAAATCATGTAATTATAATCTATTAAAATCTCAATTCAATACTTCCCCCTTACACTCCATTTTATAACTAAAAAAGGAGTGTAAGTGGATTAAATTGGAGTGGGAAATCATTACCCTAAAAAAAAGGAGAGGAGAGAGATGAGAGTGTATGAAATATTTTTTTTTAACAAAAATTAGGGCCGGGCAAAAGAGACGAGAGGAGAGAAAAAAGTGCGGGTAATATTTATTTAACATAAATTTGGGTCGGGCATGAGCCCAGCCTGCCACAGGCTGGAACCGCCCCTGCAATAAACAATCATATCAATTAAAAAGTATCAATAAATCATAAAAGAAAAGAAAATGTTAAATTAATTTTAATTGATGTGTTTGTCCACCTCATCTACTATATACGATGGTATGAAAATATAGTATACAAATGTAATAAGAATAACATTATTCTATTTTTTTCTCCTCATAATATTATCGTGAAAAATAAAAACTCTCTCAAATTCACAAATATTAAACTTTATGGCCAAATTTAACTACCATGATAAAGATATTCATGCTTTGCCAATTAGAGATTAATATTTCATGCAATGTGTTACATTTATTAATAAGGACACTTTTTTTTTTAATAAATACAATTACAATACGTTAATGATGAGTAAGTATGATGTAATGCCAAATGCTAGGAGCAAAATTGCACTCCTGAAATTGACTTTAAATTGGAGGAGAATCTTAAGGATCCCAAAAAAATTTATATGTAATGGATATACTACTATTTTACTATTCCTGATCAATAATACAATTATACATAATAAAAAATTATCCTATATGTCATTGAATTATTGGACAGAAATAGCAAAAAATGTTATCCATGTTACATAAGAGCCTTTCCATCCATGAGCCCAGCCCGAGGAAAAAAGAAAAAAAAAAAAAAAAAAAATAAATTTGCGTTCCAGCGGAGCAGGCCCGGGGGGGGGGGGGGGGGGGGGGGGGGGGGGTCGGGCTGGCCCGAAGGCAGCTTCAGCCCGAGGTCCAAAACGAGGGCTACTGACGTCAGCGCTACAGTACCCCGCTACAGTACTGCTACAGTACCCCCACTGATTTGATTTTTTTCCCCCCCTATTGCCACGTGGCGTCGTCTGGGCTCTCCGATCTGATTTTTTCCTCCAATCCAACGGTAGCCAATTTTTTTGCAATAAAATACTGGAAAAAATTCGGAAATTTTTTTTTAAAATACCCAAAAATTAATGAATTTTTTTCTATAAATACCATCCAATTTTTTTTTAATTTATCTGAAATTTGAAATTGAAAATTATATCCGATTATGAGATATGAATAGTATTGACATGTAGGAACCCTAAAATCTAATTCTAAAATATTATCCAAATTAATTATTGTGGTAAAAAAAGTTGTGAAAAAAATAAAAAAATGAATAGTAATTGCCCTTTGCCATGGCAACGGGTGGAAACGGAAAATACTATTTGCAAGGGCAATTACTATTCACACGTGAATAGTAGTTGCCCTATCTCCCCCCCTTGCCATGGCTAAGGGCAAATGGGTGGAGTTGCTCAGTTTCTCTCCTTGACTGCGCTGCCCGCACATGATGTCCTTCCAAAAGGACCCCACTTTACAGTCTACACCATTAAATTTAATCAATCAATCTCTGTACCAGATTTAAAAAAAATACACCATTAATCAATCAAAATTGAAAAAGTAAAAATAAAATCAATACTGCCAAGAATCCAATATCTGAAGTGAAAGACAGAGCACTGAAACACCGCACCTCATATATCACCATCATTCCCTCTCCTCTCGACTCGTTTACAGTTATATCTGGTCGGCTGGTCTTCCAGTTCCTCCTCCTCTCTCTGTTGATGAAGGGAAGCTGAGACTTTTTGAAAGATTAAATCTTTTTAACTCCCACGAATCACGATGGACTCAAAGTCTCTGCGTTTCCTTACCCACCAATGTTTCTTCTCCGCCGTTCGATCCGGCGACCTTGGGTCGGTGAGACAGGTGGTCGATAAGCTCACAAAGGACGAGCCCTCAAATGGGTCCCTCGTTTCTGATCTGATGGCGATGCAGAACGATGCAGGCGAGCCTGCCCTGTATGTGGCGGCAGAGAATAATCTGGAGGAGGTGTTCAGTTACTTGCTCCAGTTCTGTAATATAGAGATTGCAAAGATCAGGTCCAAGCATGATATGAACGTCTTTCATGTTGCCGCCAAGCGTGGCCACTTAGGTATTGCTTTCTAACTGTTACTGTGCTTAAGCTTTGCTTGTGTGTGTGCTCGCGCGATGATAATTGATTGGGTTGAATTGGTTGGTTATTTTTATGCACGCTGAAGGAAGGGTATGTACAATAATTAATAATAATTTCCTTCCTAGAGTGAATATTTGAGATTAGTAAGAGGATCAAATTCTCTGTACTGCAAGCAGAATAATTCCCAAGTCTGACATGTTGAAATTCCTTTGTTTTTTTTCCTTTAAAAAGAAATTTCTTTTGGTTTGTTTCCATAAAGGAGTGTATTTCGAACTGAAGAACCAAAAAGAACTATGATTTTGATTTTGACATATTTTGAAGGGAAGCTCAGAAGAAAAAAAAAGTCATCTCCTCAAGTATATGGTATATGTTTGTAGGCCAAGGGAAATAATAAATAATCACTGATAAATTGCGTATCGCTAACCTGGTAAAGATGATAATTTTGAAGGTCTTGTTTGTCTTAATCTGCTTTGCAAATACTGAAGCTACTGTGATATATCCTAGAGGTTAATGTATAAGAAATTTTGCAATCTGGTGGCCATTTTGAGTTGATTTCTGTGTTTTCCATGCTATATGCATACGGTAGTCACTGCAGTGGTGAAAGGATTTCTTTTTTTTATAAATTTATCTGGAATAGGGTATTGACTGTTATTTATTCAGGTATTGTGAAGGCACTTTTGGCAATTTGGCCTGAGCTTTGTAAATTGTGTGACTCGTCAAACACTAGCCCTCTTTATTCAGCTGCCGCTCAGGACCATTTAGAGGTAGTTAACGCCATCTTGGATGCCGATGTCAGCTCAATGAGGATAGTGAGAAAAAATGGTAAAACTGCATTACATACAACTGCAAGATATGGCCACCTACGTACTGGGAAAGAACTTATAGATCGAGATCCAGGAATAGTCTGCATAAAAGATAAAAAGGGTCAAACTGCACTCCATATGGCTGTAAAAGGTCAGTGTACTCCGATTGTAGAGGAGATTTTGCTTGCTGACCGGTCTATACTGAATGAACGCGACAAGAAGGGCAATACAGCTGTGCATATAGCTACAAGGAAATGCCGTCCACAGGTATCTTCATGTTGGCATTTTATTTACGATAGAAACACATGAGCTCATGAAATCCTTGTCATTAATTATTTCTGCCTGCTTTAAATTTGTACGTATTGCCATTCCATGTAGGATGAAAATGCATCAGCTCATGAAATCCTTGTCATTAACTATTTCTGCCTTCCCTTGCATTTATCAGTTGCTTTTACTTACCTGGTAACCGTAAATCTAACTGAATTAGGAGCTAGTTCATTCTCATGACGATTCCTCTTGCAGCATCAATAAAGTATCACTTGCCAAGGAATCATGCAAGAAGATACCAAATAAATATTTAAGATTAACCAGATAATACACCAAGTGCCTACATGCATAATTGATAAAGCATCTGCTTTCTCATTGCCTGTCACCCTTGGCTATATTGTGAGCCTGTTTTTCCTCATTGAAAAGCTTCGATGAGGAACCAGAAAGTATTTAAAGGAATATATAACTATAGTATTACATCCTCAAAGTCGATTCTTGACAGCATCTGAGGAAGAGCTTATAATTTAATGCCTTGCTGGTGTGAGTCCAATGGCATATGTTTGTGTATTCATTTTTTTTTTCTTTTTACTCTCATGTTGAAGTTTTACCCTCTTTCTTTCAGATAGTGGGCGTTCTGCTGAGCTATAGGACTATTGATGTCAATGCCATTAATAATCATTATGAAACTGCAAAGGATTTGGCAGATACACTACCGTATGGAGAATCAACATTGGAAATTAAAGAAGTACTAGCGGAAGCTGGTGCCAAGTATGCAAGACATGTTGGCCAAGTGGACGAAGCCATGGAACTGAAGAGAACTGTGAGTGATATCAAGCATGAGGTGATGTCACAGCTTATACAAAATGAAACAACTCGACGGCGAGTTTCTGGTATTGCCAAAGAACTAAAGAAACTTCATAGAGAAGCTGTCCAGAACACTACCAATTCTATTACAGTAGTTGCTGTTCTGTTTGCGTCGATAGCCTTCTTGGCCATGTTTAACTTGCCTGGCCAATATGTAAATGAAGGACCAGAAGCAGGGAAGGCTAACATAGCTGGTAGTGTTGGTTTCAAAGTGTTCTACCTGTTAAATGCTACGTCTCTTTTCATGTCACTAGCAGTTGTTGTGGTTCAGATCACTTTGGTGGCCTGGGAGACAGGGGCTCAGAAGCAAGTGGTGTCGGTGGTTAACAAACTAATGTGGGCTGCCTGCGCTTGCACTTGTGGGGCTTTTCTGGCGATAGCCTTTGTGGTCGTCGGAGAGGGGAGTTCATGGATGGCTATTACCATAACCGTTATGGGAGTGCCAATGCTTGTTGGAACTCTTGCAAGCATGTGCTACTTTGTTTTCCGGCAACACTTTGGGGGTTTCCGGCGCGACTCTCAACGGCGCATCAAAAGGGCCAGTGGAAGCAAGTCCTTCTCGTGGTCAGTCTACTCGGCAAACATCTCAGATCTTGATGATGACTATAACTCCGACCTTGAGAAAATCTATGCTTTGTAAACACTAATATACAGTATTATAGTATTAGTAGTATATATGAGTTGTTTTAACACGTTTTCCGCCCAATGTCTTGTTTAGCTCTTTATCTATCTGTTGAAGTAAGAGTTGTTGTACATAATTAAAGGGAGTGCTGCTGTAATCTTGGTGCGCGCCAAGCTAAGTTGTTGGCTTTTTGCCCTGTACCTCTAAATCTAGCTCTATAATTCACAGTTGATTGTAGATTATGCATGTTGTATTTGTAACTGTAGATTGCGTTGCTACCAATAATATGTAAAATAATACTCAATACTTAATTGATTTGCCACATTACATTCTAATGATGCCCCAAACAATTTTTTATTTAAATTTTCCCCCTGATTTCTCTAAAACTACTACTGTACTGTAATAATTTTTCCATTACAGCGCGGGATGATCAATCAACAGATCCATTATATTATATCGTAACAGAAAAATAAAATAAAATAAAAAATAACCTTGAAAATTAGTATCTGTTAATTTTCACCGTAATCCGTCAAAATTTATTAATAGAAAAAAAAAATCCTTGAAGAAATCCCTTATGATTAATAATAAAAGTAAGGAAAACGTTTTAATGGGGCGGGTTCCTCTCATTTATTAAAAGAAAACAAATGTATGTCGAAGCAGCCATTGTTGTTGTTAATAGCAGAGAAACCTAGGCTGTCTGTAGCAAGCAGAGGTTTTTCTCCACTCTGTCTCTGCTGCACTGCTTTTCTCCACCCTCTGCCGCTGCACGCCGTCATCACCACTCATAGCCGCACACTGCCATCCAAAGCTTCAAATCATTCAGGTACCGTTTAAATTTTTAGTCTCTGAAAGCAAATTCAATTTATCTGTCCATTTTAGCACCAAAAATAAAATTTCTCGGTTCATTTTTGCTGTTTTGCTAGAATCATGAGTGGTGAATGATCGATAGATGGAAAGTTATGATTATTACTGATTTACTGATATGTTTGATTGAATATTGTCCACTGCTCATATTTCTTTTTTGTTTTTTCGCTATTTTGCTTCAAATCATGAACAGTAAATGATTGATAGATGGGAAGCTATGATTATTGTTGATTTATTGATATGTTAGATTGAAAATTGCCCAAATGAATGCACTTGCAATTTTTTGGGTAGTAGATATTTATGTTCTCAACAGTTACAATATTCACCGATCTTACAAGTGTAGGTAGTAGTAGAAACATGGAAGTAGCTGAAGTTGAAGGTGATCATGTTCCATCAGTAGTTCCAGAGCTCCCAAGTGAAATCATATGGTTTCTTATACTGCCACGGCTACCAGCTAAGTCTCTGATGCGGTTCAAGTGCGTTTGCAAGTCATGGTCCTCTCTCATCTCCGGTAACCCTACATTTCTTGGTGTCCACCGAAACTTGCGCTGCAACAACAGCAGGTACACTCACCTCCTCCTCAATGTCTTTGACCGCGACACAAGGCACGACCACTTGCTCTCCGTCCAAATCAACCAAGATGGAGATGGAGATGGTAGTACCTCACCTGCCACCCACCTTCTAACACTGTCCCCTGACTATCATCTCTACGATTATCAGTGTACTAATGGCCTGTTTTGTATTTTTTACTTCGCTAAACCGGTAGCCACTAAAACCCACCATGAACATGACCCCGAGGACCACGTTCATATATTTAATCCCTCCACCGGAGAGTCGATCATTCTCCCCCATACTTCACTGTCCAAATACACACTCCAGATTAAAGGCCACTTTGGGTTCAGTCCTTTTACAAACGAGTATAAGCTTCTCCAAGTCCAATTGTGCCATGATTGGACTTCAAATCTCTTTAGTTTAAAGCTCGAGATTTTGACTTTGGGTTCTGATTCATGGAGGTGCATTGAGGTAGACCTCGATCAGCTCCCTTTTAATCCCCTTTCTTCCCACTTGTATGGGGAAAGTGTGTGCCTTCATGGAGCCCTACATTGGATATATCAAGATGGTGAGGATAGGAGTAGGATAGTGGTATTTGACCTTGGAGAGGAGAGATTCAGGGTCATCACAACTCCTGAAGATGATGGTAGTGATCCCTGTTGGACAATTGCTGAAGTGGGTGGACGTCTAGCTCTAATGGATGACAAGGACGCGATGCCACAGAAATTAATGTTGGAGTTATGGATTTTGAAGGACTACCAAAATCAAGTGTGGGCTAAAGAGACTATCAATTTTCCCTCTCATTGGCGGGAGTCAACGTACCATCATTTGAATTCTTTACGTACAATTCACACAGGTGAGCTCTTCATTCAATCTTCACCGGAAGTACAGGCATCTCATCATTTCTATGATATGAAGAGTAATAGTTTTTATAGAAGTTCAATTGTTTTGCCTGATTTGATATGGCGGAATGATGGTGATGCTCGGTTGGGCTTAATTACTAGTTATCGTGAAACCCTTACCCGCTTAAGATTATAATTCATGAGAATGGAGTGGAATAGCATTTCATTTCGTTTCATTATTGTAAAACATAATTAATGGGTTGATTCTTGTGCAAGACAAGAAGGATCTGTACTACTGGACATATATTTTCTCTTTCCCTTTCCCTTTCCCTACTACACCATGCTTTAAGCCTTTACCATATTATAAAGGAAATAGGATCTGAACTTGTTGCTATCAAGTTTTGAAGTTTTTCTGTGAACGTGCGATAACTGGTCGGCCTTTTTATGCTATTAAGTCCAACTAGATTAATTTTATGAGTAAGTTCTATTTAGTTGATGCGCTTGCCTCGCCGACTGAAGTAGGTTAGAAAATGAACAGCATTCACTGGATTGGATGTGTGTTTTTTTTTTTTTTTTTTTTTTTTTTTTTTTTTTTCTTCAGGAAATAGTAAATTATATATATCAATATTCACAACAGATAACATCGCTCAAGTTTCTCATTTGGGTTATGTTCAACTGCACTAGAAAAAATCTTCAGTCCAGAAAAAAAGGAAAACAGAGAAAGAGAAGACATCATTATTCAAATGGAATGGTAAAAGATGTGCAGAAATGAGGCTTTACAAAGTCAATGGCATCCTCAGGAGCAACTTTATTATTAGGTAATTTGTTCAAGGGAGGAAGCTACCCCTACGTAGGACTGTTTTAATGGCTTGTTTAGATGTCCAAAGAAAAGTAGAGTTGTCCATAATTGAAGGGCTGCTGCTGTTATGTAAAATAATTGTGGCGGCATTTGCCATGTAATCAAATCCTTCACATTTTAAATAATATCTAAGCTAATTTCGTTTTTGGCTTTTGAGAATAATCAAATCCTTAGAAGTTTATTTGACTTTGGATATGAATAAGAATCCAACAGACCCATGGGCAGCACCTCTGCATACGCCGGCCTCGCGCCCGCTAATAGCTAAAGCTCTTGGGTTTCTCACATTTGGCAGACAGCGAAAACTGGAGAGGAGGTTTGGTAAGTAAATCAAACAATCGATCAATCCACCTGCTGCCTGTTGCTTTTCCTTTATGAGTTAGTTGCTTTGATCTCTCTATTTCTCTATTTTGATCTTGTCTTGCTACCCGCTGACTTGGATCTCCTGTATCTGAATAAAAAGCTTGACGAAATCTCATCTCATTAGGTTACAGCTCTGATTTTGGATTTTGCCCAACCCAAGTATTCAACCCAAAATTGATTTTGGACTCTTTATGTTTAAAGCAAGAAGCATTCCTGAATTACATATAATATTCTGAGAGTGAGATATTTGGTTGGGATTTTATTATTGGACCTCTTGAAATGAGAATTGATAAGAAACCATAATTGATTGATAGACTTGATTTATTTTAAAATCACGTTTGTTTTTGGGGGGTCTCACCCCCTTTTATTATTCACCAAAAAAGAGTTAAAAACAGAGAGAGAAATCATCAGCAGTACACAAATGAAATGAATGGATTTAAAGAACCGCGTCGGGTGAAAACACAAGCAAATCAATAGGCCCGTTGATAATGTTTTTGGAGAATGTTTTTTGATAATATTTTTAGAGAATGAAAATAAGAAAACAAATTTGCATTTTCAGGAAATAAAAATGCGTCTGGTAGATAATTAGAAAACATTTTTAGAAAACAAAAACAATGAAAACGTGTTTGCTAGTACAATTGTTTTTCATGTGTATATTTGCTAATTTCAGTTCTAATTTTTTTTTTTAATTCTGATATTTTTAGAGGCTAAAATTATTATAAACAATAAAAATATGTCTGGTAGTAAAAATTGAGAATAATATTATGTGAATTATTTTTCAAGGGTATTTTTGCTAATTTCTCTTTTGAGAAAATATTTTTAAAAATGTATAATTTAACAAATGAAAAATTCTATTGTTTTTTAAAATAAAACTATCTTTTTTCTTTTTTCTTTTCTCTTTTTTCTCCTTTTCTTTCTTTTTTCTTTTCTCCTTTTTCTCCTTTTCTTTCTTTCTTCCTCTTTTCTTCCTCTTTCCTCCCCAGATCCGTTCCTTTTTCTTTCCTTCTTCCTCTTCTCTACTATCTCTTTTCTTCTTCCTTCCCTCTTTTTCACTCTCACTCCTCCTTCCTTCCATTACATGAATCCCATCAACCCACCTCTCCGGTTCCACTAATTAATGGTTGTGGTGGTTAGATTGGATGGTGATGGTGGTTGAGCTGGGTATGTGGTGGCTGGTTTCTCTCATCTCTCCCTCTGCAACTCTCTCTCTCTCTCTCTGATTCTTTCTCTTCTTCTTCTTCCCCTTTTTTTTCTTTTCTTCTTCCTCTGTCTTTTTTTCTTAGTTGCAGATTTGTGTGATTATGAGTGTTTTTTTTTCTTGAAATTTTGGGGCTGATTATGGTTGGAAGGAGGAGATTTGATTGTTTTGGATATAATTTGATTGGATTGTTTGCTCAAGTGACGGAGGAGAGTTGGCTTTGATTTGGAGAGACTGAAAACAAAAACGCCAAAAACAAATGCGACTTTCTGGCGTTTTCAACATTTATTCATACTTTCATTTTCATTCTCAGAAAACAATTTCAGCTTGTTTCTCAAAATAA